TATATTTAAAATAAAAATAAAAATAAAATGAGTTTTTATATTAAATACACGATTTAGCATTGTTTTTCCCACGTACTCGTCATTCTACTCTGAATCTTATCATCTTATTGAGGCATAAATATGCGGCACCGGCTGCTTCGCCTTGTAGCTCGGATACAACGTTGTGCACAAAGGCCCAATTAGGCCCATCAGCCCAGTAAACTTGTGTTTGAACCTTTTTTCCCTTCGTTTTTTTTTGGGGGGTGTTGGGGGATGTGATTATGCTGCGAACTAATTTAGATTATTTTAGAGCTCCTGAATTTCAAAAGATATTCGCCTCTGCCTGGGTTTCGTTTGGGGCGAGAATTTAACTTTTATGCCTCATTAATTTAAAATTTATTCTAACAATTTTTTAACCTCTTCATCTCTCTTGGATATATTAAGAACAATAGACACCGAACGATAAGTTTCGAGTTACTAATTAGGAAAAACAATAAGTTTCGAGTAAAACTAAAACTAGTATTTAGAAAAAAGTCGGAATGAAAAATGGGAACGGCAACATGTATACAGTACAGACAAGTCTTGATGGAATATACTTATATTTGGAGCATAACATCCAAAAGATAATTATTCTGTCATAGCTGTACATATTCGGTTAATCAATAATCGCAATATCTGCTAGCTAATCTATTGCTTCTTCGGCCTATATATCCTAGACATTCTGTATAGCTTAAAACTGATTACATATTTTATACTGATATCGCCCTTTATAAAAGAGATGGTTTAACTTTTAATTCGATCCTAAATATAAGATCTAAATTTATTTTGTCTCTCATATTTATTTATTTTTGTGAGATAGTTTTTATAGTAAATGCACATGTTAAATGTTTCATTAAATAGTACTCTTCCGGTCCTAAATATAAGACCCTTATACTAGTGAGTATAAGGGTCTTATATTTAGGATCGGAGGAGTAATTCTAACTAATGTACTTGATTAGTAATAAGATATTTTAAGAAAGACAATATCTATTTATTACAAATAACTAACTCAACTAATTTTTTTAATCTAATCAATTAACTTTTACATCAAACGTTAAGGTAGTAATAAAAGATGTTAGTGTGATTTACGTACTCTCTTTAAAATATTTTTATTTCACTCACATCAAACATATACAAATTAATGAGCTTCACAGAAGGTCTCGTTTTCCTTTTTCAGTAGTCTGATTCCCTTTCCTTCCTCGTCCCCTTTATTTATTTTTTTAAATTGCATACAACGAGGCATAAACATGTGCAAGTAATACGTACCTTTAACCAGTTTTTCCTAAGTGCCGCTAGATAAAGGAATCCCACTCGCGCGATCTGTGAAACAAGTGGTGAACGTACACTTAAAGTCCCTCTTCTATATAAACAAGGGTTATATTTCAATTGATCAATTTGATTTGGAATTATCAAAGCTTATTATTATTGTGTCTCTTGGAACAAAGACATAATCATATACTAGTATTCTTTCGGTCCTTAATATATGACTCAATTGTTGAGTTGGTTTTGGTTCTAAATATAAAACACATTTATCATATTTATTAATTTTTTTTCTAAATTACCTCTATAGATATTCCCTCAATCATAATCAAGTATAAAAAAGAAAGAAAGTATTAAAAAATATGATTATGGTGTTTTAGGAAAAACTTGTTACATTTCTTATAATTAACTAACTTACCTGACTTTTTTAATCTAATCAAATTAATTAAATGGGTCTTATATCAAGAACCATATATTGAATTATGGGGAGGTTTGCATTTGCATCTAGGTATTCTTTCAAATATAAAACCGCAGTGTATATCAGTCGTACACCTCACGTAAACTAATTTCGCCTTTTTTTTTTGTTTTTTTTTATGGCGGGGGTCTAGTGAAACACTGAAACACTGTTAACGAGCGTTCCGGCCTGTTAGTTTTACTTGTATCATGATCATTCTCTCAACAGTGTGTGCGTTTCAAGAGTTTCGATGATGATTACGCATAATTTATTTAAGAAGTGGAGGTTTAAGGTTGTGTGCTACCCAAGTGTGTGTGTGTGTGTGTGTAAGGCCATGGAAATAGAATGAGCCGAGTCAGAGGATATTGTTGTCTAACATTATGATGACGACGGCGGGGGGATGAAGAGGGTATGCTTCATGGAGTCGTTAACTGTGAAACTCTTTTCCTTAATTGTGCTTCCCAACACAAACACACTACTCTACCCCACAATAACTGCTTATTGCTTACGGGTGTCCACTATTAGGTGCCAACTCTTAGAGCTGTCCTCAACCTTTCCTTATTTTATTACTTATTGCTCTCCTTTTTAACTTCTCTACGATTGCACTTCTCGCATCTAAGCATGAGTGTCCTTCAAACTCCGTTTTCAACTTATAAATCCTATCACACTCGTGTAATTCTCTGATATAATATCTATAACAATACATTTTCTCAAGAGTCAACATTACAACAGTTTCACTTTACAGCATTTTACATGACTGCCTCTTTCCAGTTGCCGGTTCTCAATAAAAGTATCAACATGATGAGCACAAGATCAAAAGAAAAGCTCAATTCTAAAAGATCATGCTATTAAGAAGGAAAGTTCTTCGAACTCAAACCCTACCATGTGAGACTTCCAAGACTCATAGCATTAATTGGTATTTAGGGGTTTAATTAGTTTCTTATTTCTAATATTAGGATACATATATATATATATCATACATTATTACGATATTATGGAGGACATGATATTATTTTTGAGAAGGTTCCGCCGCTGGAGGGATGAGCTGTTCCCTTCATTAAATATGTGGAAAAGGGATGGATGTAAGGAAGGCTCATGGCATGCGTGGCACAGCCTTCTATTTCATGTTTCTTGTTCCGCTGACACTATCATCAACATCATCTCGTGTTAATCTTATAACTCTGCCCTTACTTTTATATATATATATAATTAACAAGTCGCTTATAAATAAAAATGGAGTGGTATTTCTTATCACAATCCAATCTACTCGTGATCCCAGTTTATGTGGCTTTCATGAGATCCAAGTTCTTTATTTTAGCTCAAGGTGGAATTTGGTTGGCCACGTTTCAATTGGGAAACGAGGCGGAAATATCCAAGTTCGCCCCTGTTCATCAATTAATGTGCAAGCCTGTGGCTTCTCATCTCGCGTGTGCGCGTGTATTTACTATTCACCAACAATAAATATGACGATCATAAGTCAAATCATTTCGAATGCACTCTATTCCTTCATTAGCTAAAAGTATTTTAGTTCAATAACATTATATTTTACAATATAATTTAGCCTTTTTTTACGGACAGGATGCATTCTTTACTGATAACAAAGGACAGTGCATTCCTGTGGGCTCTAGCCCTTCGACTCTTCCCAAGTATATTTTATTTAGAATAACTCTCTCACATAATCTTAGATAAAATAACAGGCTACGGTAATATATTTGAAGCGGAGGTACTGAATTTGCAGACAAAATTACGTAAAAACTGTTTTAAATTAAATAACTGTTAATTAATTAACTTGCATATAAAACGAGTAATAATTTATGAACACAGGTACACTAATTTACATAGGTACCTGGTGATATGTGTCGGCGGCCACAGTATTTAATCCCCAAGTCTGTGTTGTGAACGTGTGGTGCCTAATTTTGTTAATGGGAGAGCCTTTCAATTTAGAGAATGATACGAGAGGTCATGTGCTCAAAGTCAAATCGTGTTTGGCATTTTATGACACCACCATTTTTGTCCTTAACGAAGATCCTTAAACTATAGAATTGACCATTCTTTTTATATACGAAACAAAATGCACATCGAACTCGTCAACTGGGTTAAACTATTCTGAGCCCTCCCTTTCTGTCTGTAGATCGAATCGTGTTCGTTGAGCAAAGTGCAACCAGCTTTACTGTTTAGTATCCTTCAAAAGCTCTCCAGGCGTGAAGGCTCAAAACATATAGAAGCGTCTTCACGCATATTGAAATAAAAAACTGAATAATTTCTTCCGCCTGGAGATTAATATATCAGTATTAATATTGATTTTTTTTTTCCTGCGTTTCTTGGAGCGAGAGGGGATAGTTTGATGGATGAGTGTGGGATGGTGTGGTTGGTGTGGGGGATGAGTCATGAATTGGAAATAACCCAAAAGCAGGATTAGAGGTGGTTGTGACTTTTTATTCATTTAAAAAGATAGTTGAAGATCATCCATGGATATTTTTATAATTTAAAAAATATGATTATATGTGGAATTTAATTTTCCACGCGCCTTTTAAAATAGAGATAATTGAAAGTATTAACGACGATTGGTGGTATATGGATCAGTGTTGGGCCGTGAACAAGTTCACGTGACCAGGTGATAAAGTGAATCACCGGTGGTCCTGTTTCGCTAACCAACAAGCGTTTCTGGGCCCACTTCGCACACGGTTTCTGTTCACAGTCCCACACACCCTCTTTCTTTTTTTTTCCTTTAAAAAAAGAGACCATTTCTTCCATTTTCTATTATTTTCAATATAAATAAGCTAAATTAAACAGGTTCATTATTGTTTTGTTTCCTATCACTTTCTTAGTGTTTATCCCCGCTATAATTATTGTTTTCCCTGCCTTATTATTATGTGGTTTGCCCAATATTATATTATTCTGGGTGTGATTCTTTTTCATGCCAGCACTCTGGTCAACCACGCATAAAATAAAGAGTCATATGTTTCATAATGTAAATTTCACGGACGATTTTGAAATATACATATGTCTTTGAAGTCACCAACAAATATTTGAAAAAAACAAGAGAAATGTTAATTAAGAGGAGGCCTTGAAAAGAATCTTTTCGAGTCAATAATATATGGAAGGTAAAAAAGCAAAGGATGAACGAAGAGATGAAGAAGTTAGGTACAGAGGCAAAAGCAAATAGTATATAAATAAATAAAAGAAGTTGACTTTCACGCTGCATTTCAATTTCATGTTGGGAATTCAAGTCCGTTATATATATATATTGCAAGTACTTGTACTCCTATGTATCTGCCACCTATTTAAGAACCTCTCTCTCTCTCTCTCTCTCTCTCTCTCTCAGATTGAGGTGTCTTCAACCTCTCGTCTTTTTCCAGATGAAGATCGGCTTCCTCACTCTTCTCCTTCTGCTCCTGGCTTTCTCTTACGCTCTCTCTGCCTCTGCTGTTCCTGCAACCAGTAAAGTTCTTTCTTACTCGTATTTTCTTTCTTCGTTTTTGGATCTCTTTCTTCAATTTACTTGCCTGCTCACAGGATCCCGGAATCTGATGAACCTCCAAGACGCCTTGCCTCTCTCTTCTTTATTACCTCAGGTCACTGCTTCTGCTTCTCATCTCTCTTTCTGCTCGTTTTAGCATGGTTATATTTCTCGATAAAAAGTTAAATGAATCTGAGAGCTATGAAATAGTTTCTTTTTGTCTGGGCCTCATCGATTGAAATTCTTGACGATCTGTGTTGCAGATGAATGATGCAGTGGAACTGGGAAATGGTGCGGAGGTTGAGGGAGAAGCAGAATTGATAGAGGGAAGGATGGAGTTGGAAACTCAGGACTATGGAGGCACCGGAGCAAATAAAGATCACGATCCTAAAACCCCTGGAAAGCCTTAACTCATGAATCCAGAAAATGTAAAGGAACGGATGTAATAGATATATACATATGTAATATGCATACGTATGTATATATTATTATATCTTGATGATATGTCTTAGTCTTCTCTTATAATCAATACAAGCTTGTCTTAGTCTTCTCTGTTTAAGTTTCTGTTCTGTCTGGCGTTCTTAGTTCCCATGTAAGCTCACTGTTAGTCATATAATTAAGCCAAGCTCACCTCTTTTGAGGATCAAATCAGGCAAATCTGATAGTTAAGTTAGAACATCAGTGATCTTATCTCATAAGTGAGTTAATCGCTCAGATTAATCATATTTCAGTCTGCTCTTACACCTCTAGTTAGATTATTAATAGCAGAATATGCATTTTTTAGTGCTTTCGTGACTGGATTTGATAGCCTGGGCATTTCGCTTCGTTTCATCATGAATAATAGCACACGCACTATCATAAATTTTTATTAATTCTTGAGCACTTGGGGTTAATAATGATGATGATGATGATGATATGAAGCTTCTCGAAATAACGACGGGTCGCATTATAATTACCGCTAAACAAAACAAATCCATGGGAGGGATTCCACAGACTGCTCGAAACACCCAAGTGCCACTGAGGGAGAAATTCATTATTTATATGCCACGTTATTTCACCAAAAATAGCCAATAGAGGTTCACTTCCGATTTAACCATTTGCTATATGCCCCAAGTTGAGAACATTTGTATTTTGTAATCAAGGAGTTTGAGATTGACTTTCTTTCTATCCATAAATAACTATGCTGCCTAATACTGGCAAGGGGCATAAATACAAAACTTTCTCATTCAACCATTATGTAAATTTGATAAAAATTTAGGCAATATAAAAGGAGGTAGAAAAATATTGTTTTAAAAAAAGAAAATAGTAAATGCACCTAAAAATATAGTTTTTAAAAAACACTTTTCTGTACATCAAATATTATAGAAGTAGTTTGAGATATTTAGTCCTGTATTAATTAATAGCAAAGGTTAATTATTGAGGTGAGAGCAATAACTCACTTGGAGATATTTTGTGATGGCATAAAATATTGTGTACAAATTTAGTTTTGATTAGAATAACTTCTGCGTATTCATACAAAGTTTAAAATGCATCACAATGTTCATAATTTATGAATTTTTTTTAATATTTTATTCCTAATCATCCCAATGCTATGTCTTAAACTTGTACTTAGGCCTCTGTTGCGGAGGAATAATTACTGTCACTATCCAACTGACTCATTCTCCTTAAACTATCTCTGTTTTTTACAGAGAAAAAAAAAAAAAAGTATCCCATAGAATTGTGGGATTAGTCGTCCTCTCATAATTATGAGCACATATGCATGTAGCCCACTTTCCACTTTTGCTTTCACATTTTACAATTACGTAACAGCCCACGGTATCTGCAAATGGAAATGGAAATGTGGCTTATTCTTCATGTTCCGCAGAAAATCGACAGAGTTCTATAAAGTGGCGATTGTGAAAAACAAAATCAACACTGAATCAAGCTGACTCTAGTCCAATTAAAATAATCAAGAACAAAAACGAAGAGATATTAAAAGATTAATATATATTAGAAGTATAACACCCCCTCATCAAACTAACACGAAAACAGAGACTCTGCTAACTCTTGGTGGGCTTTTTGAGCCTATCCACCCATAAAATTTTCGGCAAGTGGCAACGCATGCGATCCCAAGGATTAGATTTGGCATTATCTCGATTCAAAATGCAGAATCATTCGTTCCACAATTGACTCAGCTTTGGCCCCAGGGGCCATATTGACGTGTTGCTTTCACATGATAATATGTAGTGATCAGCTTCCCTCTCTCATCTCGTGAACTAGTTGTTTTCAACTTCATGATGGGATCCCACACACATACTTTATAAGAACTAATGAATGGCACTTTCTCTTTTGGTGAGAGGATGGAACCTTCCTGTGGCATCTATTGTTTCTTCATTTGCGTATACCCCAGGCAATTAACAGATTTCTAGTGCTAACCGTTGACAATTGGGAGTACGCAAATTGAGGTAAATGCATTTCAGTGATATCTGCTTCTGCTCACAAGATTAATTGCGGTTCCAGGATTCGTAGTTCAATGGTTGTCAACCAAAAAAAAATAAAGTATCAGGAAAACGATGCTTGTGATATGATTAGGAGTCAGCAAAGCAACTGACGCTTGCAAACTTCCATGCGTTGGTTGAATTTTATAACCAAGGTCATCCTTAATATTCCTGTGTTTTTTTCGTTCTGGATGGCCAGACTTTTGACTTGTTATTATTGGTACTTCAGAGTGTGAGAAAAATTTATGCTTTTTGCCGTGTGAAAGTCGTGAGTGTTATGTTACATCATGGTTTGAAAAGGAAGTTACTAAATTCCAATCCCACTCTGGGATTTTTGTGGGATTGTACCGACCCTCACTACAACCATACGGTATGAAGTGCCATCATCAAGTATCATAATGACTCATGAGCCGTTTCAATTCACGCTGCATTTAAGGAGAGGCGTGGCCTAAGATACGTGTTTGATTTGATAAGACCATCTCTGGCTCTGGCTTATCACTTCCATTCTTGAAATTATGACGTGTGACAATATGGTGGGTCGTTTGGACTGTAATTTAGGCCCAGAATAAAGAGTGACGATACAGTGCCGTATCCGCGGCGTCTATGAACAGTGTGAAGTGCTACAAGTTGTCGTTTTTCCGTATGTTTATATCAAATACAAGTTTGAGAAATTGAAAATTGCCTTTATTCACAACCCAAATAGTGCAATCCTTAGATCGCAGGATCTTTAAGAAGCGACTGAAATCGGCAAGAATTGTTTGGGAGCTATCCACCAAAAAATGCAATATATCAGCACTTAAACAAATACCACAAGACAATTCCCACATGTCAACGAACTTTATTCATCTTGAGGCATCCGCCAGAGTTGGGAGTTATCTAAGGAGAGAATCTCCATTAAAACCAAATCTCTGTTCAGGCTCTTGTGCCCTTCAAATATTCAGTCAGTCCAAAATTTCAGTTCCTCTTCAAAGCATCGACCGTAAAGAGATATATTCGCTACCGGATAAGAAATCCATCAGGCACTCACTTTAATATTTTTGCACCGTTTCCAAGTTTTGCTTTTCGACTACTTGTTGCTACAAAAAGAAAAAAATACGTCCCAAAGCTCAAGGCATACCATTTTCATCACGCTACCAAATTGGCGTGGATCATCCACTAGGCTTCACAACGCCTCCATTCCAATGTCAAAGAAAATAAGATTTGCTGCTACAAAACTGACATGCACGCGCATGAGGAGTGGGGTAAAAGAACACGATCAAATTGTTCAATATCTAATTTATTTGTACCCTTCCCGTGGATTTGCGGCTCAACGACACAGGTAACCATAGTATATTCTCACCCCCCACAAGATCTCATAGCAAAGATTGAATCCAAAATTGAACGGACTCGTAAGTTTTTATTTAAAACTCTGGTAGAAGTAAAAAGAAAGGGATCGGGAATGGGGGAGACAAAATGTGGAGGGAAGTGGACTCCACGGCTGTACGAGGAAGGAGATAGAACAAGATAGTGACACTTGCCTCATCGATGGCAACACAGCATCACCAACGATTTCTGATAATCTTCGGTTACCCCTTTAGCCAGCCATGTCATACCGGCATCCAAGAAGCCCACGGATAATTAAAGCAGAAATAGGATTCAAGCAGCTCTCAAGTAACCATCATTCATTCAAAGTTATAATCATCATCCTCATAGTTATATCCCTCGTCGACATGATTATCATAACAAGTATTTTCATATAGCCCGCCCATATCACCTGTCTCCTCTTCCACTTCACTTGTTGATTCGAGCTTGTCATCACCCCTGTCTTTGTCCTCCAGCTCCGACTCTAAATTATCGCGATTCCCAGAGCATGGCTCAATTCGTGCTTTCTTGGGGTTCTCTAGCGCCGCCTGCGTATCCTAACATAGAAAAAAAATGCTTATAAGGACAAGTATATCCCTAACTTTCCGTTCTTAGAAGATAGGGATAACCAGCTAGTTTCAGCTCCAAAAAAATGAAGATTTAGTCCCGAGTTATTGTCGCGGAACAGAATAATTCTGACCAAAAGGAAAATAGTTGAATGAAAGACTTACGGGTTCACCAAATAATTTCTCCATCATTTCAAAATTGACTTTAGAGCCAAGCCTCTGCAAATGATCCCCGTAAATAGATGTCATTCGTAATAGGTGAATATTTTTCAAATAACCAGAAAACCTAGCATAAATCATATCATTGTCGACTGGATATATAACCTTTTTCCTCAGCGCTTGAGTATCCTTTGGATCAAGTCGGGCAGACCCTGAACCCTTTGCCACTTGAGTTTGTCTCTTCTTCTTTCCCTGCAAATGTGTATTTTAAACAAAATCAACAAATCATAGCTTTGAAATAATTCATCCTGAAAAAATTGATACTGCTAGGGGTAAAATAATGAGACTACATGTAACTACTGCACCCACTTGAACATTACACTAAGGAATTTATACAACTGTGAATAAGAAACAAAAAGTGTCTACAATCACACTGCTGAGTTCTACAGACACAGAGAGACGGGTGTGTGTTTAATAATTCAGCAAGTAGTTTGCATGTATTTTGCTTCCTTTTTCTTAAACCATCAGTGTCAAAGCAAGAACATGCAAGATATTCTGCTTCTGCCATTCCATTCTCATCAACTTATGCTCCTAGAATCACATTTCAAAGCAGTAGTTTCCCATCTCAAGCTTCGTTTCCATTAACCAATAAGTCTGGATTCTATTACCATAAAAAATAAACCTAGGATTTCTTCAAGATTCAAGTGTTTAATGAGTTCAATAATAATTTATAACCAATATGATTTCAACTCAAATAGTACACTGGCAAAACTAGCATTGCTGAAAGAAATGCATTCTTAAATTACGTTAAAATGGCCAAGAGAAAATTCTTAAAAAATTCTGCGCTGTCCTTTTAAAGTTTTGCGGCAACTGTAATTTACTCTTGCATTGATGAGAACTAATGGACACATGCACCAATATATTTACAATAAATTTTAGAAGTCACCTTTTGGGATTTCGCCACAGATGCAGAAGCAGATGTGTCCAGCTCTCTTGTTACCAGCAAACCATCAAAACCCCTTTTTGCAGCTTCTTCCTTGGCTGCTTGGTCCTGTAAAAAGAGTTTCAGATAGAGTGAAATAAAGTAAATTAATCTCCAAATAAACCCAATTAGAATAACATCAAGGCCAAGCATACTACAATGCAAGCAACAAATTTCCAGTATTTGAGTTTAAAGAGTGATCGAGTGTGAATATCAGCCACAGAACATTTTCTGGCAACATTAAGGAAGCAATAAAGATCAAATCATGTTTACCTTAGTATACTCCCAGTTCAGTTTTTCCCATATGATCTTCTTATATTGCCTCTCCTCTTCATTGTGAAGGTAGCGATCAATCTAAGGAGCACACAAGATTTTAGCACGCATTAGAGAACATTGACGTGCTATTTACATTTATAAGCAGCATCAAGAATAACTATGATCGAGGGGACAATAATGATCAGAAAAAATAAGTGTGGCCGAGATAAACTTCAAGATACAAGACTAAGAGCTTAAAAGGTTTGAATCAAAAAATAAAAAATTTATGCAAGGCAGGTTCATTTTGTGAGTTTGAGGTTTAAACCGCTCACTCTCCACACATCAGTTCATATCACTGAAGCAGTATAGATTAGAGGTTCTTATAAGCTTATTTTTGGCAGGTTTTGAGCCTTGGATGCTTAAGGTCCAGTCATGCAGAGTTTATTAGGGTTTGTTCATTGTTCATTGGTGCAACCTCATTGAGATAATGGCCCTTGAGAGACCAATTAGACTTAAGTCTTAGGAAGCAAATACATTTCATATTTTTCATTTATCCAGTTCTTCCCGGGAATGAATTAACCCTGCTTTTCCTCCACTCGAAAGAAAAAGACGCTTCAAATGGTTGCCACCTGATTTATGAAAGAAACCAAAATGATCCAACAACCAGTCAAACGAATATTACAAAAATAGTTTTCCCAAACTAAAAGGAATATTGTTCATTGGAACTCTAACAGGCGCGGCAAAGCATGTCAATTTAAATTGCACATGACCACCACTGCTAACAGATAAAGAGTGGAACTTGGTAAGCACCTCCAGATCATCAATGTCAGACAGACATTCCGATTCATCATGTGTTCTCATGCTCATGTCATGTCTATTTGATTCACCACCTTTCACCGTCTTTAGTGGCTGCTTGCTTAACATCAACTCCTGAAAGCACTTTGGGAAAATTATAAATACATAATTGCAGGCAGAAAGCAGAATACTTCTAGTAGTTCACAGAGGGAGAGAAGCACTAGCTAATGCTTTGAGGTTCACAGGTACATGATTCTTTTTTCTAGATCGCACATCCTGCATTTGATGATTAGGAAAGGCCAAAAATACATAATATTTGAAGGTTTAATTAGGAGATGGCTCTACCAATTTGTGAGAAAGGAAAAGAGACATTCAGCTGGAATTGATGTTAGATGCCGATATATTGCTCAAGCAAGGAAGGTATCTTTTAAGGACCATGTCAAAAAGAAAGGCTTCTCAGAGATATTGATGCATCAGACAAGCAGATAAGTAGGTAAGGTGTCGCTTATTAATATCAAGTCTGAGCTAATTTGTGAGATAGATAATTTCTTATTGCCTCATATGACACCGATCTTTTGACAGCATGTTTTACCTGGAGTTTGTATACAGGCTCATTTGTCTTCTCCAACAGAAAACGAATGTTTGGCGAAAATAAACACACACTTGTCAAAGCTATTCTACGTGGACTTTTATTGCTTAGCTTGAGTTCTCAATTTTGCTTCTAGAGCCTTTCAAATCATATGATCTCCACGTAGCAGTTTTACTACAATGTTAATGCAAATAATTCACAAATTTGTTTGTTGCCACAGAAGTGAAAAAGAAACATGCGTGCATATGAAAGGAAATGCGTCCCACCAAAGAACTAGTCACTGTGCACTTACATCACTTGATTCATTAGCACATGCCCGAGAAAGTGATCTTGTCATTTTCTCCCTCCGAGCACGCTGGAAATAAGGAGGATCAGCCAGAGAGTCTTGTGAACTATATGAAACAATAAAAAAGACAACATGAGTTAAGACAAAACAACACCATGTTAAATAGGACAGCTCGCAGAGCATGCCACCAAATACCGAACGGCGAATTGACATAAAAGATGACATAATGTTATTGAGCTTCCTAAATCAGTTGTCATGAACAATAATATGAAGAAAAGATGAATTGCCACCAGCAGAACAGACACACAATCTTATTTGTAAAGCATGTCGATTAAGGCGTCAGAACCTCATCATATACGCCACGAATTGTTAGCTAAGAGGAATGAGCACGCATAGGGAACGCCATCGGAACAATGACGGGACAACGCTACCAAAGAAAAAAAGTTCTGATGGTAATCTAAGCGTGGTATCGTGTCAAACAGAGCATGATTCATGGATTCTAAGCACATTACTTGAGACCTTGTACTGAGACTCTTATTGGAAGGAGAAAAAAACGAATGTTTATCGAGGTTGGAAACCGAATCTTCAGAAGGAACAGTCGGTGTCGGGATCAAAAGTTACGTTTCGGTCCCCCAGGTCATTAGGGCATCAACAGCTGTTGATATTTCAAATGGCCATCCGCGCCGACAGAGCCTTCTTGATTTCCCGGGAATTATAAAGATTAATTAAAGAACCAAGCCTTTATATATTGTGAGTAATTTTTATTTTAATACCCGGAAATGACAGTAGTATTTTTTTTAAAAAAAAACGAGATAAGGCCGTAATGGAGTGATTACTCCAATAAAATATTTTTCATTAAAGAATTGTATCTATTTTTTTTTAATGATTTGGGTTTTTAGCATTATATATTGGACTTCGATGATAAATTGATCGTTAAACTCTTGTGATATTATATTTTGATTTTTTAAAGGATATAGCTTAATTAAAATTGGTTGGCAAAGAAAAAGCCTGGGTTAAAATTGATTTTATTTTACTGCATAACAAACTTCATAAATAGTTTAATATAGATTAAAGTATATTTTTGATTCTTTAACTTTACATAAGTTTTTTTTTTTTTTTTTAGTAGACAAGCAGAGCTTGCAGGCAAGGATCAAACCTTGATAAAGGCCACCAACATGTGGCTACTGGCCACTGCGCCACACAGGTTGTTTTGAAAGTTAAATTTAATATTATAGTATTTAGTAATATTTTATCAATATTTAAGAGTTTAATATCATCTTTTTTTGTTAATAGTTATAAGGTCAAATGACTAAAAGTATACTTTTAAAGTTAAGGGACCAAATTGAAACCTCGACCAAATATATACTTGAGCTTTTTATATATTTACATATCTCTGATTAAAAATTCCTCCCCTCCCCTAAAATACATAGGGAGGACAAGGAGAGGTTGAGAAGAGGAGAGATCTGTTTTATTGGATGAAGGATGAAAAAAAAAATATGTAAATTGGTGATATTTAACTTTGAAAAATCTTAAATTTTAAGTCACTCCAAAATTAAGATAAATCTGAATAACTAAAATTCAAAACAACCAATAGCAATAAACCAATCTGTTGCCTTTTCAGTAAAAAAATCTTAATCATAAGGTCTAGCATAATTGACACTTAGTTATGTTCATTAAGTATTTAGGCAGGAGTTTGAATTTTGACGGTATGTATTGAGAAGGTCTTATGGCCAGCACTAAAACCCTTATGAGAAGTTTATGGTGTATGGGGATTAGTCACTGTTAATAACGGTGGATACTCATGACTCAACAAAAAAAAAATCTTGAACTTGAGTTTTTCAATTATGATTTTACATGTTAATTTAATTATATCGGCTATAATTTTATAAATAATATTATAGATTTATAGGTATACGTTACACATATGTTGAGGTAATTCTTTGAATCCCCGCGTAATTTTATCCTAGACCCATCGCTGCTTGTCTTGTGCTTCTAACTTCTAAGGAATGCTAATGTGCATTGACGTGACCAAGCACAACCACGATAAAAGCAAATACTAAGAACGGGTTTTGATTTGTGATTTGTAAGTATTTATAAGTATTTTTATGTAAAGTGAAACAAAAATTTTCTTAAATGCAGTTGAAAAATTGTTTTTAAGCTATTCTAATAAGTCAGGTCATGCCACGAAAAGTGGAAGAAAGTAGAAAACTGTTTACTGTCCGCATAGAAAAAATAAAATAGAAAAGGGAAAAAACTCCAAATTGAATAAAATTAGTCAAATCACTAATCAATAATCAATAACAAACAAGTAAAGGCAGAAGTTAAGCCGCGAAACTTCACGCTTTGAATGTAAATACGGAAACAACTGTGCCAAAATAATTACTCCTCCGGTTCTTATTATAAGACCCAATTTGACTTTTTATTTGGTCCTAATTATAAGACCCAATCCATTTTCTCTCTTATATTTATGTATTTTTTTCAAGATAATCCTTCTAATAATGATAGTTTTAGCCAATATACTTAATTAGCAAGGATATTTTAGGAATAACAACACTTATTTATTATAAATAACCAACTTAACTTACTTCCTTAATCTCCTCAAATAAGTCAATTGGGTCTTATAATTAAGACCGGAGGAGTATATATATTTTGGGTACAAATGCCCAAATAATTTTTTTATTTAAAAAGAAAAACTAATCTAACAGTGCTTATAGTTTCACTTGATTTTGAGTCGAGTCCTTCTAGTTTTTTTTTTAATGAAATCCTTATAATTTATTATATTAAATGAGCAAGTCCTTTTGTTAAAATTACTCCAGCACCGTTAATGCTGCGTGATATGTCATTGAAAATGCTTGCTTTCTCTTTTTCTCCGGCGCCGAGAATGACCTTTCTCTCCCTCTTTCTTGTCGGTAAAAACTTTTGCTCTCTCCGTCATCAATCATGGGCCAACCATGCCAATCAATAAGAGGAAGAGATGCTCCATCTTAAACTGTATTCACGCGCACTGCTTCTACGTTGTTGGGGATTTAAGACGAAGTCGCATGAATACTGGGATTCAGCATTCCAGAGTCATGACGGCTATCAGAGCTTTCGGCGGTATTCCTTACTTCTTTTTGGGCGATACAACCGGGTTTGCCTCGGTTTTTTGTTGCTTCCATTAGAAACACAACTCTGGGTGTGATAGCATTTGAAGTCAACTCCTTGAAGAATCATTGTTTCAAAGGCCTTATTTTGTCACGACGCTTGAATCAGAATTAAATACCCCAGTGGCAATATGACAGGTTCGTGATTATCAAAAGCTTTTAAAAAATGGTGTATTATATGTTAAGCAAATTTTTTAAAATAACAAATTAAGGTGATTTTTTTGTTAAACTTTTCCAAAAAGAACATGCAGCTGTATATAATGCAATCTGTCATATTGAGTAGAATTTCATTTGCAAATTTACCATGTTTGGGACAAAACTGCCACCGCCGGAAAGGAAGCGAGGAGCAAAGCTTCGATATTATCACTTCATAATGTAGAACCCCAAAATTCACATGATCTTATCCTAAATCCCCAACATCATACAAGCAATGCTAATGAAGGGGTGAATACAATTTAAGAAGGAGCCTTTTTTATCCTTGTCGACGTGAGATTGGTGGTGTTGGCTCTTGAAGGATGAAAGAGAGAGAGCCATGAGCCCATGAGCTTTTATTGGGAAGGACTAAGGAGAGAAAATAAGTCCATATGCTGCCTTAATTTTAATGGAAGAACTTGCTCGCTTGGTGTAAGAAACCATAAGGATTCCATAAAAAGGGAAAAAAAATTAAAAGAACCTGATTTAAAATCAGTTAAAATTATAATCACCGTTAAATGAGTCTTCCCTATTCAAAATGCTAAAATAATTAAATCCACATATACTAGATTTTTTTTTTTGCCATAAGATATACTGGGTTTTTGATTCGTAAATGGACAACCGAAGAAGCTTTCTTACAAAAACAGTGAATCCGGCCCAAAAAATTATGGGGTCGCTGTTGTTAACCCGAGTAAATGCGAACCCGGCTGACATGATTTTCTCAAGGCCTAACAGAGTGTTTTGGAGGCCGAAACTTGGCTGTTTGTAAACGCTTGAAGTTGGCATGAGATTTTGGATCTAAGACTGGCTGTTTTAGAAGCATTTTTTTTAAAAACAAAACAAACTCCTTCGCATATTTACTTCGTATACTGTAAAAAATACTTGATTTTGATTCTCTTACTCAGGTAAATTCCAATCAGTTTTGTAGCCTTCTGATGATGATGCAGATACTTGAGATACTGAAGCTTGACTGGGAGGTAAAGCTCTGCTATATTGTTAGGAATGCAAATGAAGTTGCTGATAAATTAGCCAAACAAGGGATCTCAGTCTCCTCCAATTTGGATACGTGTCCGAGTGGCTTGAGAAGTCTTGTGGATAAGGATCGCTTGAGATTTAGTCCCAATCTAGTCCAGTTTTTCCTTTTGGGCTGAGCCCTCTTTTGCACCAAAAAATCTGACATGTACATTAAAAATTTGTATCAAACATAAACTTATTCAAAAAAATAATGCGAGTAACATAAAAGCCCTAATTCTTTGCATGCGCTCGCTCCTGGAGTATTGTTTGCGGCGGTGAGTTCTTGGAGCTTCCTCTTATCCCTATCAACAATGGCTGAACGTGGCGGAGATCGTGGCGGCTTTGGCCGTGGCTTTGGGGGTCGTGGAGGACGTGGTGACCGGGGTCGCGGAGGCCGCCGCAGGGGCGCTCGTCGGGAGGAGGAGGAGAAATGGGTTCCCGTGACCAAGCTTGGCCGTCTCGTCAAAGAGGGAAAGATTCGCACCCTCGAGCATATCTACCTCCACTCTCTTCCGATCAAGGAGCATCAGATCATCGATACGTTGGTTGGTCCCAGCCTGAAGGACGAGGTGATGAAGATCATGCCGGTCCAGAAGCAGACGCGAGCCGGTCAGAGGACCCGGTTCAAGGCCTTCGTTGTTGTCGGGGACGGCAATGGACATGTTGGACTTGGCGTGAAGTGCAGCAAGGAGGTGGCCACGGCCATTCGCGGCGCAATTATTCTGGCCAAGCTTTCGGTTATTCCGGTGAGAAGAGGCTACTGGGGTAACAAGATCGGGAAGCCGCATACAGTTCCGTGCAAGGTTACTGGAAAGTGTGGTTCAGTTACAGTGCGGATGGTGCCTGCCCCTCGTGGTGCTGGAATCGTTGCTGCTAGGGTGCCAAAGAAGGTACTGCAGTTTGCAGGAATCGAAGATGTCTTCACTTCTTCACGAGGGTCGACCAAGACGCTTGGGAATTTTGTCAAGGTTCGTTGTCTAATTCGCTTTTTAATTTATGCAATATATTGAATTGAAATCAAATTCCTGATAAGATGTTACTTGATACAAATTTGCGTGCATCCTAGTCTATCCGTTAATGATGCCAGAGAAAGAAACGCGTGGCTATACTAGCATTCCTGGATTAAGAGAGTGCACGAGAAGGTGTAGCCTTCGCATAAAATTATGTACAAATTAACTTTTGAAAATTCATGATTGGCGAATGGAGTCAAATTTTGTGATCAGGGATTTTTCTGAGGCGACAGTGATGTTTAAGACCCAGAGCTGTTTTGCTTGAAAGGCTCTTTCATCTATAAGTAAAATTATGTCGGTTTGTACTACAATCCAGGCATGTACAGATGGAAGCATCAGTTTATGTTTATGCTTAACTTGTGTTGGGATGTTTTCTATTATGAGGACTTGGCTTTAGACGCAAATGTGAATTGTAAATACATTCCCCCCACAAATATTTTATGATATTGTAAGTGAAAATTAATCTATAATAATAGTAATTACCTTCATATCATGTCTCAAGTCACAACTTGCATCGCATGTATTTTGTGTTACAAATTAATTCGTGTTCATGTCAATAATGTTTTATCTTTCTGCAGGCTACTTTTGATTGTTTGCTGAAAACCTATGGATTCCTAACGCCTGAATTCTGGAGGGAGACCCGCTTCGCCAAATCTCCATTCCAAGAGTACACAGATTTATTGGCAAAACCGACTGGAAAGGCTCTGATCCTGGAGGATGACAGAGTGGACGCTTGAGGTGGCACCCTGTAGTTCTTCACATTTTCGTGTTATGAGCTGCACGGGATCCTAGAATATGTTTCGATAGGAACTGGTAATTAAGTTATTTGCTGCTTATGTAGTTTCCCTCTTTAACCTTTTTCGAGGGGCCGTTTTTCATGCGTTTCCTTGTTTTTGAATTTCCGCCCAGGGGATATTCACCAAGTTTGAAATACAAGAGTTTTCTTCCTGAATTTTGAGAATAATTCTTATGCTCAAATATCTGTCTCTGTTGGAAAGTTATGTTTCTTATCTAACAAAGCTCACCTTATCCCCATTAAACAACCATATTAACTTAAACAAAAAATTTATCGAATGACGAAATGAATCGATCGCCATTCACATGCATTTCTGTCCGTGATATTTCCTATCTGACATTCTAAGTAAGTAACGTGGTTAACCTGCTGGAGGCCACGCCAGGGCTAAGAACCGCAAAATTCTCAGGCTGAGACCAGAACACGGTCTGTCCTTTCCACCCTGGGAGCGCTAATCCCCGAAAGAAAGTTGACCACTGTGCCGTTTGGGAAGCTCTATCAATTTTATCCAGCACAGGGTCGTTCTTCTTGAATTTTCTGGCCAATGGGTGGCTGCTCAGGACCATTTTCCGATATTGGAGGGTTGTCCCAACTCACAAGTAATAGAGTGATGGTCATTGTTAGCAACGGTGTTCTTGTATTCCTTGGAGTTGCATGTTAGCGTCTGGAAATACACTTCACGAGATGCTACAAAGTTGGTGTAGTAGAGGAGGAAGGTCCTTGGCAAATTTAAATGACAACCCACATAAAAAAATTTTGAGTTCTATAAGTGAGTGTACGGACGTGTGTTATTAAAAAAAGAAGGAAAAGAAAAAAATAGAAGAGAAGGGAGGAAAAAAAAACTCAAAATTGAGTAAAATGAGTCAAATCAATAACAATACTATTTTTTTAATATAAAAGTTAGTTGACTAATTTGAGTAAATTAAAAAAAATTAGGTAAGTTAATTATTTGTAATAAATAAGTATTATCTTTTTTAAAATATTTTTATTAATCAAATGTATTTTAAGTGTAGTATTAGTTAGACCTATCATTGTTATAAGGACTATATTCAGAAAAAATAGATAAATATGAAAGATAAAGTGGATTAAGGTCTTATATTTAGGATTAAAATAAAAGTAAAAAAACTCTTATATTAAGAACTGGAGGTAATATTAAATAAATAAAGGTAGAAGCTTAGATGCGAACGTTTTTGTGGGGTTTTGCTAAATCACCATTTCTGCTGGTGATTCCAAACAAGCAGGGTAAAATATTGGAATAATTGTACCAAAATAAGTCTACCGGCTAATTTGGAATGACCAATAAAGAGTTTTTTTTTTATCATGATTTATGTGAAGCAAGAATGTAAAAGAGTTTTGTTTCGATTTACATACAATATACATATAAATACCTATAATTGTGTTTTTTTGCTAAAGCATATGTATCGTTATATCGGAGACAATTCTATTTGAGACGCTGTCAGGCACTAAATGTGGACACTTCTTCCAGTAATGATTCAAACCTTAATTTGTCACGTTATGAGAGATTAGTCCTTTCTGTTAGACTTAATTCCTGTTAGTCCTATAATTGTGATTTCAAAGAGGCCTATATATGCTAGCATAAAAGGAGAATCCAAAAAGTTTTGTTGCAAAAAATTTAGTTTTGGACCAAAATTTTATTCAGGTTGTTGTTGCTGTTAAGCCGAGTAAAAGGGTGCTTAGCAAAACAAGAAAAAGCACTTTTTAGTATCAAATAATCACCACACATTTTGAGAAAACCAAAATTTAGCGCAAAACCATAGTTTTAAGCTGTGAAAACATGATTTGAGAAGAAGCAAATTTTTGTTTTTACTTTTGGATAGACATCAGCGAATTGCAGGCTTTGAAAGACATTTGAAAGACATGTATATTTGTATTATCCTTTTTCTTCTCTTTACAACCCCAACAAGACTTACCCAAATATTTTCATTTTTTCCTATTATGTTTAATACTCCTCTAGTCCTTAATATAGGACCTAATTCTTGAGTTGGTTTTGATCCTAAATATAAGACCCATTTATTATATTTATCAATTTTCTCTAGATTACCCCTGTAGATACTCCTTCAACCATAATCAAGTAGAAGAGGGAGATGAGGTATTAAAAAATATGATTATGGTATTTTAGGAAAAATATGTCACTTTTCTTATAATTAACTAACTTTCTTAATCTAATCAAATTAGTTAAATGGGTCTTATATTAAGGATCGGAGGAGTAAAATATATAATAAATTTATGACTTGAGCTGTAAATTTAATCAAATTATTATGTTTAATATTTTCATCATATGATTATTAAAAAATATTAGGAAAATTTATAAATATATAATAAGAGTATTATTTTTAAAAAATATATTTAATCTTATATTTTATATACACATTAATTATTAATTAATCATATAACTAATAAATTGCTGTTATGTATAAACTTCAATTTTTTTAAAGAAATTATGAAATTTCATGTTTAAAATTTTTAAGTGAAATAATCATTTTTCTTAAAACATTTAATTTTATATTTTATAAATATATACACATGTTAATTATTAGCTATTTATATTTTATTATATTATTTATTATGTTGGCAAAAAAATATTACTAACAAATTTATTAGTCCTTTAGCTTTAAAGTCGAAGGGAAAGCAGGAAAACGATGGAACGCTCTCTCTCGCTCAAACTCGTGGAGAAAGAAGAAGCCCCCACCCACCCCGATGACAATCGATCAACTAAAAAAGTTAAAATACGCGCAGATCACAGCAATGAACAAGATGCAGAGATGGTTACAGATGGCCAAAATTTAACTCATGAAGAGGAAGATTGCATGGCAGAAGAAACTGAGAATGATCAACAAGCCCCTGCTCCCCCTCAAGCCACCGACCAAACTACGGATAAGGGACCACCAAAGCCAGCATCTTTTCTCGACAAACTCCTTAACAAAGACAAAGTCTACGACGACGAAGATGATTTTGTCCTTGATGAAGAGGATGTACCTTTCGGGAGGGAGGGCATCTTCCCGGCCATTAAATTCTCTCCCAGGGTCCACAAAGCTCTCGAAGATAGTATGAAGTTCTCAGTAGTTTTAAAGCTACTTGGACGACCTATTGGCTACAATCGCTTACAGGACCACCTTCTTCAACTCTGGAAGTTCCCAGGTCCCTTCAAGCTCATTGACCTTGAAGGAGGTTGTTTCATCGCTACCCTCTCTAACGAGGAAGATTATCAAGCAGTACTCACGGAGGGGCCTTGGGTCATCGCTGGGCATTATCTCACTGTGCATCCTTGGACCCCAGATTTCTCACTGACAAACCACTCCATCTCCCAAGTGGTAGCATGGATTCGCATTCCAGGTCTCCCCACAAAATATTACAAAAAGAATATCATCAGAGCTATAGGTAGGGTTCTCGGCAGTTATTCGCATTGACTATAACACAAAGTCGAGAGAGAGAGAGGCAAATTTGCTTGAATGGCTATCATTCTTGATTTATCTAGCCCTCTCACTTCCAAGATTGTCGTAGATGACAAAGCCCTCCTGGTGGAATATGAAGGATTACGCACAATATGCTTCCACTGTGGTAGATACGGCCACCTTGCTGAATCTTGCCCAGTCAAGAACCCACAAGTTGCTACCTCTATGATGAATGCTCTTGAAGCAAAACCAGACGCGGTGGCGTGTCCTACCACCGCCGATGAAGTTCATGACGCAAACCCCTATGGTGATTGGATGCCGGCACCTTTATTAAAAAGGCATTTTTTCAAAGATGCAAAAAAGGTGTCAGAGCACAGTTACCTTAACCATGCCACTAAGGGCTCTAGGTTTGTCCTTCTCCACCATCAAGACGCCCAACCGGATAGCCAACCTGACACCCCTCGGGAAAATGACAACTTGGCTCACAGCAATCCTATCATCGAGACACCGAACCATCAGTCCAGCCTAGCCAAAACAATGAAACCTGCAAAAAATGCCATAAAAAAGCCACCTCCTCCGCCGAAAACCCAGAAAAAGACTACCCCTGGCCCTTCCCCTGACTCCCTCTTCGCCTTAAAAGCCTACAAAGCCTCCACTTCGACCTCTTCCTTAGACTCCTCTAAGCACTCAGTAGTCATCCTACCTAACCCTAAAGCACCACTAAAGCCCACCAATAACCAATAGCCCCTGTCCCACCCAGACAGAACCCCAAGCCAGCCCAAACTCCAGAACAAAATAAGGAAAATTTAGGGCCCAAACCTCCCGACAAATCTTCACCCTCCTCTGGTGTCAAGCTCAATTTGGGCCTCCAAATAGGATCTACCAAACACAAGACCAGAGAAAAACCACCCAATCTCGTAGATGATGTCTTAAAGACCATCACCAAAGCCTTAGACAATGATTCAGAGCTCTTCGATGATACCATGGATGATGATGATGTTTAAAGCCGCTCCGGCTTGGAGAAATAATTCTCTTAAACCATTAACATGGTAGCAGTCATATGGAATTGCCAAGGTGCGGCCAAGAGTAAGTTTCACTCAGTGCTTAGAAGCATAAACTAGAAATTTTGATTCTAATGGAGCCCAGAATCTCCGATAACATGGCAAACAAGGTAATCAAGAAGCTTGACTATCCCAACTCACACTGAGTTGAAGCTTGTGGCTTCTTTGGAGGCATTTGGATGCTATGGTCTGACCATGTACATGTCGAGGTCATCCTAAACCATTGGCAATTCATCCATACAAAAATCTACCTTACTCAAGAAAAGAAGTCTTTTCTTCTCACAGCGGTGTATGTGAGCCCGTCAGCGACTACAAGAATGCAGCTTTGGCCAGAACTCACCAACATTGGCCAAATCATCTCTGACCCTTGGGCCATCGCTAGAGGCTTTAACTCCGTCCTCACTTCAGATGAGCGACGATCAAGTTCAGGAACCCCTCGAAAAGGCTGCGCCCATTTCAATCACTTTGTTAACTCTTGCTCTCTCTTTGATCTTGGATTTTCGGGACCCCGTTTCACTTGGAGATGTGGGTTATCTTTTGCCAGATTAGATCGGGGTCTTAGTCAATAAATCATGGATTGACTCTTTTCTGAATACAACAATCCTCTACTTGCCTAGAATACAATTTGATCATTGCCCACTCAAAATCACTCTGAACCATAACCCATCCAATGCCTGAGAGGCCCTACCTTTCAAATTCCTAGCAGCTTGGCTCACTAACCCTAACTTTTCAAACCTGGTTAAGAACAATTGGAATGATGAGCTATCGTTGAGGACCAACCTCTCCAATTTCATCGAAGCAGCTAAAGTATGGAATAGAGAAATCTTCTGAGCCATTGGTCTTAAAAAGAGGTCACTTGAGGCTCGTATTGTAGGTGCTTAGAAAGCTTTAGAGGATAATCCTCTCTCTGTCTTCCTCCACAACCTCAATTGCGAGCTAAGCTCTAAATATGAATCGATTTGCCTACAAGAGGAATTATTGTGGATTCAAAAGTCCCGGTCAAATTGGATAAATTTGGGGGACTGCAACACCTCCTACTATCACACCAAAGCTAGAATACGTCGTTCCAGGAATAAAATAGCTGCACTCAAAAATGATGATGGTGTGTAGGTTTCGGACATAGAAGAGCTTAACCGAATGATACGGGAATTCTACATCAACCTTTACTCTAACCCCCACTGTGATCCTGAACCATACAAGCACAGAGGTATGTTTCCCCCTCTTACCACTTCTCATTGGAACAATTTAAATGCAGATGTTACCTTTGATGAAACTAGACAAGCCCTTTTTGAAATGAAGCCCCTAAAAGCCCCTGGCCCAGACGATTTACGTGCTTTATTCTTTCAAAGTTAGTGGGACATTGTTGGCAATTCTATCTTTAAAATGGTCTCATCTCTCTTCAATGGAGGTACCCTCGACCCCAACCTAAATAGCACCCTGATCACTCTCATTCCAAAAACAGCCCAACCATCCAAAGTCCAAGATTTTTGACCGATCAACCTTTGCTCTGTTCTCTATAAGCTCACCACCAAAATCATTGCAAATAGACTCAAAACTTTGATGCCGTACCTTATACTCCCCTTCCAATCTAGTTTCATCAAAGGGAGAAGTATTACTGACAATATCATTATAGCTCAGGAGGTAATTCATTCTATGAGAAGAAAACAGGGGAAGAAAGGATGGCTTGCTATAAAAGTGGACCTCGAAAAAGCTTTTGACAAACTCAACTGGTCTTTCATTAAAGACACTCTTGAGGATGCAGGCCTCCCTTCACGGATCACTAAACTCATCATGCACTGCGTGACCACAAGTAGCATGAGTCTTCTATTCAATGGAAAACTGTCAACTTCTTTTAGTCCTTCAAGAGGGATACGGCAGGGGGACCCTCTCTCCCCATACCTTTTTGTCCTCTGCATGGAGAGACTCTCACAAGCCATCTCCAAAGAAGTTCAGCAAAAGAACTGGGAAACCATAAAACTTGGTAGACGCGGGCCCCCTCTTTCTCGTTTGTTCTTTGCAGATGATCTCATAATTTTCAGTGGCACCTCTCCTCACTAGCTGCAACTTATTCAAAAGACCCTAACCGAGTTCTGTTCAGCATCAGGCCAGGTTATCAGTCTAAGTAAAACTCGAATTCATCTTTCTAAGAACATCGCCAAACGCGAAGCAGACTAGATTTGCCAATTTATACGGTTCCAAAAAACAGACCAATTGGGCAAGTATTTAGTAGTCCCCTTGTTGCCCTCTAGAGTCTCTAAGGATACCTACCATTACCTTGTCGAGAAAATCCAATCGAGACTCTCTAATTGGAAAGCCAGATCACTCTCACTTGCAGGAAGAATTACCCTTGCCAAATCTGTGCTTAGTGCCACTCCATACTACACCGTGCAAACTTCCCTCTTACCTGCTTCTTGTTGCAAGTCTATTGACAAAATCATATGAGCTTTTGTTTGGGGCTCTGATGAACATCACAGAAAGATAAGCTTGGTCAATTGGGTTGACATGTGCCGACCTACCAGCATTGGCGGCTGTGGATTGAAAAACCTTAAAGGTCAAAATCAAGCTTTCCTGGGAAAATTAGCTTATCAACTCATTAGCAAACCAGACCAATTATGGGTCCAAGTGCTTCGCGCCAAATACAACTGGGGCCTCAATAATAAGTATGAATTCAAGACTAAAATTGCCTCTTATACTTGGCGAAGCATTGCAAGCATCTGGCCCGACACTGAACTTCATATTACTTGGATAATTGGGGACGGCAAGACCATTAGATTCTGGAGTGATCATTGGGTAGGCGATCTGGGCCCCCTCAAAAATCTCGCTTATGTAGATGTGCCAGACTCTGAGATACATAAGCCCATCACTGACTATATAGATGAAAGAGGCCGATGGGATTGGCAAAAATTCCAACAACTCATCCCTCCAAGGACTCAATCGCAAATTGCTATGATACCGCCCCCCAATGAGTCAGCGGATACAGATTCATGCCACTGGAACCTCACTCCTAATGGCACATTTTCTGTTGCTTCAGCCTATCATGATATCCAGAAATTTGACAATGAAATGCAGGACAAAAATTGGCAATGGGATTGGCAAAAACCTCGCTTATGCAGATGTGCCAGACTCTGAGATACATAAGCCCATCACTGACTATATAGATGAAAGAGGCCAATGGAATTGGCAAAAATTCCAACAACTCATCCCTCCAAGGACTCAATCGCAAATTGCTATGATACCCCCCAATGAGTCAGCGGATACAGATTCACGCCACTGGAACCTCACTCTTAATGGCACATTTTCTGTTGCTTCAGCCTATCATGATATCCAGCAATTTGACAATGAAATGCAGGACAAAAATTGGCAATGGATTTGGAAGTGGCCTGGGATCCAAAGAGTTCGCACTTTTCTCTGGCTAGCCACAAAAAACAGACTCCTCACAAATGCTGAACGAGTTAGAAGAGGCATTGCGGAGACAGCAGCTTGTGGAATCTGTCATACATCCGTTGAAGATCTTGATCACGTACTCCGACATTGTACCTCGGCCTATACTTGCTGGAAAAAGTTTGTCCCTCCTTGTAAGTTACAAGAATTTTATGCTAAACCCCTCAAAGATTGGTTGATTTGGAATCTCAATCCAAGATGCATGGGCACCCACTGGAGGCAGATCTTCGGCACCCTTTGTTGGAAGCTTTGGGATAATAGGAACAAAGGCATTTTTGCTAATGACGCCATGTCTCCGGAGGATATAATCATTACTGTTATTTCTTTTGTTAACCACACCTATAATGCGAAAGGTGTCTTAGATTGTATTGCTGGCACTGCTTAAAGTTTGTACCGTTGCTGTAAATATTTTGATTAATATATTCCTTTTCCACTAAAAAAAAAACAAATTTATTATTTCAAATAAAAATATAAATTAAAATCTATTTTTGGGTTAAGGTGTATTCAACATCCTAAAATATTTTTTTACGTGTATTCACCACTTTGAAGTATTTTGTGATACATCCAATACTCCAAAATATTTTTTAGGTGCATCCAACACCCTGAAGTATTTTTTTACCTTGTTGCTGGATGCATAAAAAAATATTTTGGGTACTAAACACACTTAAAAAAATATTTTGAGATGTTAGATCCACTAAAAAAATTTCTCAGTACTGGATGCACCTAAAAAAATATTTTAGGGTGTTGGTTGTATCACAAAATACTTCAAGATGCTAGATGGATATAAAAAAATACTTTGTGATGCTGGATGCACCTTAACCATCTATTCTTTATGTAATTTGCACATTAAAATATTAATTATTATATTAACTTATATCTTTTTTAGTAATTTGCACATTAAAAAATGATTTTGATAACCACTATCCAAACACTCTTATTTTATCCAAATCATTTTCTATTATTTCAAAATCTGCTCTCAAAATAACTTTTTTTCTCAAAAACTATTCTTCTTTTAATTTTATCCAAATACCTCCTGAACCTAGCTGACGTGATTTTTTGAGGCCGAACAACTTACATAAAAAACTTAAAAAAATTACTACCTCCAGTCCTAATTATAAGAACCAGTTGACTAATTTGAAGAGATTAAGGAAGTAAGTTGAGTTAGTTATTTGTTATAAATAAGTGTTGTTTTTTCTAAAATATCCTTACTAATTAAGTGTATTGACTAAAACACTTATTATTAGAAGGGCTACTTTGAAAAAAATATACAAATATGAAAGACAAAATAAATTGGGATCTTATATTTATGATTAAAGTAAAAATCAAATAGGAGGTAGGAGGTAGTATTTCAGTAGCATAAAAACCCTAATTCTTTGGATACGCTCGCGCCTAAAGTATTGTGTGCCGCGGTGAGTTCTTGGAGCTTCCTCTTGTTACTATCAACAATGGCTGAACGAGGCGGAGATCGTGGCGGCTTTGGCCGTGGCTTTGGGGGTCGTGGAGGACGTGGTGACCGGGGTCGCGGAGGCCGCCGCAGGGGCGCTCGTCGGGAGGAGGAGGAGAAATGGGTTCCCGTGACCAAGCTTGGCCGTCTCGTCAAAGAGGGAAAGATTCGCACCCTCGAGCATATCTACCTCCACTCTCTTCCGATCAAGGAGCATCAGATCATCGATACGTTGGTTGGTCCCAGCCTGAAGGACGAGGTGATGAAGATCATGCCGGTCCAGAAGCAGACGCGAGCCGGTCAGAGGACCCGTTCAAGGCCTTCGTTGTTGTCGGGGACGGCAACGGACATGTTGGACTTGGCGTGAAGTGCAGCAAGGAGGTGGCCACGGCCATTCGCGGCGCAATTATTCTGGCCAAGCTTTCGGTTATTCCGGTGAGAAGAGGCTACTGGGGTAACAAGATCGGGAAGCCGCATACAGTTCCGTGCAAGGTTACTGGAAAGTGTGGTTCAGTTACAGTGCGGATGGTGCCTGCCCCTCGTGGTGCTGGAATCGTTGCTGCTAGGGTGCCAAAGAAGGTACTGCAGTTTGCAGGAATCGAAGATGTCTTCACTTCTTCACGAGGGTCGACCAAGACGCTTGGGAATTTTGTCAAGGTTCGTTGTCTAATTCGCTTTTTAATTTATGCAATATATTGAATTGAAATCAAATTCCTGATAAGATGTTACTTGATACAAATTTGCGTGCATCCTAGTCTATCCGTTAATGATGCCAGAGAAAGAAACGCGTGGCTATACTAGCATTCCTGGATTAAGAGAGTGCACGAGAAGGTGTAGCCTATGAACAAAGCTGTGTAGAAATTAACTGTTGGAAATTCATGATAGACGAATGGAGTCAAATCTTGTGATCAGGAATTTACCTGAAGCAGCATTGCTCTTTTGACACTTGATAGTTGTTTTACTTGAAAGGCTTTCTCATCTATTATGTGAAATTATGTCGGTTTATACTGCAAGCTTAGGCATGCACAGATGGAAGCATCAGTTTTTATTCATGCTCAACATAAGTTTTCTCTGATGACTTGGCTTTCGATGCAAATGTGGATTGTAAATGCATTCCCCTGATATGATCGATCTGCCAGCCAGACTATTGCTAGTCATCGCAGATTGTGTACTTTCCAGGCTTGGTTGTTTAAATGACGTCTCGGAAGTGTGTCTAGTGTAGCAAATCGTTGTAAGATATTATAAGTGAAAATTAATCTATAATTATAGTATTCATCGTATCATGTTTTACAAGTCACGATTTGCATCACATGTAATTTGTTACAGATTAATTCATTTCAGTAATTCTTTTATCTTTGTACAGGCTACTTTTGATTGTTTGCTGAAAACCTATGGATTCCTAACACCCGAATTCTGGAGGGAGACCCGCTTCACCAAGTCTCCATTCCAGGAGTACACAGATCTATTGGCAAAACCAACTGGAAAGGCTCTAATCCTGGAGGATGACAGAGTGGACGCCTGAGCTGGCACCTTGTAGTTCTTCACATTTTCGTGCTATGAGATGCGGTAGATCCTAGGAGATGTTTGGATAGGAACTGGTAATTAAGTTATTTGTTGCTTATGTAGTTTCCCTCTTTTATCTTTTTCGAGGGACCGTTTTTCATGCATTTGCTTGTTTTTAAGTTTCAATTCAAGGGATATTCATCGTGTTGAAATACCAGATTATTCTTCTTGAATTTTGAGAATAATTCTTATGCTCTTATCTGTAGCTATTGGCAAATTTATGTTTCCCATCTAACCCAGCCTAAACAACCATTCCAACCATATAAACTTCAACAAAAATTTATGAAATGGCGGAACTTCATTACATTTTTTTACAACCATCGACTCGATGAAATAGTTGGGTCGCCATTCACCTGCATTGCTGTCTGTGATATTTCCTATCTAAGACAATCTTAGTTAGCAACTTTGTTAACCTCCTGGAGGCCAGGCCCGGGCTAAGTACCCCAAAATTCTCATTTCTGAGACCAGAACATGTTCTGTTCTTTGCACCCTGGGAACACCAACCCCCGAAAGAAAATTGATCACGGCGCCGCTTGAGAAGCTCTCTATCAATTTTATCCAGGACGGGATCGTTCTTCTTGAATTTTCTGGCGAATGGGCGGCTGCTCAGGACCATTTTCCGATAATCTCTGACTCCAAGAGACCTTGGGTGTTGTTTTGGAGGGTTGTCCCAGGTAATGTAGTGAAGGTCATTGTTGGCAGCGGTGTTTTTGTAGTCTTTAGAGTTGCATATTACTGTCTGGAAATACCCTTCAGGGGATGATACAAAGTTAGTGTAGTAGAGGAGGAGGGTCCTTGGCAAATTTTCCCACCCCACAATGCAATATTCAGCAAATGATCTTGATAACATTGTCCACGCTGAACCTGTATTTTAGAAGCCAATCAGACTAAACATTGAACAGACTTGGTTGGTGGGGTGTTTGTTTAGAAGTCGTTGAGATTGAATTTATGAAAACATAGTTGAAGAAAATAATAGCCAGACAGAATAGAGGAAACCGAACCGAACCAATCATTCGGCAGGCCTAATGTTGTCGGCTTTTTCTTAACTATACATGTCTTTTGAAACAATTCTGAAGTAAAATATCTGTAAATTTAAATAAATTATAAATTCAATTATGAAGCATCATATCCAACAACCTAAACATATTACATTGTACATGAATTATCCATTAGGGTACATGAAATTTTGGCTTGATTCGATTATTTTAGGTTGTGTACACTCAAACGTCAAATTAACTGTACCAAACTTAAAAAATAAAAAGGACAGAATCTAATTCAGTTCCATCCAGTTCGTGGTTTCAGTTTAGTTTCGCACACAATGTGTTATGGTAATGGTACTAGGTACGTCAAAAACATCCCTCTTGTTCCTATGATGTGAGATCTGGTGTGGGTACGGGGAGGTGGTGGGATTTTACTGGGCCGACATTGTTGGTAAAGTTGTGGAAGCACATTACGCCCATGTGCTCCCAGCCAGCAGTACAATGCATCAACCATTTAATGGCCTTCCATGAATGATGGTCCCCGCCCTTCGCCTTCACAAACACGTGAAGGGGACATTTCTGCCTGCCAGCTATATTGACGATCAAGCCCTCAATTATAAAATTCTGTCCACTCTATGTGATTTAGGATTGATTCTCTGTTTGACGGTTTGTGTTCTTTTATCTGAGATGACTAGTCCTTCATCATGCAAACATTTTTCTTGGTATTTCAATCCGACTTGGATTTTGAATGTTAATAGCCATAAACAACGCGACGAGAAGAAAAATACAAAACTTGTTCTTCCTTAGTTTGATGTTAATTATAATAACCATCAAGTTTGATGAGAAGAACCTGTATATAGTTTAAAAGCTGTTGGTAGACTCCTCTGCTTGGACGCCCACCAAATTTCTGATTTCTTGAGGCTATACAACCCTGGGTCTATAATAATTGGCTTCCCCCTCTTATTACTGAAATAGATATAACAACAGAATTCAGAACTTTTGGCCAGAAAAATAAGGCATCAAACAGAAACAGGGCTACTTACAATTTCCAACCCAAGTGACTGCTATGCTGTATGAAATTGATATCTCTGGGCAACCCAGAAAAGGCTTGGATCAGATCTGAAGAGACAAATGATTCATCAGAGTTTGAGTTCACAACGAGATGCGCAGAATCAGCATTAGTAAGGTCACACGCAATGACACAAATGCTTTCTTATATCTGATACTCATAAAAATTTTAAGGCCACTCACCATACCATCTTGTGTAACTAAGGGGTAATCAGAGGCGCTGAGATTGATAAACCAGTCCCACTGGCAAATTCTCAGAAGTATTGCCATGGCGTGAAGCGTGGTAGAAAGCATTGTTGGTCCTCTGTAAGTCACCAAATTACGCTTCTCCACAACCCAAACATTACCCACTGCCCCAAAAACAGGATCCTTTGCCACAAACTCAAACACATCCTTGTGCTCTGCCTTAGGAGCCCCATAATCCATGTGAATCAGATAGTAATTCCCAGGATGATACAACGCTCGCAGCAACCTCTTGAGCTTACCGGAATCACCTCTTGACGCAGAGATCAAGTAGGCAAACGTGACTGGGTATGATCCTTTGCTGGTTCTTGAGATATTGAAGGAGCTCTTATTCACAGGCATGGACGTTGATATGGGCATGGTTAATCTAGTGGGAATATAAAGAACCATGAACAATAGAGATAATAGCATGAACGAAACCATAAAAACTTTGACACCCATTTGAGAGAAAACTGCCAAGAAAGGAAGAGAAAATGAGGAAGGAAGGGTGAGTGGCAACAAGAAAGTGGTAGTTAAATGGTTATGATATAAAATGGGATTGATGAGTAAGGTTTACATTTCTGAATTGGATTCGTTCCTTCAAACATAAGGAGGCCATAAGTTAGTTGGAGGGAAGAGAGGGATATAGATTCTAGTGAGACCATTATTGGTCTGCTTTATCAAACAGGTAGAAACTCTTGTTCTGATAGGAGCCTGAAGCTGAAGGAAATATTCCAGAAGAAGCACTTTCGAGCTGACGGGGTTGAATCGCAATCATGGCCTTTGATTTTAATCGTTCAGTGCTTGTGACTAGTGATGAGCCTGAATGGCCAAAACTGGAAGATTACAAGTTAGGTCATGTATTTATGTCTCACCAACTTTGCTCTCCGAAGTCCCGGTCGGTAAGTTAAAGATATGTGAGAACCGCTATCAACCCTTCCATAAAAATTATGGCCTCAAATCATTATCATCCATAATACTACCTCCGGTCCTAATTATAAGAGCTAGTTGACTAATTTAAAGAGATTAAGGAAATAAATTAAGTTAGTTATTTGTAATAAATATGTATTGTCTTTCCTAAAATATCCTTGCTAATTAAATGTGTTGGCCAGAACTACTATTATTAGAAGAGCTATCTTAAGAAAAAAGGCATAAATATTAGAGACAAAGTAGATAGGGATCTTATATTTAGGACCAAAATAAAAGTTAAACGAGATTTTATATTAAGGACCGGAGGCAGTATTAATTTTCTCCCAACAAAATATATGGAGGCATTTAGATTGATGGGAATTATTTCTGTTGTCGATTATAGCTTGTAATGTATAAATAATAAAAATAAGTTCATTCTTGGAATACAGCAACATGTAATTTTCAATAATTCAATCCATATATCCACCTCCACCTTGAGATAGTTCTTAGCCACCAGATTAGATGCTGTGTCCAATCCGATTACACCATGGAAAGAATATTATACTTAAGACGGTGGTGAACATTATATAGTATCGACTTAACTAGGTTTCATCATTTAATTTCTGAAGATCTATCTAAAAATTAATTACTGTAATGTGGATTCATGCCCGTTCAGGTAGTCTTCTTTTTTTTCAAAAGAAGAAGGAGGAGGGTGCAAATGTCAGCGTAGCGGGCCTTCCTAGCATGGCCTAATAATTGGGCTGGGCCTATTTTGCGATGGGCAAACAGAACCTTCATACGCGTGAAATACAAAAAAAGAGCCAGGAATGGATTCCAATTTCTTGCTTTGCTGGTCGAAACTTAAGCCATGATATTTAAATAAGTCATTTACTATTTTTTTAATTTAAGAATTAATATGTTTTTGCTTTTTGGTGGAGAGACTATAATTTTGATGGGGCATTGAATACTTTTTTTCTGAGTAGTTAGACCGCTTTTTTGCCACGTGGAATTACTTTAATTTGATTATTGGCAATAGAAAGCAAAACAAACATTTCAGTCAGGGGCTTTTCCTTTTGTTTTTTCGAAAGAACTTAACTTTAGAATTCCCCCCAAAAAAGAAAGAAAGAAAACCAAATGAAATAGGTATATGGTTGTTTGTTCTATTCGGTCAGTTGTTTCTTAACTAACTTGTCTTCTATTCAACCCATTTCACAGTTGTTTCTTCAAATCATTCTTTTCCTATTACTATTAGAATGATTCTTCACAAATTTAACCAAACCATTCCAATTCTCCCAAACAACCATGCACACATATTTCCTGCTTCACTGTTTTCGATCAAAGATATTTCCTTCTTTATTGTACATCACGTTTTCAATATATACATGCATATAAAGGACACCTATGTGCATTATTAATATTTTATTTTCTTCACCAAAATTTCCATACTGTTTTAGGTTTGAAATTATTTTTGTTCATATTTTGCGTATGTCACTCCCTATAGATAGTTTTTTTTTAACGTGTTCAAACTTCTGATCTTTCTGCTTTTAACAAACAAGCTCCTGATACTGTTAGTCAGACTTCGAAATTATTTTAGCTAAACAGGCATAATAAAAGGAAAATATATATTGGAGTCTGGTGTCATGTTTCATACTTTGTTTTTTTTTTTTTTGACCTAGAGTCATGTTTCATACTTTGTAGACTTTAGAGTCTTCGACCGGACAAATTATTTATAGTAGACGTCGTAGTTAGCTCCAGGATATACACTGCAAGTCAATATTGCTGACCAATGTGTGGTAAAGAAAAATTAATATATATATTTAACAGGCAGTTAGAAACTAATTAATGGTCAATGCTAGCTTCCAAACCTTATCTTCCTTCTTTCAAACCACGTATTTTGAGTTTTGAATAATCTGTATATACGAGAAAAACAAAAGGCTCTTTTTTTAAACATTTAATTTCTGAATATTTTTCAGCCGTGCAATAATATCGTTTGGAGAAGGACAAAAATAAATTAGCAGCCGAACTGAGATCAAACACGCAGCCGCTTTATTTATCTATTATTCTTTTTGGCCTTTTAAAAAGCAGTATATTAATCTAATCAATATACAAACGAAAAGGAAACACAATAGTCTTTCTTTATTTCACTTTTTTTTTTTTTTTTTGGCTTCTCGTATTTAAAGCCGCAACGTTTTTCCCGGGAAATTATCCAAAGGTATCACGTGACAACAACCACCGGAGGAGAGATTATTCGAAGAAAGGGACCCTCCGGAGCACGTCACGAAGGCCGATCCTCCGCCTCTACGTCATCATTCCACGCCAGCACACAATGGAAGCGAACACCCCCCACCTCCCCCACTTGATATTGACTAGTGTAGCGTACACCGTATGAAAACCAAGAAAGAAACATCTTTCAAAGCAACCGGGAAGAAGATGGACTTGGTCAGTTCCTTCTGGTTTTCGATAATCTGTTATTTTAATCCACAAGGCACCGGGAAACTTCCATCGTGGTAAGCGCCGCATTGATTCGTTCACCCCAAGAAAGTGAAGGAAAAACTCATATAAAAGACTGAATCGAATACTGTGTGGATTAAAATAGGCACATCATGACCATTTTGAGCTCCTTCAATGACACTAGAGGTACACAGAGCATTCGCGTTCAAGTTCAAGACGACAGGCTTCCGCACGCAAACCCCGTCCAGGTTCTCTCTCCCCCTCTGTATCTTTCTTCCCCGTCAAGCTTCTTTTGCTTTGCAACTTAACTCTCTCGCTTTTCGTTCATTTCTTGATTTTATTTTTCCCGCCTTGCTTCTTACAAAGCAAGCTTCTCTGCTTCCGAGACATCCATTTCTTATATCACCCTCTTCTCTTGTATCTGGGTAAAATTAATACGATCAATGATAGCCTCTGAATTGGTTATCCATCCATTAGTTTAACGAAGATTTCTCCTGTCAACTTGATCTTTTGACGGCGCAGGGTCAAGATTCTGGCTTTCCGAACAGAACAGTGGCGAGGCAGATCTCAACGAGGGTCTTCAAAATTTTATTCCTCTCACACATATTGTTTATCGCAGTCTTAACAATTTTCCTGACTATCTATGGCCTAATCTCTGCCTCTCGCAACCACCAATTCCACCCCTCAAAGTGGTACCCTCCGCTTCTGTCTTCAACAGCGAGTGCTGGAATAGTTGCCTTTACATGTCAATGGATCACAGCTCGCAGGCCCTCGAAGGCCATCAAGGCAGCATTTTGGCTGAGTCCTCTCCTTACGCTTGCAACTGGCGTTATGTTTGTGTACATTGAATCTGCACTTGGTATGGTAGCTGGTGTGGTTGCTTTGGTTTCTGCATTAATACAGTCACTTTATGGCTGTTGGGTTAGTCCCAGATTTGAATATGCCACCAGAATTTTATCCATCTCCTTAACTTTTCCTCCTGCTAGAATTATGGGGTTGGTTTTCTCATCAATCCTTGCTGGTATTCTTTATTGCTGTTTCCTTGTTGCCGGGATAGGAGGAGCTAAAGCTATTGAAAGCAAAACCAAATTGGCCGCCTTGTTCATCTTGGTGATCCTGCTTAGCCTGGGATGGACCATGCAGTTTCTTAAAAATGTGCTGCAAGTATCTGTCTCAAGGATCATGTACATGAATTTTGCTTGTGGAGTACATATTGACACAAGAGCGGCAATCTATGACACAATCAAGTACTTAACTGGTAGTGTTTCCATTGGTTCCATCCTCGTGCCTCTAATTGGACTCTTTCGGGGTTTTGCAAGATCCATGAGCCTGGTTGGAGGCGACACGGATGAGTTCATGTTCTCCTGCGTTAGTTGCTACGTGGGGATTGCTTCTACTCTCGTAAGACATGGCAACCGATGGGGTTTTGTGTATGTAGGAGCCTATAACAAGGGAATTGTGCAGTCATCCTCTGATACGTGGGAGATGTTCAACAGAGTTGGTTTGGAGCAACTGATAGACTCAGATCTCACAGGATCGTTCTGTTTTTTTTGTGGGGTGGCAGGGGGTGCTATTAGTAGCCTAGTGAGTGGAATATGGACCATATTACTTCACAGGAACTATGCAGCAGAAACATCCGTTTATGCCTTCTTGATTGGCTACTTCATGGTGAGTCTTTTATTTGCATATTTTTCATTGTTTCTTTAGCATCACTTATCTGCGTGCGTCTTCTTGATATACTCATCTTGGTGCCAATGTCATTTACAGTGTCGGTTGGCTATGGCATGGCCGCAAGCATGCGTTTCAGCTTACTACGTAGCTTATGCAGAGAACCCAAATCCACAGAACAATCGATTTGACTCAACAATCCCAGTACGGTTGCAGCAGCTTCAAAGAGCTCGAGCATAGCAAACATTCTCGTGTTTTTCATAGTTTGATTCTAATCTCACTAATGTGGGTTCCCTACCTTAGTCTCATGAAATTGTTGACACTAGCACATTGTTGCGAGGACTAGTAATGAGTTTGTATATAGGGTGAAACATACATGGCTCATACAACATAATTCAGGCTAGAGCAGCCTGAAACCACATGTTTTCAGTGTCCTATGATTCTTCCCTTGCTTCTTCCAGAAGGAAGTTTGTCCTATAATACCATTGGTTGATCAAATCTACTCACCTTCGAATTGAAGCAACTACAGACTGCAATTTTTCACTTTGTTAAAGTAGATACTGGCTTTTACAAATTAAAGCACGTAACTTCACGGGGAAAAATTACTTACACCATCTCTAATCATCTACAACTTTCATGTGAACTTGCCAGAGATCAAAGTACAGTGTATTGCAATATTTGAATCTTGTAAAACGAAGAACGCAAAAGGGACAGGCATCAGGGCTCTTCCTTCAGATAGGTGGACCTGGCTAGATATTCTATGTTCATATCAAACTACTTCCCCTTTTGGTCACAGGTTACGAGAGTGGAAAGGAATTTCCTTCTCGTCACCTCTGCGTAGAGTTTATCATGAACTCTTATCATTTAACAATATCTTTTCTTCTAACCTATAAACAATAAGAAAATGAGAGTATTTTCAATAATCGAAATACTTTATTACATTTTTCATTGCATTCTTTTTCATTCTATGATTTTATCTCCCGTGCATATCGATCCTAACAATTAAACGGAGATAATTCGATCATCCACATTCAGTCCACATGGTCCCCAACATTCAGTATATGCATGGCAACAGTTGCAGCATTAATGATTAAATGGCAGCTTATCAACTAGATTGTGGGCCAGTGTTTTCATGAAACCTGAAATGAATTGCGTTTTTAAAAACTCATAAATAAATAATATGACTTTTTAATTTTTATAGATTACTCCTCCTCACTTTAACAACTATCATTTATTTTTTGTGCTTAAATATAAACAATATTTATAAATTGTCTAAATTTTTATAACAAATTTTCTATTTTGTCCTCATTAATTATTTATTTTAATATTTAATATATTGTTTGTCTCATTTTTCAAATTATCATCTCTTTTTATTATACATTCCCTCTCTTTCATAAATCTCTTTGTTATAATAAATTTTTTATTTTTTTCTTATATTCTCTTCCCTACAAATAAAAATATTTTAAAGAAAAAACTTTTAATTTTTATTTATTTATTATTTTTAACTAATTTTTTAATCTATATAACGAAGTCTCATGTTGATTATAACAAGAAACGGAGGAAATATATATTATAGGTATATAAAATAGACATAGATATGCGGACGTGAAACACGAGCAATGCTGTTGGATCTATTTAAAAAGTAAAAGCAGAGCGCAGGAAGCATTAACATTTCCAAGATAAGGTTGTTGAACCAGGAAATAGCATGGTACCTGCTACCTAGGCAGTCAATTTCAACGATAATGCCTTGGCCTTCCCATTTGGTGTCACCGTACTGGCCAAGAACATGAACTCTCGGCTGGCCTTGGCAATCACTGAAACGGGGAATGTCTTGATTGGCTTTCTTAGCCAGTAGGCTTTCCCAATTTTTTCCTCTGTTATTTTTTCTTCCTTCTCTTCTTTTTTAACTCAAATTCTTTAGTTTTAACGTTGTTCATAAGTTGTTGACAATGTTCATACGACATTTTCCAGGGGTCAGCTTTCGAGGGACAAATTACAGGCCACACCAGAACAAATTTCCGTACATCAAAAGTTTTAATTCCTCACAAGACACAATCATTTACATCAAAGGAAAAAAAAAGGGGGGGTTGTTGGGGGAAGTGATAAACTGACCGGGAGAGAAGTGCGGGTGGTAGATGCAGAGCCATCTCGTATCTTGATGCTGACAAACCAACGTTAACGACGCCATTTGCACATTTCAAAGCGGCTCATAATCCAGTTAGCGCCCAATTTACTTACAGAGCCAGAGATTAAATAGCACAAGTCCAAAACCTTCTTGGAGCAAGCCACTTCCTTCCTTCGTGTAGCATTGGGCGAATCGTCCGTTGGAATTTGAGTACTACGTATATAAATATAATATACATATCTTGATGCATGAAAGCTAAGATATGATGAGTATTTTAGTATAAAAATAATGCCTGAGATGCGTAAGAGAAATCATTTGATAAAATCTAAAAGAATCATTGGGGAGTATGTCTGACTGGAATCTTGAGATCCTGCAGCTTTGCCCTCAGTTTCATCGGGAAAAAAGGGGTTAGTTAACTCACCTTGGTCAAGGGAACAAATTATCCATTTTATTTGCTGCGACGTTATGGACAAAAGTTATACAGGACAAAATTAGTAGAACAATGACAAGGCATTTCATTTGTTTTGTCTCTTCTGTTTAAAATTATTCGCCAAGCTCGGGCTCCTTCATATGATATGTATGAATGTGATAGAACGAGACATGACGGGTAATTCTTGATTCTTCTCCTCCTCTGTTTCTTTCCTACTGGAAAAACAAAAAACTGCTGTTGAAAAAATCTTTAAATTTTACATTATCCACGGCAAAAAAAAAAATTGCTTGTTCCCGACAAAAAAAATACAGTATTCAATATTTTCATTGAACACCAAGCGATGAATTTAATAATTGTTCCTTATTTTACTTGGCATCAGTCTCACTGTTTATCATCCAAATTAATGAATCGGTGACTCATCCTGTATCCCCTGTTCACCAATAAACACGCGTCTACACTTGACACGGGGTCATCACAGTTGCTTATGAATGCAGATACACGAATCTCCATTGTCAAAAGTCATTTATTCATACTTGCAGGCTAGGAAATAAAGTCGGCAAGGTAGAATAAAGTGACGGAGCGGCGAACGATGAGGATATAGATCGAGTAGCTCTACGTAACAATTCGTGAACAGGTTCGGTGTTATGGGCATTTAGTATTAATTCCGTGTCCCCCTCACTGTCACTTCTTTTTTAAACGGCAAGTTTACTCTTTCACACGTAAATAAATGACCTTTTAATTTTATTTCATTCATCCTCACGGTCACAAACCTTAGGAATGTCCCACGTGATCATAAGACACAGAAGTCAAAAAGATTTCACTTCGTAGTCTTTTTTATAGTTAACAAAACGAAAATGTTCGGTTACAAGCAAGTGAATGTGACTGGCTAACTACTCCGCTAAACTCCAGCAAACGTGTCATTTGGATTAGCCTTGATCGGGAATACGAAAAGCGTGTGATCAGAATGAGAGCCACTAAGCTCGCCTTGCTATCTGCTTCCAATAAGGAGTAGGATAATAATAAATATATAAAGAAACGACGGTCACTAAAGAGGAAGCTGCTTTTTGCAGTCGGTAGCAACGTCAGACAGGCCTGATGTGAAAAGCGACCCCAATTTCTGTGGATCTACGCTCAGAATTTCATGATGCATAACTAGTGCATGTCTCTTTCTCTCTCCTTCCTTTACTCTTAAGAGCCCAAGACCATGATGGCGAATCTTCTCCTGACGCTGCGTGTGTATTCCGTCAAGTGTCATGATTCCTTTCATCCGGGTAGTATGATTTCTTAGTCGAGAAGTTTAGTGGGAGGGGCTCCTTTTCTTCTTCTTTTTGTGGTGATTCCTCTGTCGCTCGATATTGTACGTTCGGATCCCAGCTTCTTCTGCCCTGCAACTCGCAGGCCAAACAGGAGAGCCATCTTTTCTGATCACATATAGAAGCATCGATCTTCAAGTTAGGATTTTTACTCCTAATTTCTGATATGGCTTGGTTTTGTTTCCATTATTCAAGGGATTTTGACCCTCTTGCTCCATCATGCTTGTTTCTTTGATTAGTTCCCATTTTCCTCTGCACGCGTGTTTGAATATTTATCTCCCATGGGTACCGTGGTTCCTGTGTCTAATCGCGTGGGCTATGTTTTGTTCTTGAACGTCTCCTTCCTCTTACTGGCTTGTGTGTTCGGGATTATCCATGTGCACTCTACAGAACCTGTTGTTCTTAGCCACCGTGCCGTCTCATTCCGTGGCGGGACTGCCGGGACACAGCAGGTTTGCCACGACTTTGTGAGACTGGACGATTACAAAGCCAAATGTTTGTACCTTCAATCCAATAATCCATGCGTCTCGCAGGGTTATATTGACTATCTTTACCTTTTCTATTGCAAATTTGGGCGATTCCCATTGTTGGGCCATGTTCTTCTGTTCCTTTGGCTTCTTGTTCTGTTTTATCTGCTGGCTGATACAGCTTCTGAATACTTCTGTCCTTCACTTGAAAACCTATCCAAGTCACTGAAGCTATCCCCTACGATTGCCGGCGTGACGCTTCTTTCTCTTGGCAATGGAGCCACTGACGTTTTCGCCAGCCTTGTCTCCTTCAAAAGTAGTGGTACAAGCGACATTGGCTTCAACGCTGTACTTGGGGGTGCTTCGTTTGTGTCCTGTGTCGTGGCTGGCGTGGTGAGCATTTCGGTACGGCACAGGAGAATTCAAGTTAAAAAGTCTGCCTTTATTAGAGATGTTTGTTTTCTTCTCTTGGTCCTGCTTTGCTTGTTTACCATTTTGATCAGCGGCCAGATCAACGTTCTAGGAGCAATATGTTTTTGCTCCATGTATATAGCTTATGCAGTTTTTGTTTATATCTCATCTACACGTTGGAAAGATATTTGTGGAGACGCTGAAAGGGATAGTAGTGATTCAGATTGTTACAGTAGTGACTTGACCGTGCCCATTCTCAGTGGCACAGAAAAAGGATTAATTGAAAGTGTAGAGGAAGGTTCTCGAGAAGATTGCCCGGAAATTAAGAAAAATTGCTGCTGCATGAGATCTCCAATATGTTTAGCGTCATTTTCTGTCTTGAAGATGCCACTTTACTTGCCCAGGAGATTGACAATTCCTGTTGTTTGTGAAGAGAGATGGTCTAAGCCCATTGCAATTTCTTCCGTTGTACTAGCACCTCTTCTGTTATCTGCCTTGTGGATCTTTTGTGAAGGAGATACCACGATCAACAAAAGCCTAGCAATTTATGGAATTGGATTGCTGATTGGGATCATATTGGGGATCACTGTGTTTTTCACGACAGAGCAGTCAAGCCCCCCAAAGAAATACTTGTTTCTATGGCTTGCAGGAGGCTTTGTAATGAGTGTGACCTGGAGCTATATTTCGGCTCAGGAATTGGTGGCACTGTTGGTTTCACTTGGCTATATATGTGGAATAAGTCCTTCAATGCTGGGGCTAACAGTTCTTGCTTGGGGGAATTCAATTAGTGATTTGATGACAAATTTAACCGTGGCTTTACATGATGGACCGGAAGGTGCTCAAATAGCAATATCTGGTTGTTATGCAGGCCCCATTTTTAATACTCTCGTTGGCTTGGGCTTGTCTCTCGTAAGCTCCACTTGGTCAGAATACCCATCTTCTGTTGAGATTTCTAGAGATCCATATCTGCTAGAGACTCTGGCATTTCTGGTGGCTGGATTGGCCTGGGCTCTTGTGGCTCTGACAACCAGAGATATGAGGCTTGATGGAGTCGTCGGCGGAGGGCTTTTGGCTATTTACTTTATTTCTGTGTTTCTGAGGCTGATTCAGACACTCGGGCCTCTCCAATACCCAGATACTTGAGTCCTACTCTTTATAAGGTGATCTGAATTACTTGAATGAAGCAACTGACATATTTTCTGTATAGTTTTCTGTAATTTTAAATAGGTATTGCCACCGCTTTTTTGCCTGGATAGTGGCAGTTATACGTTAAAAATCACTGTTTTACAGATGGCATATTCACTTGTTTTAGCTGGAAAAAGATGTTATATCCACGGACCGCATGAACTGTATATACTACTATATAGTGTTGCTCATGTTTGATGTTTAATATTATTCATAGCGACTTTGCCCCTGCCCCACATGTTGAATGGTTAATGAGCTGAAGGAATTTTGGAGAGTATTTTATCAGATCAATGTTATGGCAGCTTGACGTTAATATTCTGAGGGGTTGTCTTGACTTGTAGGTTGTAGATTTGAAGGATATGTAGTTCTAGGGATCCTAAATCGTGCTAACTAAAACTTTTATTATCATTTTATATCGCTTACAACTTTTTACTAAACACTGTTTTGTGGACTTTTTACTGCTTAATTGCTCGGCGTGGGCAAGGTACAAGAAGACAGGCCCTATCTGATGCTCAATATCGAAGCAATGGAAGCGATTTTGTTTTTCGGACACAAAACAATGGAAGCTTTTTTTTTTTTTTTTTTCCGGCCAAACAGGAGCGTTTTGTTTACCTCTGCATTAAGTTCTTCTTCCTTACAACGTCACTCGTTTTTTTCCAAAGAATTTCACAACATATGAGAAAAGCGTATCTAAATATTTTGTCTTTTTGTTTCAAGATGATTGTTATTTGAGAGTTCCCCATATAAATTAAGAAATTTAAATCTAAGACTGGACTGAAATATCGTTATAAATATTTACTCATTATGTGCTCCATCTAATTATATATTTATATTCATTAAGGAATGATAAATAATGCAAAAATAATTTATGCTTGTTATGAAAAATTCTAAAAAGGCCGGCGACAACAGTACACGAAGTCTTATCGCAATGTGAACCTCACAAAACTACTGGTATTATTTGACTCCAGCAACAACCAAGTCTTGAAAGCACAAAAATCATATTTGAAAATGGTCAGATTATAATATAACAGTGGCATCCAGTTATCAATGTCGAAAGTTATAGTATTTTATATTGGGAACTCGGCAATTAATTTTTTTCTTGGTGTGACCGTGCATGGCATGTCCGATGATATTGATTATACAAGCTCAACAACGAAAGATGGACAAAACAAAATCAAACTAAACAAACAAAAAAAAGGTTAGTTAAAGGAACATGCACTAACACTTCAATACTATAGTCATGTTGTTAAGTTCAATACTGTACTCATGTTGTTAAGTTTTAAAATTTTATTTTAGAATTAGGAGGTGTTTGGATAGAAACCAAACCATGATTTCAGAAGTGTTTTTACGGGTTACAAAGTAAATACGTAAAGGAATTTGTCTCGTTTTGCAAAAAAATACTTCTGAAACTATAGTTTGAAAGTTGCCAAACACCCTTTTAGATTTTATATGTATAACCAAAAATAATATACCTTGCTAAGTCCAAACGAGGTTGCACATGTTCATTCCGTGGCGTTTGCGGATTGATTGAACCAAGGAATGGTCACTTTCAGAGAGGGCCCTGCTTGTTTGTCTTTGGTTAATTATCAATTGTGGTACAATTATTGGAACTAGTGGCTCTGGATCCTGCCCTCTTCTTTATCTCCTCCAGAACACATGCCTGCACTTATCACTATTCCCTTCCTTCCATGGCTTACCCAATCATTCATTCACTCTCGCCTTCAAATATCCTCTACTCCACACATTTTTTGCCTAAACTAGACTAGATGGATAAGATTCCCAGTTCAATATTACTGCAATTAAGTTCCCGAATTTATACTTTGAATACGACTCAAAACAAATACCCCCTGCAAGTTGCGTTAATGACTGGTTTTTTTTGTTGGAGAGGAAAATTATATGTCTTTGGTGCCAGTTGTTTTAGTCGGCATCACATTCGCATCCCTTCAATGTCAACATACTATATCCGTATATCGGTGTCATTGTCAATAAAATTGACAGAAAATGGCATTGTTCATGTGCTGCTAATAATATGACTCCTCGTCTGAAAAATTATACTATCTCCGTTTTTAATTATAAGACCTCGTTTGTAATTTACAAACCATATTTTATAATTAGGATCGGAGGTAGTAAAATATACAAACTTAATGTTTACTCTCAACTATATCAGTTAGTGCATCGACCAATAATAATAGTGGAGGTTATTTTTCCTACCATCCACTACTTCTTCTTAATGAGAGGGGGGTGGGGAAAAAACAATAATAAGCCAGGGCTCCAGAAGACATTGCCTCCTCCCTATAAGAATAACCAAGGAGTGTTCATATCATGATTTTTTATTTTAGCTTCAGAATTTATTCAAAACATGAAAATTGCGCAAGTTATTAACAGTAAAATCTGGGATTTGCGTTGGACAAAGCGCAACAGGACGGTGGGGTAAATGGACCACCATGATTTAGAAGACATTACACACAAAGAGACGCCGGGAGTGGTCCAAAACGACATGTATGGTTCTTCCCCGGCCCAGAAGGCTCTCACACCAGTTGTGCTCGATCTTCATCGTCATCGACGACCTTCATTTCTTCCTAATAATTAGAGAGAGCCTTTGTCATGCTTGGTGTTTAGGTGTTAGATGAGAAAAACAAATATAAAAAAAATTATATTTACAAGTCAAACTTACATGTTTACAGATTGAATTTAGGTTGACAAATCAAACTTCTAGATTTACATGTTCGAATTACTCCTTTACAAGTTAAGCTTGTAGAAGATCGAATTTCTTAGAATGTCCGCCTATATTTAATTTTCTTACCTCCATCTATGAGTAATTTTAGCCATGCGAAGCTAAACTTTTTTTTAAAATTTTTTTCACCTCTGCGCTTGCCAGAAACGTTGTCATACTTATTATTGTTTAGTTCCCATCAATACTTGCGTATTAATCTTGTATTCGCGAGGTGTTAGCGTCTCATTGCAAATTGATCGATGATAGCAATAATTTAATCAACATTAGCTTGGTGCCAAACAAGGACAATAATGAAAAGCCTTAATTTGCTTAAAACATACAGTAGAAAGATTATCAGAACTAATTTATAGCAAGAGGGCCATAGCTAAGGATGGTGACAATAACCTCTTCTCTAAACCTTGGACCCTTCAAGATTGTCACTTAGGTAAAGCCATGATTGGCAATTTCATTACTACACTGTCTGATAAGGAGAGATTCCTCTGACCTTTAAAGGAGATCACTTTTTCCCCCCCCAGTTATTGTAGTTATCATCTATTAACGACAATGAAATTTACAAGATTGACGCGTTTTGAAACGGGTGTCAGAATATGGAGAAGTACATACAAAGCGACCATTTTAAGGCAAGGCAGCGCTATAATTTAAGAACAACAATGGCCGAGGCGATCCTGATGAAGAGAAAGCAGAGGTAAATGGCCAAAAGGCCAGCTCCCAAAACCTTATCCAATTTCATGTTCTTGTTGGGCAATATCACAAGTGCCCAAAGCAGCCCCGCCGTCAAGAACAGAAGAGTCTCGTATAAGGATTGGTCCTTAGGAATCACATAAGATAATGGATACTCAGACCATGCTGATAGAAAAAGAGGCAGCCCCAAACCCATCAATGTATTGAACATCGGACCTGCATAGCAACCTGATATGGCTATCTGAACCCCATCTTCACCACCATTTAGAGCCATTGCACCATTAGCTATCAAATCCCCCATTGAGTTACCCCAAGCTAGGACAGTTAATCCTAGAATGCAAGGGCTTACCCCAATTATGTGTCCTAATGAATACAAGAGGGACACCAATTCATCTGCAACAATGTAATTCCATAATACACTCATTGCAAATCCACCTGCTAGCCAAAGAAACAAACACTTTCTTGGTGGACTTGAGCTCTTCGTCTTCACCCATGTTGTACACCCCAAGACAAAACCAACCATAGCAGCTGGCAAGTACTTGATCAAGTTGCTCTTTTTATTCACGTTTACCAGTTGGGTATCGCAAACGGCTGCCAACACAAGTGGGGCTAATGTGACAGATATCACTGCATATGGCTTTGACCACTTTTCTTCACTCACAATTGGTATTGTTAGTCTTCTTGGCAATGAAAGTGGTAGTTCTAGTGCTCTCAGAAACTTGATTAGGTATATGCATCTGAGAGAAGCCTTTCCAGAGCTCCCCGGGTGTTCCATTTCATCTTCAGCAACTCCTGCTTGCTCTGCTACTTTTGTTTTCCCTTTCTCACTATCTACAAAGCCCAACATTGGTACGGCAGACTCTGCCAGTGCCAAGTCGTCTGAAAATGCTGCAATAATTTCTTCTTTCTTTTCCCTTTTGTTCATGAAATGAGGAACTGAGACGGCACAAACATAAAGGAAGTAGATAGAAATATAGCAGACTGAACCCCATAAGTTGATTTTACCGAGGTAAATGATCAACGATAGGCTGAACAAAGAAAATAGGAGGAAACCCACATCTCTAATGAAACTAACCTTATCAACTGTAACCTGCTTTGGGCTGACCAGAATACTTATAATCCCCAAAACAGTGCTAGTAACAAAAAGAGCACCTCCTAGGATGCTATTGAGGCCGACGGCACCGCCGCTGGATCTCGTGAAGGAAACAACACTGGCAAAAAAATCAGGCGCACCATTTCCCAGAGAAAGCAATGTTACTCCTGCTATGGTCGGCGACAGCCTCAAGATACCGGACAAAGCTTCCAAGGAATGACAGAAGTAGTTCGAAGCTGTGTCGCCCAAGAGATAGAACAATACCACGAGCCATAAAGCAAGCAGAGCATAAGCCAGAACTGGAAATTGCCCAAGATTGCAGTAAAAGATCTGAAGATAATTTATGTACCCTCTGGAATTGCAGTTGAGATTGGCCTTGACGTACGAACACTTTGACCTGTGGTCTGAATGCTCGTGGAGATCGGAGCATGCATTAGTTTGGAGGTCAGGCAGAGTCCGAACGCGGTTAAAGATGGTCGCAGAGGGGCCATGGGAATGCCGGTTGAGAGCATGATTGGAATTGGAGGGAGAGAGATAGGCCTTGAGAAAGAGAAAGAGGAGGAAGAGGGAGGATATGTTGAAGAAAATGGTGGCAAGTTTTCTGGGACGAGATTTGGAGTTGGAGAAGAAGAAAGTTGCCATTAATTAAAAGAAAAGGAGGTGGATTGAAGGAATAAAAATGGCTGAATAATATATGCGGACGACATCTGGTGGGCCTTTTGCTGTCTGTTAGGTGCGCTATGCGAAGGCATGGGCAAATATGAAGAAGACAGGAATGGAAGATTCAGCTCTCAAAAGTTCTTACTCCTTAATTAATCTAAGCTGATTTGAAATATTAGTCCCGAAAGGATCCGGATATTGAAGCGTGGTGATCAGCAGAGAAACGTGATTAAGGTATTCATTAAAAGGCAAAAGAGAATGAAGGTGAATAAAATTTAAACAACCAAGCTTGGCATTTCCGACAATGTTCGCTGTACTCCGCCGGGTAACATTTTCCCTGTCCCCATCCTGAACGCGCAGTCAATCGAAACGCTTGATCTAATTTTTTCGTCGGATCCTAGACTAATTTAAGTACATCATACTACTAATACATCATAATTCCTTGTTTAACTTCTTTCTTTTCTCTACCTTCTGCTAATGCTTTGTCGCTGTAAACCATGATATGATGTCATTAACTAAGCTCCTCATCAATTTTCCATGTCAACCAATATCTAAAAGATGGCCTCCGTTTGACGTGTTTTTCAAAATTTCTTTTACATGAATTATGAATTATAATTGAAAACTACTCACAACTCATTTTAAACAGACTCATGGCATCACGACGGAATCGCAACCCCACCCAACTTCACCATAGTTTAGTTTGTCGGGGGAAAAAAGGGGAGCAGGATGAGAGGGTTGGATTTGATTTGACAGCGCGTGGCAGACTCCAAGAAACGCTCAAACGCATTTCCGATCAATTATTAGAGAATATGCCATTATTTGATTCGGCATGAAAAGACGATGGCGCACGTAAACGTGCACGCGCTTGTGTTCACATTTCCAGCCATTCATTCATGAGTTAAACTCGGTTACTGTCCCTGCTGTCCTCACTCCTCACACCGTTCACAATTTCAAGTGGTGCATCATTATGTGGATGCTAAATTGCTAATCATCACATGTATTTAGATATGAGTTTGGATCTTATAAGTTTTACATGTAAACCACACAAAACTCTTCTTACATGATTATTTCGTATTTTTTAAACTTTTAAGGGCTCCTTTATCACTCTAAACAAGCTCCTGTTCAGATAATTAAAAGTGTGTGACTAAACACAGTTAATAAAATTTAATACTCTCTTACCTTGTTTCTCTCTTAATATAGTAAATTTTTATTTGTCTCACTTATAAATTCGTATATAATTTAATATTATATAGGAATATTTTATGTTAAATTAAATTATTAAAATTTCTTAAGATAGGACGAATAATAAGCTTGCCGGAAATAAAACGACATTGTGAATGCAATAATAATATCTTGTACTGCTGACTGCGTTATAGAGACTGATTGGAGTCTATGCAATGGAGGGGATCGCTGTTGAAGATCTCTTTGATTGATTCCAATCACCAACCAATAATGGCGACTTTGCATATTCCATTCCAACTTCGTCATCTTCTTTCTGATCCTCGTCGTTGCTTCTGATCCCATAACTTCTGTTTTGATTCCGTAGGCTGCGCGGCGCATATCTAACTGGAAAAGAATGTCCTCACTTATTACTTTCCTCTTTACTCATCATTTTTATTACTGGATCAACGTCTAATGGTTGGGGTATAGCATATTAAAATAAAATAATATTACTATAATATTAACTAATTAATAAAAATACATACAAATAAATTTAACCTGAACAGTTTAAAAATGCGTATTGCACAAGATAAAAGGTAAAAAAAAAAAAAAGAAATATTTTAATAAAAATCTACCAGTATGATATATGCAGATTAATTTCTAACAACTTATATATACTAGTATTTATAATTTAATTGATATTATAACATGCTATAAAATATTACTACCTATGATGCTTAATATATGAGCTTATTGACTAATTTGAGTATATTAAGAAAATTAGTTAAGTTACTTATTTGTAACAAATATGTGTTGTTTTTCTTAAAATATCCTTGCTAATCAATGATATTGGCTAAAACTACCATTATTACAGAGACTATCTTGAGAAAAAATAGATAAATATAAAAGACAAAATGGATTGAAGTCTTATATTTAGGATCAAAATAAAAATTAAATGAGTTTTTATATTAAATACCGAAGGTAGTAAATCTCAAGCGCAGAGGAAATGAAGAGAGAAAGGTAGGTTCTTTTTGATTTAACACATCATGCACACACACTCCATCCAAAGGAAAAAAATATATTACTTATGATTCTTAATATAAAAGCTTTTCTAACTTTTAATTCGGTCGTAAATATAAAGTCTCAAATTCATTTTGTCTTTCATATTTATCTTTTTTTTTTTTCAAAATAGTCCTTGTAATTTGCACATGTTAAAGGCTCTATTAAATAGTAGTTCTAACTAATGTGTATAATTAGTAAGGGTATTCGACAACATCTATTTATTACAAATAACTAGCATAATTAATTTTTTTAATATCTCTAAATTAGTCAATTAGGGCTTTTATCAAGAACGTATTTGCTCAACCTACACAGCACATATATTAAAAACACTTGCATTGAGATTATATAGTACCTTTGGCTTCAAGAAATGTTTGTTTAATTTGTTCTTCAAAGTTTAGGAACATTGGCTACAGTTATGCGTATTGCCACACTACTTGATAGATTATCTATGAACAGAATGTGTATGCGTTTATAGTTTCTTATCCATGTGGGGTAAAAGGAGCGATGGGCGAGCACGGAATGAAATACGGCCAGTGAATGGCTTACTTCCCAGAGCATATGGAAGTGCTCCTTTTACAAGAGGAGAAACTCAGGCTTGAATCAGCTACTCTTGGTGATACAAAAGAGCTCTATCATAACTTGGCATGTCCACCAAAATGATCCCCTAAAAGAATTCATGAGTTGAGCGTCAGAGGAGGGCCTATAAAACTATCCTTTTCCTTATCATGTCTGGGGATTCCTGCTCAATCAGTGAAAAAAAAAAAAAAACTGGAACACTTGCATGCAATTGGGAGATAAGTGCTCTTGTTTTCCTGTCAAAGTCTCAATTTCACCCTGGAAGATCCTCTTATTTCTCTGCAATAGAACAACCCACCTTATGCTACTTGGACATGATCCGTAAACCAACCAAGACCTGCAACTTATGTTGCATTAGGCCATGACGGATGTTAGGATCCAATCCTATTTCTACCACCTGAGAATGGTATAGTATTATCTGTTAACTCCGCTACTGTTTTACATAAAGCACCTGCTGATTCAATAATACTATTAATCCTTCTTTGTTAAGCTGCTGTCCCAAATTTTACTTCCTCGAAAGAGGGGAGCTTTGCTTCTCCAAAATGCTCTTTAATTAAAAGACTTGTCTTTTTGTTCACACACAGTTTTTGTAAGAGGCTTCCACTTGAAAGGGGTGAATTGTTGCCCATATTTCTGACTACATTCTTTGACTTGTCCCATTTATCTGTTTGGTAGTCACTTGCAGTGGTCACGCTCGGAGATAAGCAAATGGCACAAAGAGCAGACAATCTCATAGGTGTTGATGAATTCAAGAGATTCTATCTTCAGGTCTCTTTTGAACTTGATCACTTTCATACGTTGTACAATTTGGAGTAATCTAATCCACAGACCAGATATTGTTGTTAACATCGAAAAAGAAATGAAAAAGTTAAATTTGAAATGATTGTTGTGAAAGCTTTCAGTTTCCAGTGATTTTATATGTCGTCTCATTTGTGTGCTAAATTCACAGATTGTGGCATTTGCCTTATCTATCTAATGCCAACCTATTGACATGTTATTCAGAGTTTTACAGTTTAACATGCACGAGGGATTGAGCTTTTATCTAAAGAAAAGAAGAAGAGAAGAGAGATTATGGACAAATATATTAATTTTTATCTTTAAGGCCACTATTTTCTTTAAGTTTGTCTTTAGATGGGTATTTATTCCTACTTTTAATGTGAAAGCTTTCCTGGTTTGACATGCAAGTTTTTATCCATTTCTCAAAAATTCAGCACAATTGAGACTTGCTATCTTCTATCTTTTCTTCAATAAAATAATGGTGTTCCTCAACATGCTTTATAAAGCTTCATTAGGAGAAGTCTTGACGCTCCTGAGCTCCCCCCCCCCCCAAAAAAAAGCTGTTTCCCATTGGAAAGTGCATAGACTAACCAACCATGCTTATTTTAGCTGGAACTCCTTCCTTATACCTTGACGGGTTTTGATCTGCTGGTGTTGCCCAAAATTTCAACAGGCATTCATGTTTCCTTCAACAAGTCTATCTTGATGCAGCATGGCATCTGTTTGTGGAGGTTTCTTAGCATTGCAAGATGCTGGGTTTGGGATTGGTCTTGACGTGCGAACAATTTGAACTGTGGTCCGAGTGCTCGTAGAGATCCGAGCATGCATTTGCTTGGGGGTCAGCCGGAGTCCGAACGCGGTTTAAGATGGTCGCAGAGGGGCCATGGAAATGCCGGTGGAGAGCATGGTTGGAACTGGAGGGAGAAGGAGAGAGGCTTTGAGGAAGAGAAAGAGGAAGAGGGAGGATAAGCTGAAGCAAATGGTGGCAAGTTTTCCGGGCCGAGATTTGGAGGTGGAGAAGAAGAAAGTTGCCATTAATTAAAAGGAAAGGAGGTGGATTGAAGGAATGGCTGAATAATATATATGCGGACGGCATCTGGTGGGCTTTTTGCCGTTTGTTGGGTGAGCTATGTGAAAGCTTCCACGGGCAAATACAAAAGACACGAAATTTAATGATGAGGAAGGCGGAAGATACAACTCTCAAAAGTTCTTCTTAATTAATCTAAGCTGATTTGAAAGATTATCCCCGAAAGGATCCTGATTGAAGCGTGATGATCAGTACAGAAAGGTGACTGAAGTATAAAAGTGAAAAAGAGAATGAATGAAGCTGAATAAAGCTTAAATGACCGAACTTGGCACTGTGATCGCAGCATTTCCGAGTATAATTTTAAGATTAAAATACTGGCCAAACATATTCCCCCCACCCCTACCGAACAGGTTGTGATGTCTCAGGTTGTGAACCGAATATGAAAATTACTACGAATATGAATTCGCTTTGAACAGGGATGCCTTTTGGCTTTTGCAAGCAAAATGTGAATTTCAGAGTTATTAATGAGTGCTGGGTGTTGGGATTTCAAAGTATCAATGAGTAAATATTGACAGAAAATCAAGTTACTAGATCATAATTTAAATAAAAATAAAGAGACTGTTTAATTTATATCATATTATACTACTACGATTTACAATTATTTAATCATATAATACTTATAATGGTTTTCAAATCAGAATTGTTTTTCTTTCTTAAAAATTTTTGTATATAAACGGAAAGGATTTTTTTTCCTGCCAGAGGAATGGAAAGGAGGGGCATATAACCTAGATTTAAAAAAATTTCCTAATTTTCACCAGCAGATAATTATAATTTTCTGACGTTACAGGATTTTTATTTTGTTTTTTCAGATGTTATTTTACTTTCTGAATTATATTCAGCTGGGCTGATTATTTAATTATAATGATTTTCAAATTAGAATTCAGATTTTTTTTAAAAAAATTTGTATATCGAAAGGAGGGGAACATAATCTAGATCTGGAAAATTTCCTAATTTTTTCCAGTAGATAATTATAATCTTCCGACCGTTAAGGATTTTTCTTTTGTTTTTCCAGATATTAAATTACCTCCCGAGTTATGACTAATCGCCAGTTGGGCAGGAGGGGGTATACAGCCCAGACATGGCTGGCAAAAAAGCCCTAGATACGGAAAAGTTTCCAGTCGGTACGAGTTTTTTCGATTGTTACGCCTTTTTTGTTGTAATCAGATGGGCTTCAGCCCATTTGGTACTATCATACTAGTAGGCTTACAGAGGCCTTAAATTGCCCATGAACCACCGCGGCAAAAAGGCGGAAACATTAGAAAGGAAAATCGCGCGTCTCAACGGAACAATTGGATAATGGCTCTTCCGATGCTGCTGTCTCCCACGCCCGCTACTCACCAGCTACACACCAGTCAGTGATTGGAGTGGTGAAATTGAACAGACCGCCAAAAGATAAATAGTAGAAACAACCACGAAAATGTTAGCATGTCCCGGCATCCACCATGGCGGCCTGTACTCTTCACAACCCTCTCAGTTCTTCTCTTCCAAGCCTTACAACCGGTTTCTCTTTCCTAGTACCTCCTGTCATCCCATATCCAGAAAATACGGGTTCAGTCCTTTGTCTTTTTTATTCTCTGAAAAAAACCGTCGTCGGTTCAGTATCAGGGCTTCGGTGGAGCCCGAAGTTTCAGATTCCTCTGTTAGTGATATCCCACAGTTTGCATCGCAACCGTTCTCTGTGAAGATTCCTGTTGGTGATAGACATGTACGTTGCTGACATTTTTTTTTTGAATAAAAAATGACATTTTTGGCTGTGCTATCCCGAACTTTTAATTGAATTGCGACATTCTATTTCATATTTGTCTATAATCGTCTAGTGTGTGTGTTTTTTTGGTTTTCGGGCAAGTAGGATAGTTTTTGAACGTTGCTAGTTCTGTAAACTTCAACGGCGGGGAAAACTTCCTATCCACTGGCTGGTCTTTACTATAAAATTTGATGCCCCGGTATGGCTCCCGAATTGGATCCTCGGCAGGGATACATCTTTTGTTTTCAGTCTTTATGGCCTCATTTCCCGAGGATGGGGGACGTATTTCGCTTGTGTCGTATTGGGGTCCAAGAATAACAATGGGCATGATGGGCTTAAAACAATCGCCTGACAGTGTGATAGCATGGTCTATCTGTTTCCAATGTGCTCTTTTCTCATTCACAGATTCTCGATAACAAGTGCTAGGGAAGAATTTTCTATATCTAGCTCACCATTTTAGATCTCTGTATAGTGTAAAAGAAATGCATTTGAGATTCGTTGATATATCTATTATTGGGACATCTTGTAGATTTTGGTTGAGACTGGTCATATGGGAAGGCAGGCAAGTGGCTCTGTTACAGTTACAGATGGAGAGACCGTAAGTTCCCATCTTTCTTCTATTGATTAATTCATCAATTTGTTTTCTGAACAATGCTATGTGGTTCAAAACTGTGCATGTAATAAAAGCATTGATACTGTCCATGATTCATATAGTTCAGGAGAGCGTGTGCACTCCACTAAAATAGATTGATTCTTGCTAGCTTTGGTTGGGGGATTGATAAATTGATGATTTTGAGAGATAGCTTCTCAAGTATCAAGACCCACATTCTAGCACTTTAGTGTGTGGCCATGATTGATTGTTGAGTGGATTGCTATCTTTTTCTTCATGATGAAATGGGGCTCTGCATAAGAATTTCTAGGATGATGGCATGATGCTGCTGTTGCACCTCTCAAAATTCAACATTGATTTATGATGTGTCTTAATTGCACTTCTTTGATGTCTGGTGGTAGTACTTAATTTATTTGAGGGAAACAGTACATTTTTCATGATAAACTCAACACTTGCTTGTTTGAAAAATTCACGCCATTGTCTTTCTTATTGTAGATTGTTTACACATCTGTTTGCATTGATGACGTTCCTAGTGAGCCATCTGATTTTTTCCCTCTTTCTGTAAATTATCAAGAGCGTTTTTCAGCAGCTGGTCGGACAAGGTATTCTTTCCACATGTTTTGACTTTTTTTAATCTCTTTTGTTCCATATTACTGTTGGATATGGGATGAAGTAATTGCTTTTTGGTCTTTGTTTGCCATTTTCTCAGCGGAGGGTTTTTCAAACGGGAAGGGAAAACAAAAGATCACGAGGTACGAGTTATCACTTTGGCGTTTATAAGACTATTTTGTGTCAACAAATATTCTTGAGCATATCCATCGAATTGCTTATTAATAATTTGTTCCTCCCTTTTGAGATTTACTCTGGCTTATTTTAAAGTCTATGCTCGTTTTTCCTCACATTAGAGTAGGCCATTTTACAATATCAGATATCTTTGATGTCATATTGTAATATACCAATATATAGAAGTTCTCATGTGTGGTAGGGTGGTTGAAAGTCATCAAAGAAAGGATACAAAAGATATTTTAAGAAACTTCACAAAGCTAAACATAGTGGGTTGTGAGATGCTTATGCATTGTTTGGCATAGAAAATGATGCTCAGCACAATGGAGGCTTCCCATTGGTTACTGATGTATCAAATGCCATCATGCTGGATGCATGCGTATAGAATACTGGAAAGCTGCTTATTGAACTGCTAAGCTTCTTTGTCCTTGTTCTTGTTTTGTTGTTCCTTCTCTGTTTCAAAGGATTTCCTGTCCTCCTCTTTATACACATTTATTTCCTTGCCCTCATTTGGACTCTTGTCCAGCCCTGTCACAAATTAAAACAGAAAAGGAAAGGCACTCTTATTATGGATTGTATTTCTTTGTGATGAAGTCCTTTTGCACAGTACGAAAACCTGGCTGGAGATTCTCACTCCTTTTGTTTGAGAGGAATCAATGATCATATTAAAAGCCCATTGATGCTGCTTGCAGGTTCTTATTTGTAGATTGATTGATAGGCCTCTGCGTCCCACTATGCTAAAAGGCTTCTACCATGAAACACAAATATTGTCTTGGGTATGGTCCTTGTAAATTTTCTCCTTGAATTTCATTGTTTACGTGTCTACTTCTGCCGTTTTTTTCCCCTCATAGGCAATTCAATTTGCCAAATTCTGCTTTATCTCACTCGCATGTAGAGGTTTCATAAGTTATGATTTGCTGTATTGCATTTCAGTCTGAGTGTCTATACAATCTTTGTCATAAAAAATTGTCTTTTAACTCTGTTTAAACCATCAGATATAAACATGATGAAAATTAAAAAAAGAAAAAAAAAAGAAAGGAAAAAGACAGGTTGTTTAAGAGAATCATGGGGATTGCTAGTATGTAAGTCCACTCATATGCTCTTTTGGGACCTCTAATTTTCTTCATAGCAGTTACTTTCCCCTAGGTAGGTCATCACAAATTAGGACTGCATGTTCTGCATGCCCTTCTCAAATAATCGAAGCAGCCTATTGTTTCCAGTCCTGTTGAAATAAAAGGTGAAAAGAACTACAAGAGCAGACTTAATGACTTTGCCACTGCCAAGCATGTTTTCACATTTCCACTTTCTAACTTTAATTGTCAATTTATGGTTTTAGGTTTTAAGCTATGATGGATTGCACTCGCCTGATTCTCTGGCTGTCACTGCAGCTGGTATAGCAGTGTAAGTTGGTCATTTTTATATTTTCTGTAATCCCTGCGGGAGTCAGCTAGTGAGTGATCGAGGGCATATCCCCATGATTAATTACCTAAATCAAAGAGCTAATAAAGAGTACTAGGGATACATTAGATTAAGAATATTCCAAGAAAAAATGGGAATGGAGAAAATTTTGCCTATTAGCCCCAGCCAGATATTTTCTAGCAAAGAGAGTTGACTACTATGGTTGAAGAAAAGGAGAATTCCTGCTGGCTCATGAAAATTTATTGAAATACAATTATATATTCTCCCCCTATTTTTCCTTCGCTTCATTTGTTTCTCTTTTTACTTCTTTTTTCCTGCTCTCTCTCTTTTTATTTGCCTATCATGATATAGTTTTATTCATATTTTTTTTAAAAACTTGTTAGCCTTTATGCAATTAATTATCTCTCTTCTATTGCAAATGCTATCAGCCCAATATTTTTCCATATTTTGATTTATTGTTAATTAATGCAGGCTTTTGATATTTATTTGACAATTGTACAATAGTTGAGTAGCATATAACTAGGTTTGAATGTCAATATATTGTTTTCAGTTGGGCAACAGTTGCCTTTGACGATAATGCTAAACTTTTTGAGTGCTTTTTGGCACATTACTTATTTAAATTCTAATTCATTTCTGTATTGATGAAAAATAGAGGATAGTATTAGTGAATTAATCAAATGTAATTATAAAAAGATTAAATTTTTTATATTAATAGCGTATTATAATTTTTGGCCCTCAACCAAATGTTTATCTTTCACTTTCGTTTGCAGCCAACTTTTGAGGCATTTAGTCCATGTATGTGATGCTATCCATATCTATCATGCGCATGGACGTTTTCTCTCTAATGGATCCTAATCATTAATTTATTACAGTGCACTTTCAGAACTGCCAACATCAAAAGCTGTTACTGGAGTTCGAATTGGTCTTGTTGGTGATAAGTATATAATAAACCCTACAACTGAGGAGATGGAGAAGTCTGAGTTGGACTTGTTACTAGCTGGCACGGATAGTGCAATACTGATGATAGAGGTAAGCTATTATCCTATTTATTTTTGTAGGTGATAACTTGTCATGATTTTGGAGTATGCCAATATAACATAAGCTGGCATACACAAATCATCTTAAATATTCTGTATTTGTCCTTTCATACTGGCTTGACTGCCATAATTTTTTATTGCAGGGCTATAGCAATTTTCTTCCAGAAGAGAAGTTACTTAAAGCTGTTGAAGTTGGTCAGGTTGTTAACTTATCTCAGTATGTAGAAAAGCTTGCAATCATTAATATATTTGATGGCTTTTCTTTTCATCCCTCTCCCTAAAGATGGAGCGTTTAAAATGATTTTGGTCCTACTTCATGGGAGATGTATGCATGTATGGATATTTGGGGGATTTTCTAATATCTATAGACATTAATAGGGCGGATAACTAAAAGAAGAAAGGATTCCTGGGTGAGTAAAAGCGATGACTTGGTGGTTGTACTCTCTATCATTTCACCCCCTCAACTATTTCAGTTGAGTTTGTATCCTTCACAAGATATACAAAAGGCAGACATTTATCTGGCCTTGAAAAGGATCTATTATTATTGTTATTATTTTTATCATTATTATTTTGATAAAAATCGTTTTATGTTTGGACAAGTGAGAGAGCAACCTGAAGACGTGTGCATTCAGCTTCAAGTAAAAAAGTGATCAGTACAAATGATGCGATGTTAATTTTTCATTTTTATGTCGTTGTTTTCAAAACATTTGGATTGTGGAAAACCCTTCTTTTAAATCCATGTTTCTGTCATTATTTTGTCCCTTGATTGTTGCTGTTCTGTACTTTTCCCTGTTACATATTGAAATGTCAGCTGATAGGGATTGTATACAAGATACTGTCTCATCGTAATATGCTGTGTATTAAAATGTCTGTAAACTAATTAAAGCCTTTTGAAACATTAATTACTCTGCTGTGAATATTGTATCCAATTGTTTCTTTGAGGCTAATTCTTCTGAGGTCGAAACAGCCATATACTTAATTTCTGAAGCACAATCACTTGCTTATTGTCTAAAATCAGGACGCTGTACGGGCAATCTGTAATGAGGTAGAAGCTTTGGTCAACAAGTGTGGGAAACCAAAAATGTTTGATGCCATCAAATTACCTCCTCCTGAGCTCTATAAACATGTCGAAGTATGCTCTTTGCCTTCCTACTTTTTTTGGCTCTGGAAAAGTATGAAATAGTCTCTCTATTAAGTATTAACTCTATTGATGGAGTTTACTTGTTAGATTGTGCAGTTTTTGATATGGCACACATCCATATATGTGGAAATAACATGTAGACAGCTAAAATAAAAAAAAAGAAAAGAAAAGAAAAGAAAAATGAAGATTTCGAAACCTGCTCATCTGCTTTGACAGCTCTGAAATTTTAACTCTTGTCTCTCACTTGGTATCCTCAATCTAGGCCCCTACCAATAGGCATTAAATTTTTCTCTCAAGGATCAAAGTCATAACTGTGTTTGCAAATACTGCCAACTTTATTTCTTCACATTTTCTCCTTCTGAAGTCTGGGCGATTGGGGTAGCAGTGTATCATATGGTCCTGTATCAATTGATTTAGAGGGAGATACTTAAAGTCATAGCTTTACGTTTTTTTCCTTTAAAGATGATGATCAGAATGGAAATGAGTGTTAATGTGCAGGAAATTGCTGGCGCTGAGTTGGTAAAAGCTCTCCAAATTAAAAATAAAATACCAAGAAGGAAAGCCCTTTTATCTTTGGAAGAGAAAGTTCTGAATATACTCACAGAGAAAGGGATTGTCACTAAGGATGCAACGCCCAAGAGTAATGCTGAAACTGTTGCAGACATTCTTGAGGATGAGGATGATGATGAGGAAGTAATAGTTGATGGTGAAGTAGATGAAGGTGATGTTCATATAAAGCCAACTTCACGCAAACCACATCCATTAGTAAGTCTCATTCTATGCATTGTTTATTGATGATTATGTGATACAATAAATGATGTTTTGATGATAATGAGGTAAAGGTTTTGGACTCGTGATGTTTTTGCTGTTTTTTTGGTGGATTTCTTGAAATGGTAGTGTACCCATTTTTAATGGTTTCTCGCTGCCTTTTCATCTCGTGTGGCAATTATATGTTTCTGACTTCCCTGCTTTGTTCTTCATGGCCTCGTCAAGTGAATGCCTATTATGGTATTCACGGCCCCGGGGGGCTTTATTACAATTTTCTTTGTGAGTGCTTCCTAAATCAATGGCTTTGGGCTTTCTTCATTTTTTATTTTTCTCTTTGTTTTCTATTCGTTCTCCTTTATTTTAGGTCAACCATTTCAGATTGTGTTTCTGTTTTTATTTGTTCTAGATTGACAACATAATATGGGATAGACTTCTCTGTTTTTATGTTAAATTGTTAATAATGAGAGAGCTGAGTCAGAGTCGGATTCATTCTTCCTACCATCCATCTACAGAGCCTGATGTTAATATTCCACAGAATTTGAATGGTGCGGGAAGAGTAAGGAGGTCTAGTTTTACTTAATTTTTTATTATTATGATCTCATTGTAATTGACTTAGGGATCAATTTCAAGGTATTTATATATTGATTTTATTAAGTTCTGGGCAAGTGTTAACAACACTATAATTACAGCTGCTGGATGTTTGAATTGTTGTCTAAGTTTTATTATGCCTACGTATGGGCCATCATTCTACTAAACAATATAACGTCTTTGCTCAGTTATAACGTCATTGCAATCAACATCACATATTTTGTCATTGTTTCTAATATGGCTGGTACTGTCTTCCTTCAGTTTGCTGAGGTCGATGTGAAGCTGGTATTTAAAGAAGTTACATCCAAGTTTCTACGCAGACGTATTGTGGAGGTATAAGTTTCTACGCATGCTGTTCCATAAAATTATTTAAGAAGAAACTTGTTACTGAAAGTATGGAATTATGCTTCGATCAAATGCACTGCAGTCCATCGAATGGAGCACAATATCAAAACACCTTCTTATCCTTCTTATACTCAAGTCTGTATAAATGAGAATTATGATTCTCAAATCTGGACAGACCCATCGATCTTCAAAAGGCCAAACAGCTAGCTCCAAAGGTGTCAAGCTAACTCACAATGCAAAAAATAGATTGTTATCTGTTGAAGAAATTTTTGAACACATGATACAAATATCAGGAAAAAGAGTGTTATGGGGCCTGTGCAATTGAATCACTTTTTTCTAGTATTTTTTTTAATAACAAAGTGTTTAAGGGAATCATCTCAGTAGGGCAAGCACGACTGAGAGTTAGCTCTTCATGCAATGGCTTCAAGTGGTGTTTGTTTAATTTGTGCTTGAGAGTTTGGGAACACTGGCTACAGTTATGTGTATTGCCACACTACTTGATAGCTTAGTATTTTGTGAGTCACTTAAATAGAATGTGTACGTGTTTATTAATTTCTTATCTATGCATGTGATAGGGGGGTAAAAGGAGTGATGGGCGAGCACCGAATGAAATACGGCCAGTGAATTCAAGATGTGGCTTACTTCCTAGAGCACATGGAAGTGCTCTTTTTACAAGAGGAGAAACTCAGGTTTGAATCAGCTACTCTTGTTCATACAAAGGAGCTCGACAATAACTTTTCATGTTCATCAAAAAGATCCCCTAAAAGAATCCATGAGTTGAGCATCAGTGGGAAAAACTGGAAGACTTGCATACAATAGAGAGATATATGCTCCTGTTTTCCTGTCAAAGCATCATTTTCGCCCTTGGAGATCCTCTTATTTCTCTCCAATAAAACAATCCAGCTTATGCTACTTGGACATGATCCATAAACCAACCAACTCATATTGCATTAGGCTATGACAGATGTTAGGATCCAATCCTTTTCCTGCCTCCTTAGAATGCCATCTGTTAATGCTGCTACCGTTTTGCATAAAGCACCTGCTGATCCAAGAACTCTATAAATCCATCTTTGTTAAGCTGCTGTCCCAAATTTCTGTTTCCTTAAAAGTAGCCAGCTCAGAGGAGCTTTGCTTCTCCAAAATGCTCTTTAAAAGACTGGTCATTTTGTTCCGACGCAGTTTTTGCAAGATGCTTCTACTTGAAAGGGGTGAATTGTTGCCCCATATTTCTGACTACATTCTCTGACTTGTTCCATTTTATCTGTTTGGTAGTCACTTGCAGTGGTCACACTCGGAGATAAGCAAATGGCACAAAGAGTAGACAATCTCATAGGTGTTGATGAATTCAAGAGGTTCTATCTTCAGGTCTCTTTGGAAATTTATTACTTTCATATTTTGTTAAATTTCGAGTAATCTAATCCACAGACTAGATATTATTGTTAATGTCCAAAAAGAAATGAAAATTTAAATTTCAAATGATTGTTGTGAATTATATGCTATCTCATTAGTGTGCTGCTCAGGCTTAAGTCAAAAAGGTTTAATTCATTTTATCGTAGCTTATGAAATTCACAGATAAATATTAAGTAGTAATTGTGTGATTATGTAGAAATAGAATGGTGTAATCTCCTTGATGAGACTAGTCGATGGCTGATGGTTCATGGTTGTCAAAAAGGAATAGCATCACACAACATATTGTGGCATTTACCTTGCTTATCTAATGCCAACCTATTGATATGTTGTTCAGAGTTTTACTGTTTAGTATGCAAGAGGGATTGATCTTTTCATCAAAAGAGAAGAGAACAGAATGATTGGACCACATATTAATTTTTAGCTTTTAGGCTCACTATTTTCTTTAAATTTCTTGTTAGGTGTGAATTTACTCCTATTTTTAATATGAAAGGAACTTTCCTGGTTTGACATGCAAGTTCTTATTCATTTCTCAAAAATTCAGCATCCTTCGGACTCACTAACTATATATTTGCAGTATTCATTTCCTCCTTCATGTGTTGGAGAGGTTGGTCGGATTGGTGCACCAAGTAGAAGAGAAATTGGTCATGGGATGCTGGCAGAGAGAGCTCTAGAACCAATTTTGCCTTCTGAAGCTGACTTTCCTTATACCGTACGTGTTGAGAGTACTATCATTGAGAGCAATGGCTCTTCAAGGTATAATTTTTAAGTCTCATGTTCAGCCAAAAGTTACTTTATGTTTTTCAAAATTTCCTTCGATGCTAACTTGAGGATGTAAAAGAGGCTTAAATCATCTTTTCACTTTATTCTTTGTTTCTAGGCAGGCATATATCATACTTATTACCCCATCTTCTATCTTTTCTTTAATAAATTAATGGTGTTCCTCAACATGCTTTATACCAAGTTTCATTAGGAAAAGTCTTCACACTCCTGAGCTCATTTTCCGCTAAAAATAAGCTGTTTCCCATTGGAAGGTGCATAGGCTAGCCAACCATACGTATTGTTAACTGGAACACATTCCTTGACGTTTTAAAACTGCGGTTTCTGATCTGCTGGTGTTGCACAAAATTTCAACAGGCATTCATGCTTCTTTGGAGAACTCTATAGGGTACTTGCTTTTGGAAATTAGGATATCTTGTTTACGTTTTGCAGCTTTCACTTGTAAGAAATGTCTGATTTATTTGATTTCCTTAATTTAAATTTCACTATAAGGAACTCTCTTCAACTATTTTATTTCTTCCATGCGACTATAATGTCACCCACATGCCTATTTAGAATAGTTCTATCTATAATCATGTGGATCATTACATTTAGCGTTCTTTATCTTGGCACTTCATATTTCTGCTGTACTCTTTTCCTCAGAAGACTCTGCTTTTAGACGTGATCTATTATATTCGGTTTCTGAGGTTTCCCACAATAAATGCCAAAATTTCAATCTTGATGCAGCATGGCATCTGTCTGTGGAGGTTGCTTAGCATTGCAAGATGCCGGGGTTCCAGTTAAGTGCTCTATTGCTGGAATTGCCATGGGTATGGTACTGGACACCAGGGAATTTGGAGGGGATGGAACACCACTTATTCTTTCTGACATTACTGGATCTGAAGATGCATCTGGAGATATGGATTTTAAGGTTTCATATTCTGGAATTAGAATCACAATACCTATTTTCTCTCATGTTTTCTAATTAAACGATTAAATACTATTGAGTGCTCAGTTGGATTTTTTCTGTTATATTTATCACGTGCATCAAGATGATATTGTTATGATGATGCTATGGATAATTTTTGACTAATTTTGTAATGCAGGTTGCTGGAAATGAAGATGGCATAACTGCATTTCAGATGGACATCAAGGTAGGTCAACATTTCAACACTAATTTCTTCATAATCTCATTTATTTTCTAGCCGTTTATTTTGGTTTCAAGTACACGCCTTCTTCTCACCCCTGAGGATAGTGTTTCTTTTCTTCCAGTCATTTGTAATCACGTTCCCTTTCCAAATAATAGTTGTGTTTGACTTTTATGAGATGTTTCATGTAGAATACCATTAACTAACAATTGACAACTTATAGGTAGGAGGAATTACTTTGCCCATCATGAAGGAAGCGCTCCTGCGAGCCAGGGATGGCCGAAAGCATATTCTTGGTAAAATTTGATTGGATGAGACCATATGACTCAAAATGTTTTTACCTTCTCTAGTTTATAAACTGTTAGAATTCTTGATCCATTGGCTCCAGAGCATTTTGGGTAATGCACAATCTATCATGAGTCATCACCCCTTCAAGTGCGTCTTGCAAATGCTTCTACTACTTTTCTTCTTCAGTGGCTTAGACAAGATGTGAAAATAAACAAAATGAAAATAATATCGTATAGGGTCTACAGGACACACTAAGTTCAAATATTTAGCAAAAAGTACATTTGTTCATTTTCATTCCTTAAATCAGTCATAAATTAAGATCGAGTTTGAAGAATCATATCTGACTGGAATGTTATGGACATGAAACTGAAATTCATCGCTGAGACAATTTTTCTTCTGGTTGAAGCTATTGTCTTGAAGGTGGTGTTTGGTGTGTGAAAATTTCTATTTTCTAAGCATTTTGATTTTGATGGCACAAAAAAAAATAGCATTTGGAAATCTATTTATAAAATGTTCAAGCATAATATATTTTTTAAAAAAAATCTTAAATTGATATGCAATTTATACTCTGAATGATTCTAAACAATATGGGAGAATCATTGTTCCCTTGTATTTCTTTAAGAGATAGGACTGGATGTGATATAACTTGTGATTGAACTAAATGCACGAGTATTCAGCTTTAAACATAACTTATTTACAAGTCAAGAATTCATTTTTGTACTTTTGAGTTCTTAAATAACTGATTTCGGTGTCTTCTTTTTCCTGTTTCCTAATCCAGGAGAAATGATGAAATGCTCACCTCCTCCGGCAAAAAGTCTCTCAAAGTTTGCACCTCTCATTCATGTTATGAAGGTCTGTCCCCTCCTCTCCCCCAAAAATAAAATTCCCCTTTTAGTTTCTATGTTGTGTGTTTGTCACTTGTCCATTTTATGATCCAATCCAAAAATTATGATCTACAGCATTTTCTCTTTCTCACATTCATATTTTTCATAGGTCAAGCCTGACAAGATAAATCTTATAATTGGTACTGGTGGGAAAAAGGTCAAGAGCATCATTGAAGAATCTGGAATAGAGGCTATCGATACAGAAGATGATGGCACTGTAAGAACAAGATCAGCTTATACCCATGCTTCCACATAATTGATAGACTTAAGTATTTCTACTGCAATGAGCACCTTATTCGGCTTTGGCAGGTCAAAATTACTGCAAAAGATTTGTCAAGTTTGGAGAGGTCTAAGGCTATTATTAGTAATTTGACAATGGTTCCTACTGTTGGTGATATATATAGGTATCATCTCGTTTTTCTTCTTATTTCTGTCTGTTTCTTACTTGGACTAAACGGAGATTTACAAAGCTAAAGCAACTTTCTTTGATATACATAAGTAAATTTCTGAAGAAGAAAAAGACCTGCTTAAAAATAGTCAGGAGTCCTAAAAGTTCATCATCTGCAAGGGATCTGATCTATGGGGCTTAGTTGCTGTATTTGTGTTATTTATGGTTGCTTGAGGGCATCAGAACCATTTAATAGGTAGGGGTAGTGTCGTTAATCCTTATTCATCATTAAGTATTTTTTTCCCCCTCTCAATTGAAGACGATGCGTTGGGGAAGATCTGTTCGTCTGACCTTCTAGTGCTTTGGTTATGATTAGTAGCAGTAGAATGTTCCCTGTGGATAAAGTTTTTGAGGGCTTTGATGAATTTATTGCTGTCTTATGTTTTTTTCTTCAAATTTTGTTTATGAAGATGTATTTTCCTTTTCCTTCTTGTTCTATTGTTTTTCTTTACAAGGACGTCTTACTTTTTTCATGCAAGTAAGCTTTGGGTAGAGATTATAATACTTCGTATATTTCAGGAACTGTGAAATCAAGTCTATAACTCCATATGGAGTTTTTGTAGAGATAGCACCTGGTCGCGAGGTACTTGTTTCAACCAAGTTTCCAAAATCAGCATTATGACAGCAGGGAACTGACAATTGATACAATTGCATTTTCTTAGAACATATGGTTTTCCTTCTGAAATTCATCTCCTGTTCATATTTGAGAGGTCCTAGCTATTTTCAATGTTTTTAGTGGAACAAACAGTTCATATGAAATATGAGGATCATATTGAATGTGTCATATTTTTTGTTTTACTTTCTTCAAAAAAATTCTAAAATTTGAAATCAGCTAATGGTGCCTCCATATAAAATGCTAGAAATTCCAAACTTCATACTCCTTCCGGTCTTAAATATAAGGTCTATTTGAGGGTTTTGATTTGGTCCCAAGTATAACATCTCACTCCCTCTCGTCTCCTATATTAAATTTTTCTTTCTCATGATACCCCTATTTATTTGGGCACTTCTATATCTATATATTAAATTTAATCATTTAATAATAGGGTTGTTTTGGAAAAGTTTCACACTACATATTAATCACAAATAACCAACTTACTTTTTTGGATTCTTCAAGACAATTAATATTTGAATATTTTGCTTTGATTTTTATGTAGGGATTATGCCATATCAGTGAATTGAGTTCGGGTTGGCTAGCCAAAGCGGAAGATGTAAGTTTTTTTCTCTTCTTAATTTCTAGTTTTTCCTTGGAAAGAAGTTTAGTCACTCTATGCAAAAAATGGTGACAAAATACTTGAATTGATTTCCCTAGGCTTTTAAAGTGGGAGATCGTCTCGATGTCAAGCTTATAGAGGTATGTTAATTTACAATTTGAAGTTTTTAAATCCTGTAGCGGCCTTAACCCTTTTTTTTGGTCTGAACATGGATGGTGATTTGGTATCGGTGTGCATACTAGCCTAAAACTCCCATTTGATGTTTAGTCCCTGTGCTGGTTATTTTCTGAGTTAGATGCACTTTCTGAATCGCGGCTGACTTTCAGAAACATAATTAAAGCATAATGGATTTCCATTTTCAATAAACTTATACGTTATAGGGCTTAACATTTCTTTTCAAAATATCGATATTTTTGCCTTGTAAGATTTTGGGTATGTTTTTGTTCCTCGCATTCATGAGATTCGGTTTACCCCACTGCCTGTTATATATTCTCTCACGCTTGTGGGCATGCACTGCAGAAAAATGATAAGGGACAGTTGCGCCTTAGCCATCGAGCACTGCTTCCTGACTCAGGTCCTGATAATCAAAATGTGAAGCAGGATGCTGGAAAATCTGCTGAGCAGAATACTGAACAGCCTAAAGACAAGACTGACACTCGCAAACTTGCAGCTTCACAGAAAAGGAGTTCGGAGGACGACTCCCTACTTCCATCTAAGAAGTTTGTAAGGAAGTCGGTTAACCCTGCCCAGGATAAGCCTTCTGCTAGCAAAGACAAGACAAAAAAGAGTAGCAAGAAAGAAGTTGGTAGTGTCTCTAGCAAAGATGAAAGTAGCTTGGTTGGAGAGGCATAAATAGGCAGCCTGTCTATTTTCAAGGTGAACACAGGACAGGGGAGTTTATGAGAACGACTTGTTGGTTCCGTTTGCACAGGCAGGATGAGATTGGACTTGCTTACATACTGACTGATGAACGGTATGAGTAAACCTATCATTGTCTGGCTATATTGTATTGTTATAAAAATCAGCGGATAATCAATATAAATTTTGATAGGACAACACATTTTAACTGGGAAAAAACAACTGCTATCCCTGTTAAATGACTTGTTATTTAGCAGCCATAGAAATGAGATTATTAAGAACAATAATTTCTTCTGCCGGTTAGCAGTTGAATAAAACTCATTGAACTTGCAATTTAGCATCCACAGAAATGAAATTATTTACAATCATAATTCCTTTACCTGGTTCCCACTTGAATGAAGTTTATATTTAACATAAGAAGCAATCACTAACCAGCAATGATTATGAATATCTGATCTAATCAAACTTTCGAGTTCTTACTTTTTCCTGCCATAACAGAAATCAGTCTTCCCCAAGTAGTAGTTGTCGTGGGAAGCGTCTGACTGAACTGAATTCAGTTGTTTGTTCCATTGTTTTAGAGCTGTATATATGTCTCCAATAAAGGATTTGGCCACCGAAAAAGAAATGAGATACCTTGGAAACCTTGTGTTTAGGCAGACATTGCATTTCCGATCTCTTTTCACGGTGAGACAATAATGATAAAATTGATGATGACTGTTTTCTATTGATTCTTCTGGTACTTGTGAAGTTCCTTCTTTATTATTTCGTAAAGGCCTTTTGGTACTCTTCAGTCTTTATTCCTCCTGCTGGTTTACCTTCCTGGTGAACATTTTTTGTATCCTTTATTCACTGTCTGTTGGCTTGTTTTCCAGTATCAAAATGTCTACTTGCCTGCTGATGGAGCAAAATCTACAGGTCTCTCGGGAAAGTTTTCATTGACGCACCCTGGTCACCTGAGCACGAACACGAAAGCTTCGTTCCTATGAGATCTCTCCGTAGGACTTGGCAGATAAACCTGCGTAAGCAGGAAAAAACAAAGCACTAATTTCCGAAGCTACTTTTGTGTACCAAAAAACGATGAATATCACTAATCTGTGAGCGTGTGATTATTATACGCTGCATGAGAATTTTGTCCGTTGAATCCCACTTATGATATTTTTATTTCTTCAGTTTATTTATAGTTTAGCCCCTCGTAATTGTTCTGTACAACAGTCTTCTGTAATTGCTCCTTTTAGGAAAGGTCTTGTATGTTTATAGCGCAAAAGGTCTTGGGTGTTTTCCTCGCATTATTTTCAGCCTTCTTTAGATCAAATTTAATTCAGCTTGTTATGCCCTGTTATTTGTTCATGCCAATACAAATCATGCTCAATTGTGACCTGAACAGTTACAAAACTGCTGGCAACTTTTTGTGGGAAGCTGGATTATTAATGTAAAGATGGTTATCATGCAATTTATTTTTACATCGCTAAAGATGCATTTCTAATATGCCATGGCCTCAAAATATAATAAATATAATAAAAGCATATGATAAATAAGTTTGGTTTTTATTTTTATTTTCTATTAGAAATACACTATATGTTTCAACTTTCAAGCCTGAGATTGTGGGTAATATACAAATAGGTACGATAATCATTAGCTGCTCTAGAGTCCAAAATCTCCGAAATTTCAAGTTTTTCTTCCCCACTAACATGTTTTTAGCCGAGAAAATTCAATTCAATATTAATAAAAATATCGGCAATAGGACTTAAACTTTAAACTCTATAAAACGCTCAGAGTTAAGATTACTTTTATATTGTCCTCTTATATACACAAAAATTATGAATTTAGAATCTCTGTGATTTTTTGGTTGTTGAAAATATCTGTCACTCAAAGTTTCATTGAAACATTTTTTTTTCAATTCATTAATTCACTAATGTGAAAATGAATATTCAAGTTAAGGGCATTTTAATAAAATAGTGGTAGCTTTTACTATAATTCAAATTGTTTAACCGTAATTTTTTTTTTCTATTTAAGAAATCTCAGCCATTTTTTTTCAACTTAATTATTAAATTAATTTTATGGTTTTGAAAGGCCAAAAAACCCACAATCCATGAAGAGCCGCCCAAGAGACGTAAGCTTGGTTTCCCGCCATTCTGCCCTCTTTACAGACCCCAAGGAGCTCCTCTCGCTCGTCAGTATCTGCGGAAGGGAGAGAAGATCAAGATCATGTTGTGGGTGGACAAGTATCGACCCAAAAGCCTCGACCAGATTATTGTTCACGAAGAAGTCGCCCAAAATCTTAAGAAACTGGTTATTTACTCTCCTGGAACACAATTTAAGCTTCTTTATTACATTTTGTATGGTTAATTTCGGAGGATTATTGTGTGACCTTCCTAATTCTTGACGTAGGTGACGGAGCAGGATTGCCCACATTTGCTCTTCTATGGCCCGCCTGGGTCTGGCAAAAAAACCCTAATCATGGCTCTTCTCCGACAAATGTTTGGAAATGGTGCCGAGAAGGTTGAAATTTTTCATATGATTATCATTTTACTGTTTGGCCTATCATATTTGTTCATTAGAAATAGTTTTGCTCATGGCAAGTTATTACCCTCCTGGCATATCCTGAACCTACAGTTTTGTGATTTATTGCAGGTGAAGGTGGAAAATAGGACATGGAAAGTGGATGTAAGATTTTTTTCCCCCCTCTCTTACTGACGTGAGCATTATTTATGTTGTGACTTAAGCTGCTAAAATTTCAAAAGAAACTACCAAATATGTTCTCATCACATGGCTGATTGTAATGAAAGGAGCGGTTGATATGTAAAGTATCATTCCTCTGCTCTCTTTGGAGTAGGTAATCCAGACCTATGAAATATATTGTCTTCAATTAACCGCACACATAAACAAAAAAGCACGCGGCCCTCCCCAACAATATGCATATGGGATATCGTTGCCTTTTGGGTATGTAAATATGTGTATCCCATTGTCCATGCTCCATACATATCCAATCTTCAACCTGTGGTGTTGAGTTGGTGCCATGCGGGAGTAGTCGGGTATGGTTAAGCAGCCTAAAGTTTACTTTTCACAGTTGGTTTTAGGTCGTGGGGGCTGGTGAGTCTTTTAAACAGGCTTGGTGACAGGTTCGGATCCATTTCTTGTGTTTGACCATGGGTAGGTGAGAAGACAAGAAATATCTTGAAGAATCTGTGCTCACGACTCACTGCTAAGGAATAAATTATAATAGTATTTGGATCATTGCATCATTGTGAACTGAATTATCGTCATTTTATTTTTACTTTTTGTAAATATTTGAGAATTTGTTTCAGGCTGGGAGTAGATCTATTGATATAGAGCTGACAACATTATCAAGTGCAAATCACATAGAACTGAGTCCCAGTGATGCAGGCTTTCAGGACAGATATATTGTTCAGGAAATAATTAAAGAAATGGCTAAAAATAGACCGATTGATACCAAGGGGAAGAAAGGATTTAAAGGTAACTATTGGTTCTTGTATTACTTCAGTATCACTTAATAGATGCTAGTGGCACCTTGCACTTTTGTCAAATGATTTAGAGTTTTAATCACATCTGTGTGTCGGTGGTTTTATCTTGTAGTGATTAATTCTTTTATAGGTTAGATAACCTCTGTCTATGGCTTGTAAAATAAGTGCAATGATTACAAGATCTGGTCTTTACCTTTCCACTTGTGTCCTTACTGTTTGTTTACGAACAATGTCTGATTTTGTGCCATATCAGTACTAGTGCTCAATGAGGTTGACAAACTGTCTAGAGAGGCCCAGCATTCTCTGCGCAGAACAATGGAAAAATACAGTGCTTATTGCAGATTGATTCTATGTTGCAATAGTTCTTCAAGAGTTACAGAAGCAATCCGCTCCCGCTGTCTGAATGTGCGAATAAATGCACCAAGTGAAGAACAGGTCAGTATATTTGTAACCTGTACTACAATCTATCATGTTACAATAAATAAAGTTGTCCTGACTTTGGCAGAAGTGTCATTCTGCTTCTTATAATAATCTGTGCAAGATCTATTTGCCAGATAGTTAGAGCATTGGAGTTCATTGGTAAGAAAGAAGGGCTGCAACTTCCTTCGGGGTTTGCTGCTCGCATAGCAGAGAAATCAAATCGGAACCTAAGGCGGGCTATATTGTCTTTTGAAACTTGCCGTGTCCAACAGTAAGCTCCATATTAAGCCTTTTATGAATCGATGCGCTTCCATGAATCTAAATCAAGGTCTACTTTTTAATGTACTATTTTAAATATGGATCATTGAGCTATTGACAGCTTGTTCTTTTGCTTACTGTTACATGATTTGTAGGTATCCTTTCAGTAGCAAGCAAACAATACCACCAATGGATTGGGAGGAATATATTTCTGAAATTGCGTCTGACATAATGAAGGAGCAGAGCCCGAAAAGGTTTGCTTTGATATGGTTCACTGCTGTTTAAATTTTTCTGGAGAAATAAATTGTTTCTGTTGACTAACAAGATTTTTCTCTCGATCTTGCTAATTCCTGCATGCCAAACAACATGAGTGATCAGGTTCATGATCACCTGTCTGATGGAGTCAACTTATCTTAATATGCTACCATTATAGAGATAAAACTCAGAGTTCACAGTTGCTTAAAAGTGATCTGAGTGACCTGTATTCTCTGCATTGCATCTCAGATCTCTATTTATATATTTATCTATAACCTTGGTATATGTTTCAGGTTGTTTCAAGTTCGAGGGAAGTTGTATGAGCTCTTAACCAACTGTATCCCTCCTGAGATCGTCTTGAAGGTTAATACAATCTTCAAAAACGTTTCCAATTAATTATCTTCATTCTATGACTTGACTTTGAATTCTTCATTTATCGGCTCAGAGGCTTCTTTATGAACTGTTGAAGAAACTGGATGCAGAATTGAAGCTTGAGGTCTGCCATTGGGCGGCATATTATGTGAGTGTGTTATATTTATTTATTTAATATCAGCATCTGGATTGCATTTGCTTTTGTCTGTTGTCTGATCATACTTCATTTGTCTTCTGCAAGTCTTCTGCTTGTTCAATTCAATTTTGTGAGATTCTTATGGTGTACCTTTGGTTCATTTTCATGAATCCTATGAAAGCACAGACTGGCATGTTTGGCTTTAACGCGTGTAGACATTTTTATAACAGTGCAACTCTTACAGAAATTTGTCACTGTTCACATTAGTTTCCAGCCATTTTACTGTTTCCTCTGATTCTTCTCCCTCATTGGACCAGGAACATAGAATGCGTCTTGGACAGAAGGCCATTTTCCACATCGAAGGTATTTTGACATGAATGTGCCCTTCGTTTATTGATCGGACATATAGTATGACCTTAAGTCGCTAACCTATACTGTGTTTTGTATGTTCAATTGCAGCGTTTGTGGCTAAATTCATGAGCGTTTATAAAGCCTTCCTAATTGCAACATTTGGCTGAAAATCAGATTATGGTTTTCTGTCCATTCAAGATGTTTAATGTAGGGGACGCAAGTTTTGTACCTTGTATTATTTGTAGGATTTGTCACTATATATTTTCGTGAAGTATTATCCAACATGGAATATGCAAACCTTACGTTCACCCTTCCCATGATGACTGGTACACTTCACTCATTTTGCCTTGTGGTTTATAGTGAATTGGTAACATCATTTGAAAAAGAAGTTTGATAACTTTAAATTGTTTTTTCAATGGTCGACCAAAGATAGAAGTGTTTATTTGAACTTAAATGCGTTTATAATTTTTTGGTCTAAACGATAAAATATTTATAAATTATAGTTTGTTATTGTTTTTGAGCATCTGAAAAACGTGAAGTAGCGCATGCCTACATTCTTGATCACATCTCTCCGTTCTGCACTTGTTTGTATGGGTGAAGGCTTAAAAGGTACCCTCTACCCCTAGAATCGAAGCTACTCAACTGATCAGCTCCATATCTGCAATTCGTCTTCCTTCCAGAGTGCACGACCTTTCAATTTCCGCAACCAATGAAGACTTGCAACTCTGAGGCAGACCCGTTAAAATCTCAGCCATAAAAGCTGAATCCACTGTGCGGAAGGATGATGTTGTAACTGTTGGTAGACCATAGGGGGTCCATCATAAAGGCTGAATCCAAGCTAGCCCCAGGCCCAGGAAGATTTAACCACCAAGCTACCGTCAAACTCCTGCAGGCTATTATCTGATCCCTTTTTGTCAAGTTATCCCAGTAAATTGATCCCAGATGCAAAGCATAAGTTCCGCTGCAAGTTTCACTTTGAAACCCCCCATCGTACTGTTCTCATTGCTCCAAGCAGAGAGTTGAGAATGAGATTTCTTGCACGTTCCAATAGAGAATAAATGGAATGATCAATTTTAAATTTTCCAATATGCGCACAAACATGGTTATAAGTGGACCTAGCCCAGATCCCCGCCATCCACCATTCATACAAGATGGCAAGTGCATTCCCAAATGTCATCAATATATACAAATTGGGCTGTGATTTGAAGCATACAACTACATGCTTCTCTAGTAGACAGACCTATAATCCTAATTTGAAGGCTTGAGGTGCATTTCCTGTACAAGGATTGCATATACAACTTCTGGAGCGGCCATAATTCTTCATCCCGAGCAGCAGCTACGCTCCACATTTTGGGGTTTGTGGCATAAGAAATATCTTGTGCCGAGATTATGCCACATGTCTTTCGCAGGTCCGATGAAGTTTATCCGCAGGAGTTGCCCGCACATACACTGCATCACTTAGGGAGCTGTGGGTTCGACCATAAAACACATAAACAACCGCTCCTATTGCCAGCCAGACCGAAACACGAGCCCACGTGGCCGCTCTGTGAGAAAGACAGACAATAATTAGTCCAACTCCTTCAATCTCCCTTCAAAGAACTATACTGAACCGATGACTGATTAAGTTCACCAAATATGATAGATATTCAAGTGCAATTCTATCTTGAAAATTACCATGCGAAGACATGAAACAAACTCAACGAAAGTCCCTTCAGTTTGCATATGACATCAAAACCTTTAGGCAACTTTGCAACATTAATCCCCTCATTCAGTTCAAAGCTTTGACAGATAAGTTTCGAAGATTGAGTATTAGCACTTACCCAAGATTAATAAGCAAGTAACAATTGATGAGAATGCAAAGTATAGGCAGCAGCGGCACAAATGGGCAAATGAAACCTGAAAAGAGATCAACAACACAGTTACTATCACACATTTGGTCCGTTCTTATAATTTAGTAAGGCTTGATAGTGCTCTTATCACGTGGAGGACTCCCAGATTTGCATAACACAAGTCAAAATTCATGACGATTCAGCCATTCAGGCCCGAGCTTAAAAAAAAAAAAAAAAACCTAAAAAAAATTTCGCAAAGTTTGAAGAGATTAAATCAGATTAAGTCTGGCTGATAATAAATGCAGATTTTGATAGACAATTGCTACAACTTCTTGGTCGGTAAACAGGATTTGCAACCAAGATATTAGCTGTCTAGAACTGTCCCCCACCCACCTCCTTTAACAGTAGAAAAAACATTTCTCTGCATAGTTGCCTAGTGTAGTTGCGCAGCAATGAGACAACAACTCACACCGTCCACATAAATTTATCAAGGATGTAAGTAAGTCATACCTCCAGAGTGTCCAAAGTTGTGTCTTGCATCATCTTGGTTTATACAGGTTAGGAATACTAGACCAGACAGAACAAGGATACCACCAATTCCGCACAATGTGTAACGAACAGAGCTGGAAATAGCAAATGCACAATGCCGTTAACAACTATCAAGTGAAAACACCAAAGCATGCCAAAATGACAAAGTAAATGCATCCAAAATAAAAAATGGAAGGACAGATATTGATGAGGTGGATGCAACATGATTCTGGACTCAAGCCTCTTTGAGTCTGATTTATTAACTATCTTATACTACCAACCCCAACCCCTCCCTTCCTTTCCCGGAGGGTCAAGCCCAAGTCCTTAGAAGATCCACTTTGCATTGAAAATCAGCTGCAGAACTCTCCAGGGAATGGATAATTAAAAATTACTGTCGTGTGTCAAGGTCGAAGAAGCAAATGACAATCTCCATTTAAACCCACCTGAAAAGACTTGTTTGTGAAGCTGCAGATGTGAGGACAAACACCCCTAAGCAAGCGGATGCTATAATCCACCCAACAACTTTTCGCCTATTACTTTCATTTACATCTGCACCCGTCCATAGATAGCAGTGAGGAGAATAATAACAGACGACAGATGACACAAAGAAAGGAAAGAGTGAAATCTGAAATGATAATAACTAGTGACAAATTTGGCAGGGTATTTTGGTTTATTTACTAAAGCAACATGTCTTGTAGACCCTGGCAAATAAATTAACATTTTACCATGATTTTTCTGGCAATACTTCCAGGAAAAAAATTATTTTTATTTTCCCCCTTTCATCAGGCATAACCAATTCTTTTATTACTTAGTAATATAGAGATTGGTAAAAGAGAAGGAAAGGCATAACTCACAGTTTCCAATGGCAAGCTGTTTAGGAATAAGAGGATACTCAATTGATACATCCTCTTTGACAACCAAAGGTTTGATGTTATCAGAAGTACCAATATTTGCCTCTGCATCTCTTTCGTTCGTCTCATCATTGCTCCAATCATACCCCAAAGACACATAATCAACTGAATCCTGGAGAGAGGGTGGCAGTGGGATTTCATTTGGAGGGATATATCTTAGAACTAATATAGATATTGCTACCACGGTGAATGCAAGAAGTGTGCCCACACTAACCTGCAGGCGACAAGGCAAATACAAGTTAGCATTTGCATTTAAGATAGTAACAATGCCATGTACATGGTGTTCAGATAACCTAATAAGAACATCTTGCATACAATCTCAGACGGGAGCGCACATTATATCCTAAACCGCATACCATGACTTCTAATTGTTTAAGAATTTTTATATATTAAAAAAGGGGGGAAGATCGCCTTGATGGTAACTCAATAGAAAAGTCAATGGCTATTCTAGTTGTTTTTGAAATCTAATAAGATTGTTACTACGTGGACTGGCATGATCTGTATGTTCATTGAAATCTAAAAGTCATTATGGTCATTTGTCTTCTTCGTCATGGCATGATCTGTATGTTACCCTACTATTTAGTATTACGGGCGCTGATGCATGTCATGTCAAGCTGAAATCTCATCAACTGAAACCAGGCTGCCGATGAAGTAGACTTACCATCCCTGCCAGCTGAGAGACATCCATGAAAAATGCCAATACTGCAGCAAAAAGGCCAGTAGCTATTGTGCTCTTAACAGGAACATTGGTGCGCTTATTTACGTCTGAGAAAAATGGCGGCAGAAGGCCATCCCTGGCCATAGCCATTAAGATTCGCGGCTGAAAATAATAAAAAGACAATACTTACGCTTGTAATTTTACAAGGCAAATAAATATAGGTGAAAAATTCTCACCCACAAGCATGATTTGCTTAAAATTTGATATTCAAGAATAAACTTTAAAAATTCAGAACTCAGTGCACAGAAAGAGCGTAAAAAAAGTTCCCATTGACTAACCTGGGGAAGTATTCCACCCATCAACGCTGCGCAGAGAGCTGTAAAAGCTCCGGCATTTATTATGTAACTGTAATCACAATCAGGAAATTGACTTCGGCAACTATAATATCTATTCTGTCGTTCAAAATTTATACAGATTAAGAGCACCATAGAGTTGCTAAATAATGCACTTACGCTGCCCATTGCATCCCGTGGTTAGCAAATGCAGAAGATATGGGGGTGTCAGGATCGATTGCATAATAAGGCACTAAACCGAGGACGACAATGGAGACCATCATATACAATGCACAACAAATAAACAATGAAGCCCCAATACCAAGCGGCAAATCTCGTTGAGGATTTTTTACCTGTTGAAAAGTAATATGTTATTCAGATGGTCAAAGTTAACGATATAATATAACCTACAGAAGAATTAATGACATATAGAACCAGGAAAAGAAAAAAGACAACATGAATATCAGTTATACCTCTTCAGCTGTACTAGCGACGGCATCAAAACCGATATATGCAAAGAAGACAGTTGCAGAACCGGCAAGCATTCCATCTACGCCATAGGGAAAATACCTATCAAAGCATAGAGACAGGTATTCTGTAATTAATGAAAGATCAAACATACATGAGGAGGTGAATGACAAACTTGGAAGTACCCTGAAGGAAGTTCATATCCAACCCATCCAGACTTGAATCCCAGGTAACCACCGGCTACTACGACAAAAACCAAAGCACATACGTTCACTGATGTGATTATGCCTTGTATCAACGTACTCTGCAAATGTTAATTGTTAAACGATTTATTCAAAAAAAAAAAAGTCCAGTCACTATAACTTGGAGCGTTAGTGATGAAAGCTTTGCACAAATTCTTAACGCCAAATATTTATGACCTAATTAATCTCAAAAGAAGATAAAACAAAGGACAGAATAATAATTCGGCAGATTAGGCGTAAGGATAAGGCACACCAGCCAAGTCTAACAGTTGTGCCTCTCTTTACACCACTGAATTTACCACTTTTAAACCTCTTTTTACATGTACTGTTTTATTTAAAAAATTTGTTTGCATAATTTATGAATTTATATCAAATCATGTTTGAAAGTAGGTATAACGAGAGTAGGTACAAGAAGAGATGTGAATGGAGATGCGTAAAAATTCGAGAAATTAACCATAGATGAAAAGAAAGATGATAATATGAACGTACCTCCTTAATCCCAAGGCACAAAAGACCAGTAATTATTAACACTAAAAGGGCAGCACATGGATCCACAACTATATCAATCCCAGGAATATGCTGACGGTCTAAAAAGATGGGCAAACTATCCGGACCTCCAAAGAGAGCAGCCTAATAAAATAAAAAAATATTATACGTAAATAATTACATTGACAAATCAGACTTAGCTGGTTGAACAAATGAACCTGATAACAAAATTTCACAGATCATCCGTATATGATGTCCAATACAAGTTCAACATCAAAGAAGAAAAGTGAAGACAGTAAATAGTATTTCCTACACTCAGGGAGCATTTTACTCAATTCTGATAATATAATAATTTCAAGCGTTTAAATGGCATTAAGCAGCCGGGATATCTGAATAGTCATTTACTAATTTAAGAAAAAATGAGTTTAATAACAATTCATTGGCTTTACTAATGAGAATCTTAAACATAGCATTTCCCCGTATTCCCTTTTCACCTCGCTCTATTTGGCTTATTGAATGAAAGAGATTCATAATCCAACTCATACTCCCCAGAGGAAAAGGCAAACCATCCTACCAACGTCTTAAATATGTCTATCTGACCCATCTATCGGCCAAAGGGATAAAGGTTTATTCTCCTTAAGGTCATACATGGACAAACAACTAATTCATTATGAGATTTAAAGAGAACAGCGAACCATATTGGGGGATATGCCCCGTGCGACAGCAGCTCCACTAATTGTATACTCCAGTATCAAGGCCCATCCAATTAACCAAGCAACACTGCAAATAAAGTAATCATTTAGAAGGGCAAGACAAACGCAAGGATGAAAATTGTCAACTAAATAACAAGAGAACCCTCTATTTAAGGATACAAGAAAGTACCCTTCCCCAACACATATGTATGAGTAATGATATGCACTCCCGGCAGAAGGGCAACGACTAGCCAGCTCTGCATAGCAAAAAGCTGAAAGACCAGCTGCTACTCCTGCTATTAGAAAAGAAAACGCCAAGGCAGGTCCGGAATGCTCCCGAGCGACAGTACCAACTAGAACATAGACGCCAGCACCAATCGTAGCACCAACACCTAACCAAATCAACGATAAGTCAATTTGCAATTAGATAAGGAATTTAGGCGTCATTTGAGATAGGGTGATCAAAGCTCATGGCGCAACCATGAAACAGCACAGAAGACAAAATTCAGTACAGTTGCTTGCTTATTTCTCTCGAATGGAGCTACTATCGGTTACACAGGAAAGAAGAAATGTGTAGAGGAAGAAACAGATGAAGCACGAAAGGAACCATAACCTGATTACTGAGTTCAAAAGAAAAAGGGTATCTCCGGGCCGTGAGGCTCCTATATTTTCAGCAGAAGCAAAGAGTAGGACCAATATTCACAAGATAACCGGAACTAAGAAATGAAAACAATCAACGAGAGAAAGAGGCGAGAACATTGGAGTCCCACAACGTCGACTAGTCAAACACAGTAAACATGATTCGCATATAAAATCGAATGGCTGATCAGGAACAGATCCTAAAGTATTCATCACAGAAGTATACCAAAATTCCCGATGAAATGGAAAAAAACAAACTGCGGAGATAAAAAAAAAAAAAAAAGATTCAAAGCAGAAACATTTTAAAATACAATTACCAATGGCGATCAGATGGGGAACAGACAACTCCTTGGCCAGCTCACCATCAGACTTCTTATCAGAATCCACCCTTTTCCTCCTAGTCAAGAAATTCAATGAACTCCATGAACCCTTTCCGCCACTTTTACCACGCTCTTGCGGATCTATCGAAACACCCATGAAAAACCTTGGAAAACTTCGCCCAACTACGAATTCTCCGAAAATCTGCCCGCGCTCCCAGCTCTATCCACTGGTGTGCTTGACAGTATTGTGATGAAGGGGAGAAAGCGGGCAGAATATTCAGAGAGAACAAGTAGTTCTCCCCGCTCCTGAAGGAAAAAGAAACAATATTCCGTTGGCTGAGCAATGCCCAAGTCGTTATCTTTCTATTATAGTCTTCAGGAACGACTCGTCCTGAATAATTATAGTAAACAGAGAAGGCGTTGGAGGGAAAGGGGAAAAGGCGCGTGCAGCATTATGGCTGGTTGGGGGAGCTGCCCGGGATGCCCAAGGGCAGACATTATACGCAACCCGGTAGTCGCAATCAGAGATGCCTGACGACAGCACTGGAATTTGGGATCTTTGAATTGGGTATCGCATCGTGATTATAAGAAAATGGTGCCAATGGAGGCGGGCCAATCTTCGGAGCGGGGAAAAGGTCGGCTGGCTGGCAATCTGTCAGAGGCAGGATTCTGACGGGGTCCACTTGCATATGGATGTCCCAAATCTATTCATCAATAATGTTTTGAACCGAAAAGAAAATGAAAGTGAAATTGGCGGCATCGGATTATTATGATAGGGTGGTTGGATGAATGCGGGGCGAAGATAGCGCATATGATCAATTGATTATCATTTTCTGCTGCAGCGTGGTCGGGCGGGTGAAATTCGATGGGTAAAGTTCTTGCGAGAATGGTTTGGTGGGTCATCAAAATATTGAGAATTCAAAAAATTCTAAAATTTTAAAATTTTGGATTAGAAAAAATTATAAAAATATGTTATCATTTGTTTATTGTCAATTATTATTAAAATATAATAAATAAGACTGATTTAAAATTTTGAAATTCCAAATATTTTTTTGAAATTCTTCTAATATTATTTAAAAAATTGTTATTATAGTTTAACAAATGTATGCTTTTTCTTATTAGTTCTTTAAAAAAATATCTAGAACATGAATCTTGCGGCTTCCATGTGAAATGCATGATTTGGCTTTTGGGCGGCGGTAATGGAATTTTTTATGGGAACGAAGATTACCGTCTTGAGGAGTGCTTAACCTTAACTAGTTAAGGAAACATTCTTTTTAGACATTACGATTTAGAGTTTAAATCAGAGATTAAAATTGTTTATCAAAATTTTTACTGTGAGGGACGTGTTATTAAATAGATCAAGTGAAAATTGTGCTACTTAACGAAGAGATTTATCTTGGTATTATCTAATTTAAAAGCATTGCTTTATTAATAATCGATAACCGGGGCGCCAAACATCTAAAATTAAAAATTATAGTGCAAAACTCTGTTATCCACCAAATCAGTCTTCAACCTCCTTAATTAATTGTATTCTCATTTTGTTTTAAAACAAAAATTAATGTAATAATTTACTTGAGTATTGATGAAGCACGCGACTCTAAAATGAAGTGAGTTCAAACACTTCAAGAGGGGAAGCACCAATTAAAAATATTTCATGCTGATCCCTTTCTATATCTATGCCAACTTTCTTTAAAAACAAATTTGAAGATAATTAGAAAATCAAATTGCAAGCCGCGAGTTAAATTTTATACATACAACTTACAAGTAACTAAAAATAAAAAATGTGAGGTCTTACTTGCCCCATACACTTGCGCAGGCTGCATGATTAGGTATGGAAGGCGGGCTACTCACGTGCTGTCTGAAGACGAACGCAAATGAATCAAATTATTGAATATTGTCTTCACCCCAATAAATTCATTTATTGCAGTCCACGCATTAAAAAGATTATCTTCTAGAGAAATGAAATTATTGGATTCCCCTTGATTCAAAAATCGTCCAATTAATACGCACCGGATGAGAGCATTTTAATTCAGAGCTGTCCGCTCTCTACCCACGTAATTTACATGAGAGAATGATATATTCAGTACTAAAAGGTCAATACTGACATTTTAGCCCCCTAATTGTTAAAACGTACTTAAAATTAAATTACAAAATATACAGTAGTTACCCAAAAAAAAAGGTTCAGTTCCCTGAACTACAACGACAATCCATCAGGCATAGGCCAGTTCATTGTGATAACTTTCGATCATCAGTCAGCCATACAATATATCGTCTGTCATCGCCGCCACTCTATCCTCATCCGATCATGTTATTAGCCGAACAGCATAAAACAAACATTAATAAGAAATGTTACATGACCATGGCTTCTTTTACCCGGTCTTGCATTCCTGCCACCTTCCCCTCACCCCCAACGCCCAGTTTCTGTTAGGCTTGCTGTGCTGTGTAATTATCAATTATGGCTGTCACGTCACCAAATAATGCTAACTCACCTCATCAAGCTTCTTGGCCCGGACTCCTACGATTATTGTTAGCACCATCAGAAAGCTGAACCCATAGGCCTTGATTTCTATCAACACCATTTTCCCAGGTCTGTTGTCTTACACTTCTATCATTTGTATCAGCACCATCAGAAAATTGGCCCACACACTTCGACATTTTCCTTCTCCGCTAAATTCTTCATCACACCCTGCTACTGTCTTTAGTAGTTCTGATTGTAGCAACGGACAGTTCTCCTTAAGATACTCGAAGCCATCAGATTGCATCACAGCTGCAACAGATAACGAAAGTAAAGAAATTGAATGATAGAGTGCCCAAAAATCTGAGGGGCAACACTGGGTTCTTTCTTGATTTCCAAGTTTCTAATGAAAAAGTAAAGTCTGGAGGACGACAAAAGCTACATTCCAATGGAAAATGGGAATCCCAAATTGATGCGCATGCAAAGTCAGGTAATAGTTAACCGACAAAGGGGGAGGGAGTTGCTAGCCTATGTGGCGTTGGTGTGCCTAATTCTCTCCGCCGTTAAAGTTGCAGCAAATAGCTACTTTTGACTTGCACCCACTTCCTTCACCACTTCCCCTGACCTTAGCTTTCTTAACATGACAACTGTACCCATATCCGTCTTGGGTGAGCCAGGTTTCTATCAAACTGCAGCGCAAGAGCAACAATAGAGTTGCCAACTCAATAACGCAAACCCAGTGCCATTACCTGGGAACACTAAATAGGACCACATAGTATTCTATAAAAGGAAAGAAAACAGAGAGTCAATTGCAACACATTGCTTCTAAATTTATTTGTACCAATTAAATTAAAAGAACTTGTAAAAGACCCATGATATTCCTTCCATGGATGAAACAATGCTCCAAGAAAAAGGAAAAAGTGGATCTCATTCCCCATCACCCGTCCCCTTCCCCAGCGCCCCCAGCCAAGAAACTTGAAAGGAAAAAAAATGGGGGTGCAGATTTTTCTTTGATCTATGAACAGAACAGACAGGAGATAACACAAGAACTTGAGTTTTTGGTTCCTTAAGTGGCACAGTTAACAAGAATTGTTCTCTAAGGACTATGAAGCCTGTTGAGAGGGAAAACTCGAAGTTTACAAATATATATTGATAATAGACTACCACCTCAGCAGCCTTAAAAGACATAATCCAGAAGGAACACGCCAGAATTGAAGTGGCTCAGAGAGTTACTGACTAATTGGTTAATCTATTTGCATGATGTGTTTCATGTCTTAGTGGGCGTTTCATGTTTTGGTATAACATCACTGTTATGTCAGTGTCATGTTAATGTCCACTGTTATGTCAGTGTCATGTTAATGTCCAACAGTCCAATTTGTTCATGTTCGTTAAAGTTTAGGAGTCCAGGTTGGGTATAACTGTGGTACGAGGAAGTTATTTCAGTATATGTCTCAAATATCTACTTGAGTATGGTATGATGGCTGTAAGAATGATTACAAATGCATTTATGACCTTTAGTTCTATGGAGATTCTCCACCTTATAGTATGTTGAGATTATGGCACTCTATCCTTTAGCAAACCCTCAATTTTTCTCTCATTCCAACCCAGCACCTATCACGTACCCATTAGGAGTCCTGTTACATGTTTATTTTTTAAATTATAAGAATGCAAATCAAGAGATGGGGTACCAACTACCAAGAATAAATAGCCAGCCTTTTCACATAAACCCTGAACGGTGGCTAGATTGGATTATAGAAATGAGTTAAGGTAAACACGGGGGTTGCGGGAGGATGAAAGAAGTTGAAACTGGATAATTGGTGCCCCTGTCAGTCTTTTCTCATCATCTAATGGATTCAAGTGCATCTCAACATTTAGCACTGAAAGAGATGAATAGCGCACAATCACCCAAGATGCACCTGCCTTCTTTCTTTCGAAAAAAGATTATTTCCTGTTTACTACCATCTCAACTTAACGACTTCTGTAATAATCGCCCATTAAATTACTGCCACAATGTCAAATACAAGCATTATCTACTGGTCAGTCAGCTAGAAGTACATCATGTGCCAACTATCAACACATCATAGACTGCTGAAGAACACAGCAAAGCACAAAAGGAAGCCAAATCTTATATGCTCTTAAGATCTCAAGTTTTGAGAGTTGGAAAGTTAAGCAGGAAAACTTACCAACAAGGTTCTCAGCAGAAAATTTTAGACAAATGGACTTCAGCTCTGTAGCATGATAACGATCAGCAAGGGCCAGCATATAAGAAACAGAATCCACAGATATGTCTTTGCATAGTACAGACTCGCACATCAGTTTGAGTCTTGGCAAATCATACTTTTGTGCAGCAGCTAACAATTTTGCGGCAAATGTGTCAGATACTGATGGTAAGAACGATGATCGTGACATAAAGAGCTCTTCATCTTCTATAAGTGTGTCTTTATAAATAAAGTGAAGCAATGCCTGGTCAACAAAAGAGCTCAAGAAACATCAGATAGCCACACAAATGAAGCTAGGAAAAGTCTAAATGAAATGAGGAAGCAAAAAAGGAATATATTTTTTCTTCAGGTAAGTGTTACCTTGAAAACCTTTGGTTCCATGTCAGTAACAACTATCTCTTGACCCTCTTCCTCCATCCTGTTGAGAAGTTCACTCTCAAATACAGTAGACCGAGCAGTCAATACAAGCCTATGTGCACGAAACTTTTCCCCAGCAACAGAGAAAATGACATCTGTTTCTTCCTCATTCTCTAACAGCGCACCAAGATGTGCTCCAATATCAGATTCAGGAACCTGTATGCTGTTTGATTTTGAACAAGCTATAGACGAGACTACAACACCAACAGTGCAATTTATCTTCAAGCAGTCATCTTTAAGGAAGGTAGATGCCTCAAGCTGAGCTCGTTTGAAAAACCGTTTATAACCCCTAACAGAAATGAGAAGTATATCAGGCAAAATTATAATAGCATGAAACAAGATATAACAATGAAAGATTGACACATCAACCGAGGATATGACACGAGGCATGTGTGATGCTAATTTACAAAGGAATAATAATGTTATATGTACAGGTTAAACTAAAAATCTACCATGAAATCTAAAGCTTCATTTTTACCGTTTTCCATACCTCTCACCCCCAGTGCTCAAGAACATCGCTCATTAATTAGGGTTGGCAATATATGCATATAACATTGAAGAGCTTAACAGACTTCACGCCCGTATTAAGAGAAAGATAAGGTGCCGTTGATAGAAAACAAACGGCATCATGCCCAAGGAATGGAATCTTTTGAATGAACAAAAAAATCCTTGATACAATAAACGATCAATACTCAGAAAAATTAAAGCTCACCACATGCTGCCTCTGTACTTGAGCGTATAGGGGCCGCTCTCAAGCGAGCGATCGAAGTGGCTATGAACTTTATGCTTTCCTTTTCCGCTTTGGTCCACCAAAGTCAGTTCGAACAATGCTCGTACATCAGTACCCTCGCTCGCAAGCGCAATGAAGACCGAAACATACGCAGAATTGTCTTCGGGGTTCTTGCCATCGGGATAGAAATATATAGCCCACTGGTACCCTCCGACCGTGAAATTCTCGCTGGCTAAGTGCTTGCCGACGCCGATTCCTTTGGCAAGAGAGTAGCCTTTGATAACGAAGTTGTGCGAACCATTCACGGTCTCCGTCACAGACCGGGAGCTAGAGGGAGAGACCAAACCGCTCCGGTTCGGCGAGTGCATCACGTTCTTCCTGAATATGGAAAGAAGATCGCGAAAAGGAAAACGAGAACAAGATTTAATGGATCCTCTACCTGCAAGTTTCCTCTCGTAGGATTTTCAGGGAAGGAGAAGGAGAATAAACTGCGGCTGCAAATGATGTTAACTAAGCTCGAATGTGTCCTATTGTGTCTTCCTCTATATCTTATCGAATTGGATAGCTGTGAATATTGTAAATGAAGCCAAGAATTTTACCCGGAGATTGTTGGTGTTTGAGGTTTCGCCAAAATGAAGAGAATAGATGTCAGATGATCTTGCTTGAACAGGATTACCAATGCGGGATAGGAATTGGTGAAGATGGCGATTTTCTTGTCCTAAAAACCTCATCGGCCTCACGTGTCTTCCATTTAAAAGGCGTCGCTGTCTTCGCTCGCTATACGGAAGAGTAAATTTTTTAACTGTTACTCCGTTGAGAGTAAATTTCTTTTTTCAACAGTAGATCGTCAAATATCTAAAATATTTATATACACGCATCCGCATCCTAGTTAGATAAACTTTTATGAAAATCTCAATTAAAAAATATTTAATTCAAAATTTCAGAATTCGGAAAAATTCAAAGATCAGAGAGTTAAATTATACTTCAAAATTTTAGAATTCGCAAAAATTCAAAGCTCACAAAGTTAAATTATAAGAAATTATAATTAGAGATTTTGACAATTTTATATTCCTTCTCAAGAAAATGATTTTTCTTTTTGGTGAGAGAAAAATGAGTAAATTAGATCTAAAAACTTGCTAAAACTAAGACAAACAGTGCAATTTAAAATAAGATGTTTATGAAAACACTCATAAACAACTTATCAACAAACTGTTCATATTGCTGGTTAAAAAAAAAAAAGTGCTCATATTTACACATGAAAATATAAATAACATTCCTAATTAACTAAACCCACCTTTATTGAGATATATATTTACTTAAAGTTCATGAGAGGAAAACTGCTTCTATAAATTTGAATTGTTCAGATGGTGAAAATTAAATGGAAGGAAATTCAAATCGTTCAAATGTAATTAAAAACAAAAAACAAAAACAAAAAATATGAAATGTTTTCGTACAAAATTGATCCACAATTATAGCTTATCCATTTCTCAAAAACTAAGGTTTATTACATTTTCCTCATATGAAGCTTCTTTAAATTTAAATATAAACAACATTATGTAGCCAAAACAACAAAAAGGAAAAGGGAAAACTGCATATTTCCAAAAGTTAGGACAAAAAAAATTCCAAATGCATTGGAAAAAAACGACTTACAATTTCGGCAAAATCAATATTCGATCCATTACTATATCCTAAATTATTGGGAGACAAACGAAAGAACTCAGCCAGTTTCACTCGATTGAAACTAAATAATCCGTTTATAATTAACATCGTCTAAACTCTAAACAATTGAGATTTCTCAGGGAAAAAGAAAAATACAATGAAGATAATTCAGGCAAACTGCAGCATTTACCTAATCTACATGTTACTTACAAGAGCAATTCTGACTTCCTATCACAATACCACTCGATCTTGTTACTGCTTCCACCTAGTTCTGGAAAAAAAAATGTGCACCAATCAGTAGAACCTTCAACTGTGGTCACTGCCAACTAAAAATTCGGTATCCGTTTTCACTTCCTACGTCAGAGGAATCCCATTCACTTCCCTCTGTCTCGTCTGAACCTTCACTGGGAAGGAGTTGTATCCGGTCCGCATGCTCGACGATCCACTCAGTAAATTCTGGAGATGATGCCCATTCCGATAGGGCTTGTCTAGTGGATTCCCGCGTGAAATCATCCCACTCTTTCTTTGTGAACTTCTTTCTGTTGCCTGTCTTGTGGAAAGTTGAATAGTAATCCCCTCTCACTCGTGCTCCAGAAGATGAGGGTGACGTCCCATTCCTATAAGAAGGTGATACTATGCCTGAAACACAAAAGAATTGTACCACATATCACGGCAAAATCGTTTGAACTTCTAAGAAATATGCTAGATGAGTTCACAAAACATATCGACTAGATTATAAAATATTAAAGAAAAAAATTGCATATATCTGGACTTTAGGAATTCAAGACAATATCAGAAAGAAGAGTTACAAAATATTGAACAAATAAAGCATTATCCCAGGCATCCCAAAATGCTACGCTGAGACGGACCAGAAATGCATGTTTATAATTGCATACTATTACAGTAAAGTAGGTGATCTCAAGCAGTAACCCCATGTCAGAATCAAAACAAACGGCAAATTGTTTGAGTTCCCTTTATTATTGTAGGGAATAATAGTCTTTTCAAGACGATACACTAATAACCATATTATAATAAGCAGGCATAAAACTATAAATGGGAGAAAACCCAGATATAAAAGGCTAGTTAACGAAAGGAAACTGGTCTCCATTTTAAAAACAATTTTATTCTGAATTCCATATTAAAAACCATAAAAGGTATTTAAAAAAAAGGGACTGTCAAGGTATTCCGAGTTCAAGTTAGGACCAGAAATTAGATATTGCTTAATGGGATAACTTTTCCAGAACATTAAAGCTTTAGCAAGTTCGAACTAACTTCATGCTTGAGAACATAAATCGAAAAGGTATAGATACTGTTTGAGGTATAGACTACTATCAGAAAGGTAAAAGCAACTGAACAATACCTTTTACAGGAGAATTAGACCATGCAGACTGAATTTTAGGGCTATTCCACAATTTTCCATTCGGGGTTGACTTGCTTAAGAATTCAGCACGACCACGCCCTCCTCTCACCTGCCCAGCTTGCCATGATGTACAATGCTCCTTCCCAGAATTTTCGTACCTACACGAAATCACAATGCCAATGCTACATTTCAATGAGGAAAACGCAATGTTTAACCCTAATAGTCAATTACAATGAAAACCCAAAGCTTGTCAAGTCAGACAGCCATACAGACACTCGGTAAGGTTCCTTATGACCTAAATAGACAACTCGCTCAAATTCCCTAAAATGGGATTTTGGCTTACAAAATCTACAAAGAATCAGAAACAGATGATAAACATCAAAGAATTTCCAAAAGAAGTTATCACAAGTCGTGACAACCACATCATATAATATTTGGAAGAGTCCACCACATATTTTCAAAAGCGTAGGAAAAACCCCTCCAAGTGTGCAGGTTGAACAGACATTATAGCAAACACGTAAATATTACAGGTAAAACGGTTTAACATAGGCAAAACAAGGCAGCAGAAATTACAAATATAGTTAAACTTACCATCCACAAAGACGCCTTAAAGAAGATATAAGTTTGCAGAAAGCTCCACAAAAAACCAACGCTCCTATTGCCAGAGGAGGATCAAGAGTGCTCTGTTAAAGAACGGATAACAATAATGATTAAGAAGAAGTACAATAGCTGAAAGAAAAGTGTTCAACAAACCAAAACAACAAACGTGTTGTATTAGTAAGCAAAAAATTTAGCACCAGCTAAAATCTTAATAGATCCTACAGACAATGTCCATCATCTAAAGCAAGAAAATAAATAAAACAGCCTTCAGAGTCTGCATCAGATAAGAACCAAATTAGAAAACATCTAAGAGCTTTGATGTGACATATGTCATCAAGTACGATAAAAAGCTCTTCATAGTCAGTATTTTATTTACATAAAGAACCAAGTATCAGATATAGAAATTTAAATTATATAATAAGCTGATAGCAATTACTTTATCTAATCATTTACACCATACAATCTACACAAAGTTTGAAGTCTAACTAGCATAGGCAAGTTTAATTGTATCATGCATCCAAAAACAAAAATACGTTCATCTTGGAAAGGCATGCAAAAAAAAAAAGTCACCCAAGGAAATCCAAAATGACAGCGAAATTATCAAATACATGACATGGTGGCACTAAATGTCAATGACAGTCATAGCATATAAAAAGAAAAGATATAAAGGCAAACCTGCAAAACAAGTGTGGCACCAAATATGCGCATTGCCCATTTCACAAATTGTGCAACGCCAGAGTCCACACCACCATCTTTTGAAATAGCAAATCTCCTAACGATCCAATAGCCTAATGCAGCTCCAGCCAGGATAATCCCCACTAGCACAAAAACTGCAACCTGTGAACCAATAAGGGGAGAAAAAAAGCATCTGAATTATAATAACTTGAGTTTCCAGCCTAATAAAAGTTTCCAGCAACTAGCAAGAGTTACACAGTATAAACGAAATAAACCATCTCAGAGTGGGAGGTGGGAAACGATAGCTAAAGGATAAAATCTAATTATCTATAGAATGGAGATTTAGCTTGGTCCAGATTCCAGAATATTAAATTTCCATACTTTGAAATGAGAAAATTGTTTCCACATTCTAGCATATGCTTTTCTACTGATCTCACAATAATTTTGCTGACCCGGACAAAGAAGTAAAAAGATATTTCCATAACACAAAGCCCAAGTGATCCAAAAAATACCTCACGGAATTTATGAATACTAATTGCCATGAAAGGGAGATATTACTAATGTACTGACTGTGACAAGAATATAACAGATTAAATCTATTGAAAATGGAGTTTAATCAATACATATGTATTTCTGATTACATAGGTTTTTAGATTAAGCCACAGTGAGGTGAGTGTATTTTATTCTAGATCAAGCTATACATACAGAATACAGTTCACAGTGACCTCCTTTAGGCAAGCCATGTGTAGAACCAGCCCAACACATAGAATATTCCACACACTGAATATCTGTACACAAATATAAAGAATAAACAGACCTGAAATAGGGAAGTAGTAAATGCTACTTCATCCTAAGTCAAAAAGAATTAATAGTGTCAAATTCCAATAATTGTCATCACTTGAGCAAAGATTTACACACAAAAATTCATATGGATCTTGGGAGAAAAGGCAAGCAGTTTTCAGGTTCAGAAAATGCATACGAACTCAGCCCATTTGCTTGAATGCAGGAAAAAAGATCTTAAACAAATAAATATTCACAACATTATCCAAAAATCTTACTGGATTGTGCATCTCTTCACTCAGCCCAAAACTCTGAAGAATTGAATTTATGAAGACAGAGAAGTGGTGCACAAGGAAAGACCCAGCTCCAAGCTGAAACAAGACGCAGTAATAACATGAGCACCTTTTTTAAATAATAAGAAATAACATCAATTTTTTTAAAAAAAATAATAATAAACATGAAGGCCTGTTCGTGATCAACATAAAACCAGAATTAATGTAAACTCACCACCGATCCAGATATGGCAAGGTAAAAGATATTTTTTCTTCCAGTTGGCAACAATTTCATGCCCTGCATTCATAAGAACAAGTTAGTAAGAAAATAAGTAAAAGAGCAATGTAAACCTAGCTGAATGTGACATAAAATTAAACTAGATACCTGAAAAAGAAGGATTATAATAACAAGAAAGACTCCTATAGCCATCGAACTGCTGTAATAAAATGGAACCCAACTGCTAATAAGGGGAGCCAACAACAACAGTATGAATCCCAGTGCCAGACACACAAGTCGCCATTGCTGAAAATCTGCAGAAATACATAACAGAATGAGAGAATAGATGGTAAAAAAACACTTTTTAGAAAAAACAACAGATAGGAGTACAATAAACAGAGCACAAAACGTTAATATAAAAGAAACAAACCTTCTTCAAGAGCAGCAACAACAGAACCCGGTATTTCATCAGTGAATCTCACATCAATGTATCTTTTCTCGTATGGAGACATGACAGCACTCCAGATCCCCTTCTGGACACTTCTAAATTCAGCCTTGTCACATTGGCACCATCCAAGTGAATTATTCCTGTATGTGATCCACAAGTGAGAAATGACAATCTTCACAAACTTTGTAATTTGAAGCTAATTGAGTGAAGTCAGAAAAGACTGACTGTGCCAAACAGTCTTGAGAACTGAGAGAGAGTGAGGAGTAACGGTAAGTATACTGAGAATAATGTGTACAGCATGCGCTCTGCTCCTACCTGTGGAAACAAACGTGGATCTTGCTATGAAACTTTTCAGGAATTTCAGCTGAGGTTGCCAAAGTAATGCGGAATGAATTTGCATAACTCCCGAGTTTCAATCTTGAGAGGCCATACACATGAACACGTTCACATCTCAACACGTCTTTAGCACCACCGTGAGTAGATATTTTTCCAGAAAGTGGCAATGCATGGATATTCAAAACTGGGCTTTCAAGACCAATTCCTGCAATTGTAACACATGCAAAGAGTATTTCACAACACAATGAGGTGGAAAGGGAGATATAACAACAAAATCCGTAATACAGAGAGCACACATTGAACAGATAATGTGAATATTTTTGTCTGACTTACAACTTGGCTAGATATAAAGAACGTTGATGCCTATCGTTCCCTAGAGGAAAAAAAAGCACATAGTTCACCGAGTTACAGCATAAAATCTCTCACAATTAATATTCTGTTAAGACAGCAGATTTTATCCCTCTTTAGATGATATTACTACTACCTCTAAAATGATTTGGTCAAAATCTGATCTACCACGAGAGGAAATTTATAAGTTGTAAAACAATAAATTCAGGTAGTTCTAGGTTCTATGAGCCCTAAAAAAATTGATGAAACATGCTAAAAAATAAGAAATTATAATGAGAAGAAACAACGCGTTCTCCAACTTTGATGTTCGGCTCATTCAAAATAGAATATGATGATTAAAAAACACACCCCTCATCCACACACAAGCCCAAGATTTTTTGAAAAAAAAAAAGAAGAAGCACTAAATAGAAAGATGTAGCATACAAATCCATTGCTACAATTTGCAATATGTTTGATTATATAATCAGGTAAGCAATTTACTAGTGCAAAACCAGAACACAGACCCCAGATATATTTATTTACCTCAAACAACTAGAACTGATTTTGGAACATCGAAAGAAGAGTCCAGTGAGACCAATCATACTGAAGAACGGGAACTCGATCACAATATCGTTAATCTTCTGCTTGACTTATCAATCCATTCTAGAATAAAATTTTGGTTGATTAAAATGAAAAGAAAGGCCTTATACTTAGGAGATAGTTCACACCTTCATTCTGCTTACAAATCACACGGGCGTTAAAAAAAATTAAACAAAAAAAAAACAAAACAACAAAAAAGTTTCATTGAAATCCCCAACCATCCCACAGAGCGGTTCATCGAGTGCAATGTGAAGATAAAGAAACCCTAAGAATCATTAAAAGACCCCACCGTTTCAATTTTCACTCAACAATCTAACATGCAGCACAGGACACCAAAAACCCGAAAACTTTCATTATGAAAAACAACAAGAAAAACAGGAAACTCACCTCTGAGCGCGGTCTCGTGATTGCCAGCTGAAAATGCCGGCAAATTGATAAAGACGAAGAACAGAAGAAGAAACAGCCCCATGCCTCTGTAGTCCTGCTTTCTTGTGTTCGGGAGGGGAGGAGAGCGAGTAAGAAACGACGAACAAGGTTTAAAATCCCGCGCTCTGTCCGTGGCGTCCATTTTCCTTTTAATCGGCTTAGCTGGTCATTTGTAATGGAACAAGCAATTTACTATATATACCCTTTTCTCTTTTGTTTTTTTCTTTTTTGTTCGAAAGCCTGCAGAGCACGCAAGGTTTGCGTTTAAAACTACACTTCCTGCACGCGTATATTGGGACACCCACCGACTTCCATGAAAAGCCCATTAGGCCCATAAGATAACCCAATTGTTCACTAGCCCACATGGCCTGGCCCATTAAGAACAGACAATCTTATCGTTTCCGTAATATTATACTAATATATACTACCCCTCCCGCACACGTATTATTGGGACACCCACCGACCACTGTGGAAAGCCCATTGGGCCCATAAGATAACGCCATTGTTCACGGAGTCCACATGGCCTGGCACAGTAAGAACAATCTTATTATTTAACATAATATAAGTTAAGTACATCCAACACTTTGAAGTATTTTCTCAAGTGCAGGCAGCACCCTAAAATATTTTGTGATACATCCAATATCCCAAAATATTTTTTAGAAGCGCCTAGCACCCTTAAATATTTTTTTTGCCTTAGTACTAGATGCTCCAAAAAATATTTTTGGGTGCTAGATGCATTTAAAAAAATATTTTAAGATGTTGGATGCACCAAAAAAATACTTTATGGTGCCAAGCGCACATAAAAAAATATTTCAGGGTGCTAAATATATCACAAAATACTTTGGGATGTTAGATTCACCTGAGAAAATACTTCCGGGTGCTAAATACACCTTAACCTTATCATATATACTACAACGAACTACAATTTTTGTAACAAAAAAGTGCTACAATGAACAATATCTCATAATTTTTTACCTGAATAATAGCCCATAATTTATAATTTATATATTTTATCGTATATCATATTAAAAAAAAGTTTCAAATAATATATATATACGACTTACTAATAAATAGTATATGATTATGAAGGGTTAAATCGGTAGTCTACAATCAAATATATACTTGAGTAAAAAAATTAAAAAAAAACTACATGCTATTTTATTATTATAAATTATACGCCTTTTATATATTAACTGAAGAATTAATAATAAAAATATGAATAATTCTATGAAAACTCTGTATAGTAAAATAATCTTGTCTTCCATTTTTATACAAGTTTTGTCATTTTAATAATAAATCATGGTTAATATTTTGGTGGAAAAAAATCTCACACACTTGATAATATGGTAGTATCTGAATCTAACATGAAATAAAAACTGAGAAGTACGCCAAATTATCAAAAATGAAACAGAAAAAGCAGATATTTTAGTACCCGAAGCCGGGAAAGAAGATATCCTGCGTTGCCACATCCGAAGAAGCTCGCAGTTCTAACTGCTGGGCCAGGCTCACTCTTTCTCCCTTGTTGAGTTTGGCGTTCATCCTTCCGTGACAGTTTATAGTTCTGAATTTTTAAATTTGAGTTCTTCTCCAAATGCTTAACTGACGTGAACGCTTGACTCATCCCGAATATTCGTCATTCCTTTTGGTTTTTAATTCCATTCTATGGGAACTCTCACAAGTTGTAGTTTTATACCTTTGAATTCCGAATTCCGTTCCAACCCTGTTCGGCGCGCTTTCAGGGAGAGAATTCAATACCATCAGCTGAGCAGATTGAGGAGCTCGTGTTATTTCTGCGGAGAAAGATCAAAATTAGGGAGGTATATCGATTTTGGTAGGTTTACGTGCTTTAGCAGTAATAACGACACTAGTAATGAAGGGGAAAGCGGTAGTAATGCGTCGAAAGATTCTAATTTGACGACCACACTGGCCGAAGGAGCTGAGGAGAGAAATGAAAATGGCTTCAATCCTGAGAAGTCAAGGCCCCCCTCGGCTTCTTCAAAGGTACTTAACGCTGTTTCTCTGTTTTATGTTTTTGGGTCCTTCCACGGATTCTGACTGTTTCATGCTGCTGTAAAAGGCATGGAATGTTTGCATATCTCTCTAATTTGATGGGATGAACATGTTTTAAGAGGAAACTGAGGCAACACACCTGTTATATTAGAATAAATATGAAACCATTTTATCTGGCGAGTGCAAAATGATGATGGTTGTCCAGTTGATAAATTTATGCGACACTTCTGTAGTTACCTCTCCTCCTCAATAGTCTTGTCACCGATGTTTTGTTCTTCGCTAATAGCGCTTGCCTAAGTTTTTTTTTTTTTTTTTACTTCATTTTACTTTATTTAAGTTGACTAATATAGAATGCAAATAAAGGAAAGGTCCTTCAATGAAGGAACCTTTTGCTTCTCAATGTCTGCTATTGTTAGTATGATTTTCTATCTTACGAGCTATCCTTTCCTATGATGACGTGCACTGAAGGCCCCTGTGATAAATATTTTCTGTGGAAGCATATTGTGTGCATGGGAATTTTCAGTTATCGATCCTGATTCTTATGTTCCTTTATTTTCTCTTCAGTCATCCTTATCCTCAGTTGGACCGACATACAACAATTTTCAAGTTGATTCTTTCAAACTCATGGAACTCCTTGGACCTGAGAAAGTTGATCCTGCCGATGTAAAGCTGATTAAGGATAAGCTTTTTGGTTATACAACCTTTTGGGTGACCAAAGAGGAGCCTTTTGGTGACCTTGGAGAGGGTATCCTTTTCCTTGGAAATTTAAGGGGAAAGAGGGAGGATGTATTTGCCAAGCTTCAAAGTCAGCTAGTTGAGGTCACAGGTGATAAGTACAACCTTTTTATGGTGGAAGAACCTGATTCAGACAGCCCTGATCCACGGGGTGGGCCACGTGTTAGCTTTGGTTTGCTGCGGAAGGAAGTTTCAGAGCCAGGGCCAACGACACTTTGGCAATATGTGATTGCTTTGTTGTTGTTTCTTCTTACCATTGGTTCCTCAGTGGAGCTTGGAATTGCTTCTCAGGTAGGTTGATTATTGATTCTCTTTAAGCATCCGGTGTTGATCATAAATGTTAGGGAAAAGCACTATATCTCAAACGTTTTTAAATTTCATTTGTCAAGTCGATATTGTCTAACCAACTTCTTCTGTTATTTAAACTGTTTTGTTGATTTCATGTTTTCGATTCATCAGATAAATAGATTGCCTCCAGAAGTTGTAAAATACTTCACGGATCCCAATGCTATTGAACCCCCTGATATGGAGCTACTATTCCCCTTCGTTGAGTCAGCTTTGCCTGTAGCATATGGTGTCTTGGGGGTTCTGTTATTTCACGTAAGCATATGGAAAATACCACTAGATTTTTCGAGTCCCGGTTATGTTCCTAGATTCTTTGGATGTCTACCTAATTAATTTGGCCATATGCAGGAAGTTGGACACTTCCTGGCAGCTTTCCCAAGGAAAGTAAAACTAAGCATTCCTTTCTTCATTCCAAACATCACTCTTGGAAGTTTTGGCGCCATTACTCAGGTAAGCTAATCGAATTCCTCCCACTTTTGAATTTAACTTGGAATGTGCAATTGATATTTAAATATTTCTGAGTTGAATCGTGTTGGCCATTTTTTGATATTGGGAGCATGAGCAAACAATATAAGTTATATAATATTATCTGGTAGAGTCAAACTTTTTAAGTTTTAGTTTGCATAGTTAAATGATAGTCCATAATTTTCTTTTCTTTTGCAGTTTAAATCCATTCTTCCTGATAGAAGCACGAAGGTGGACATATCACTTGCTGGCCCATTTGCTGGTGCTGTGCTATCTTTTTCAATGTTTGCTGTTGGCCTGCTACTTTCATCAAATCCAGCTGCAGCAGGAGATCTGGTGCAAGTCCCTAGCATGTTATTTCAAGGATCTTTGTTTCTTGGACTCATCAGTAGAGCCACGCTCGGTTATACGTGAGTTTCATTTGCTTTTCACCCTTTAATGTCTTTAAAACAATTGTTAGCTTTATGTTGATTAGAGTGGATTAGAGTGAAAATGTAACAACTAAGGCAAGGCATTGGTTTTTACCTTGGTTGGCAATGAAATTCCACTTGGTCTCAGCACTCTGTGTAGATTATTCTCTTGCAAGTAGTATAGCCAATTCGCTTTTGAAAATATCAAGATAGAGTTCTTATCAGAAAGCCAATAGATCTTGTTCTTTCTGATTCTACTTGCTGATTTGAACTCATGAGCTGAAAAGTGGAAAGCAAAATACTTCTGTCAGCAAGCCACAAAGGACCTTATTCTTTATTCTATTAACTTCCTTCCTCTTTGAAGTTGTAATACCAGTTTGAAAGAAGCTTATATATTCCAATTTTTATACTTAATAATCTCACCTGCATATTCTCCATGAAGGTAATCATCTTCTTCAAACACAAGCTTGAGAATGTGATTGGGGTGGTGATGTAGGACAAGTGAGTGGAAGGGCGAAGGAGAAAAAAGGAAAAATAGAAAGGAATGAGGGAGAGAGTGGCTGCAAATGCTCAATATTATTCAGTTATTCAATTCATTGAAAAAGTCTAACAATTGATGAAACCCTATGCCTATTTATAGAGCCCTAAGTTTATCTATAATAATAATAATCTAATCCCAAAAGATATGATAAAAAAAGAATCCCAAGACACAAGATAAAACTTAATTAAATGTAAAAGATAATCTAGATGTCCTAATAAAATAACTATCTAGAAATCCCATATTATATTAAAATAAAAGATATTCCTCAACCGCAGTTTGCATCAGGCGGTTGATGGTAGCCCATTTTGCATAGTAGTTAGATATGCTTCATGCTTATTTGTGTATAATTATTGTTCACATTGATCCATTGCTATTCTCAATGTGCAGAGCAATGCATGCCGCAACTGTTTCAATCCATCCTCTTGTAATTGCTGGCTGGTAATGCACATTTCCTGTCATAGATTATGATTGACCTTGTTCTTGTTTTGGTATTTGACCACCATCACCTTTTTTATAACCTAGGTGTGGCTTAACAATACAAGCTTTTAACATGCTTCCTGTGGGGTGCCTTGATGGTGGAAGAGCAGTGCAGGTGTGTTACTCCACCTATTGAGCTTCAGGGAAGCAATTAGCTTTTGCACTTGATTACTGATTATCCTGGCACTGAAAAGGCTTGCTGAACAATTTCATATTTTTGGAATTTAGCTAGTGATGATAGGAATGATGTGAGTGAAAAGAAAAGAAAATCACTGTTCTAAACTTAATTTGTACCAGGCCAACGTCATTGGTTCATTAGATCTTAGTAATATGAATTGAGCATACTAATTATGTTGCATGTTTTTGCAGGGTGCATTTGGAAAAGGTGCGTTAATTGGCTTTGGCTTGACAACCTACACATTGCTTGGATTAGGAGTGGTATGTCTCCTCTGCTATGATATCATATTACCAAATCATGAACAAGTGATCTTATATAATTCGACAGACACTGTTAGGCTGTATTGCCCTAATACTCCATGCTAGCCATCCCTCTGTGTTTTTCTTTTTACTTGATTAAATGTTGAAATTATTAGTGACAATATGATCATCCTTGCGTCTTCAGCTTGGTGGGCCTCTTTCGCTTCCCTGGGGACTCTACGTTTTACTGTGTCAGGTATCTAACATACTCATCTTAAGAGGAAATGACAAAATTAAGGTATTGTTATTTGTTGTGAACTTTCAGACTGAATTTATGCACTTTTTCAGAGGACACCTGAGAAACCATGCTTGAATGATGTGACGGAGGTTGGAACATGGAGAAAGACACTGGTGGTGGTTGCTACTTTTCTTGTTGTCTTGACCTTGCTTCCTGTTTGGGATGAGCTTGCAGAGGAACTGGGTATGGGTCTTGTAACCGCATTTTGATAGATGATGCGTTGAGTAAATCCCTTTAAAAAAGAGTTTTTCCGTTTATTAGATAGCTAAAGCTATAGCTATAGCAAACCATTCTTGCGTTTTTTTCAAGTGATGGATCCAGTGTAATGAATTGGGCCAAAAATGTAAAATAGTTCAATTTTATACCCTTTCCTTGAAAATAGAAAAAGTATATACAAATTAATTACTATTGGAGGTATTATTATGAAGATAACGTGAGGCGGTGCTGCAAAACGCAAAGAACTTCACGATGAACTGGACTCCTACCGATTATTTAAACCCCATTGAAGTTATCAAGGTCATAGTTGGATCGTGAATTTTAATTATCCATCATTACTCAATAGCTAGAGTTCTGGAATTTTTTAGCATTCATAACTGGTATTCTACCTATTAACTGCATGTGTATAGGAAGAAATTGTTTTCCTAGCATCTAACAATTAAATGCATACTCAAGCAAATAATAATCCATTATACATTCCGAAATGTCCTAGATGAAGAATAGTAATGGATCGAACGAATTCTCAACATTGAACTGAAAATATCACGAGATATGTGAGAACAAAAAAAATTTTCCTTCTCGGAAGAGGATGAACAATTTTGTGGCTGCTGGGATTCGAGCCCAGGTCTCCACGGCCACAACGTGGAATTCTTACCACTAAACTACAGCCACATGATGTGACAGGATTTAAGAGGATAAAGGACATCATGGTCCCCAAGAAAAAAAGGGGGGATTTTGATGGGGTCTCTTCTCATTTGGGCCGTTGGCCCTGTCATTTGACATCGCAGACAAGCAGCAAGCTCCGTTCTGCAGCTGATTATATTCCCACCTACTATTATATCGCCGTGCGTATAAATATTTACTATTTCCGGCGAATGAGCTTACTAGGACTCCTTCTTTCCTTAGGTTCTGCTTATAATAATAAAGTGCGGGAATGTACGTATTCCTTTGCAAGCATATCTTGCGTATTCCCCTATACAATATGATGGCCAACTTCACGTATGTATGCATGCTGCAATTGAACCTTTGAAGTATCGCGTACCCACTTATCTACAAGGTTCGTTAGTGGAGTTGTTTTAGTTCATCTAAACAGATCTCAATGGATTCAGTCCTAAGACAATATAACACGCCAAAAGTTAATTTATTATCTTACCTTGTGAAGATTATCAAATGCATTGGAAGGAACCTAGTGTTCAATTTCGCGCGGACAGAGAAGTGTTCTTGTTTGTTCTCATCAGGGCCACTAACCAAATTCCATATACATGTCCCTTCTTGCTGTGTCGCCTCAGAAAAGTTGCTCTATATTATATTATCGAACTATCGAGGCAACAATATAATAATCCTCATCATCGACATTCACAAAATATTGATGAACAAAGGATACTTTCATTAATTGATCTTGTACATTGCAGTTATAGAGGCGGTAATTATCAATACCAGTCTTACAGCAGCTGGTAGAACTAACTAATTACTATATGCTTGAATACATAAAGCAAAAATGGGTGCCAAGCGATCAAGGGTGAAGGATCTGATGGTTGAAAACATGGGGAATCCTACTTTCTTGTTCATCGTCTTCCTCCTCCTGGGACAAGCGAGAGAATTGAAGAGGGTCCAAGCTGTGGGAAGAAGGCGGTGGTGCCTGATCCATCGCAAGGTCAAAACAAGGAGGACTGAAGTTGCTGCTCATGTTCATGAGATTTGTCGAAGCACATGAATTGTTGTTGGAGTACGCTGGCTGGAGTCCTATGTTCATGCTTGGCTGCTGCTGCTGCTGCGAGCTCTGCACTGCACTTGCTAGTGCATACCTGCTATTCATCAGCTGATTTTGAACCACCCCCAGCTCTGCTTGCAGAGATGCCACCTGAATTCACAGCATAAATAAATGAGTTCTTTTGGTTTCACCTCGTTAATAGATCATCAATTAATTATTCGCACATAATTAAGTTCATTAATCTTTTTTCATTTTCACCATGATCATCGGTGTGAAGTACAATTGCGATCATACAAGAGTTGCACACTAAATTTGGCTCGGTGATATTTTGCCATATAAATCAGTAAGATGATGATCTCGGTTCATGCAAGCTTGACCCGATCATTAATATAGCTTTGCCATACGATAAAGAAGGTGTCAACATGCTTCTTTCCTTCTTATCGTGGTTCTGGGGTTCTGTTGGAGTCCAAGTCTTCCTTCAGGTAATCTCGATCAAGGGCGCGCGAGCGCACACGCATATAGATATATATGCTTTATTATTGACTGGCTGAATTTAGAATCTTACCTCTAATAAAATGCTAGCCAGCTCGGAAAATAATCGAATCTTAGCTAAGTAAGAATCGCTATTGGATCATGAAATAATGTAGGGCACAGATGTATATTTTGAAATTAAGAACCTGTTGTTGCAAAGAAATAATAGTGGCAACACAGCCATAAACAGGATCGGACAAGCGAGCTTGGGCCTCGTAGGATATGGTAACCACGGATTCGTGGCGGCGGTTGACGGGGATATGATGCAAGAGCTTAGAGACATTGCTAGCGCCAAAGACCTTATGGACAGCGGCGAAGCGGGCGGAGCCCTGATCGGAGCTAAAGTGGGGAGCGAAGATGCAGCCAGCAGTGCACTTCCTGCGGAGGAACTTGCAGGCTCCACAGGGAGGGGTGGAGGCGGCCGCGGGTGCTGAGGGTCTAGGGTTGCGAACGACGGAACGCCGAGGGTCAGCCATATGGAGAAGGGAGGAAGAGAGAGGAAGTAGGGGAGAGGCAGTGTGGAGGTGGTGAAGGTTACAGGGAATAATATGCGGGGGAGTGCACGTTAGTCTCGTGAGGGGTTGGCGAAGTGATTGGGGTAAGCTTTCTGTTGACGTTATGGTTGGTGAGGGGCACGTGCAATGGCAGCCACGTGACCCATCCTATATATTCTCTATCTTGCAGTCTTGTACTGCAATGCAAAGAAAGGAACTTCTCTTTTCCTCCAAATTTCTTTCCCATATTTATTACTATATTTAAAAATAACTCTGTCTTAGCTTTCTGAATTTTTTTTATTTATTTTATGTCTAAACTCTAAAGAGATCCTCAATCCCCATCCCAACCTTTGAAGGATTAATTAATTTGAGTTATACGAGTTTATGCATATGGTTAAATAACTTAAAAGATTGTTTTGTGCAAAAAGAAATAATATATATGATATATATTAGGTGGTGTTTGTTGGATTAAAAGAGGGAAGAAAATGGTAAAAGAGAATATTAATGAGAGTGGGGAGTTTTGTTGTGGAAAAGCAAAGGAACTAAGGAAGTGAGCCGTGGCTCTTCGCGTGAGCTGGTAAAACCAAACGTGCATGGATTTCATGGTCGGGCCCCACATCCATGACTGTCACATTCAGTTTTTCTTATAAAGCAAAACAGAATCAACGGGTACTGCTTATAAGCAGTCAGGTCAGTCCAACGTTACCAATGCATTGAGAACTGGGGAGAAGGATTTGCCGAGTCGCAATTATAGTTTGTTGCTGACGAGGATGTTGTCTTTTAAAAAAATATATATTTTTAGTTTATTTAACTTTAAAATTATAAACAAAAAATAATAATATCACACTTTTAAATGTTGATAATTAAACATTTTTAAATACTCACATATTGAGCTTAATTTTGAAAATAATCATAAAAAATTATCATTTAAGACCAATGAATAATAATTTTTAAAGTTAAGTAATTAAAAATATACTTTTTAAAAGTTAAGAAATCAAATTAAAGTCTTCTATAAAATTAATGGACTAAATATATACTTTAATATTAAAAAATACAATTATTTGGTCTCAATATATTTCAAATTCAAATTTCTTACTATTTTGGAACTTTCATCTTCTCTTTCTTAAGTCTCAACTCTCAACCAGAAGGTAAAAATTGTAACGATAAAACAGAGTAGAAGACTGTGAAAGAGGTGGCATGACTTTACAACTGCAAAATTGGTCAATTTATTTTCAGTATTTGTTGTTTTTGTATTAATATTAGTTTTTGTCTCTTCATTTTTATTTTTCTTTATAAACCATTCTATTTAGCACCTGTCCAACTCACTCGTCTATGTGAAAAAAACGAGTTTATCGAGTTTGATTAAATTGCTCACGAATTCAATTGAGTTTGTAATTAATACAAATTTAGGAGTGAGTTAATACTTAAAAGCATAAAAACATCAAACTGAACGAATCAACCGACAAGTTCAATTCAATTTGTAGCTAACAGGAGTTTAGAAGTAAACTAACACGATTTTACAAGCTAAAGATGCAAAAACAATGAACTCCTAGATTTGATAATAATATGAAAAAATTACATAAAAAGACTTTAAAAATTAAAAAATTATATATAAGGATTTATTCATAAAAATTGTTGTCATTTACTTATCAATTGTTATGATAGATCACAAATTAAAATTTTTTTTAATAATATTCTAGAAAAATATATATATTTTAAGATTTTTTTAATGAATGTTTCGCATGAATGCGAGTAGAAAAGTGAAAGAGGGGCCGTGCTGACTGTCAGACTTGAGGATGGTAGGACGCGAAGACAATGCTGATAGCAAAATCTGGAAGGTACAATCAAGCGCTCGGAGGTCAGCGTCAGTCCATTTTTCGGCTGAACATTGATTTTCATAATTCGGGAACATTCTTTCTTTCTATTCATGCAGTCTCTAGCCCAACACATATAAATTTACGTCGAAAATTGTCAGGAAGTATCATGTAAAAAATATAATTATTAAAAAGTCTTAATAATAATAAGATTAGTCTGTAATATGATAAGTTATAAAATAGTAAATGGGAACTATTAATTTATTATTCAGATTTAATTGGTAATATTTTTTTAATCTCATTATAATTTTTCCTAAATTTATTGATGTGGATTAATCTTGTAAATGAAAACATCAATGCCATGACAATTAATAAAGCTACATAATAAATTACAAGTTCTAATCTACCCACTAATTATTACTTATACTAATTCCACCTAACAACTACTTAATTAAATTTAATCAATGGCATCAACAACTCACAACCAAGACACAGTGCTAAAGTTCTAGTGAGCTGCACAATGTATTATGAAAATACTTTTTGAACTGAAAACCGAAACAGCTTCAAATAACTTAAAAATTGCTTTAAAATATAATTAGATTTTTTTAATTGTATTTTTTGAAAAAAAAATCATTCAATTCGAGCACTTCAATAAAATGTCCAGAGGGTTAACTTTTTTTCTTTCTTTCTTTTTTTTTTTTTTGGGGACATGTCCTGAGGATTAACTCATCCAGCTGTGATCGAGTGTACAGACTATAGAGGATATACCCAGGACCACGCACCCATCTTTTTTTTCCACATTCTCGTGATTCTGCTTCTTAATAATAAATGAAGAAGAAAGGATCAAAGCGGAACTATGCCAGCTTCCTTGCTAGCTAAATGACAGTGATCTTAGATGAAAATAAGCGAGAAGATGCTGAAAGATTCACTGATATATTATGCTCCCAAGATTATTCTTTTATTAAGAAACACATTTCACAGACAATTTAATTATAGACCTGCGTGCTTCATCTGATATTCCATTTCCGAACTCACAGCCCTTACCCTGCATCTAATATTCTGATGCTTCAACTGTAAATTACAATGCTCACTTTCTATATATATTTCAACCACTGTAGGCTTTACAATGAAATATACAAAAAATGTGACACATACTCTGTGTATTGACACTAATGGAAGGTCATTCTCGCAGAGTCTGAAGGAGAGCCAGGAGACCAATCGCTACTGCCTCTAGAGTCCACTCGCCATGAATCTTGAACTTGAGCAGCAAATTGCAGATTCCACAATACATCTTCAATGGAAGGCCTTTCTTCTTCCTCTTTAGCCAGACACCTCACGCAAACCTCCATCATCGTCTTCAATGATTGATCCGAGCTTGCCCTTCGAATTGCAGGATCTATCACGCTTCTCCGCGCATCATCATCAGTTACTATGCTTGCTTGCAACTGTCTCATCCAATTGAAGATGATAAAATATAAATATGAGAATGTTTCTGCCGATAAGCATACTATATGTACCTCAAAAAGATGAGATTTGAAGTTTCTTATTATGTGTGTTTCCTACTAACAAAAGCCTTAAAGTCTCACATATTAGATTCAATCATTCATCCTTACTTGGGGTGGACCAAAATCTCAAGCTCTCTTTAATTAATGATGAAACATTGAAATACTGAAGGAGGGGAAGAGGTGAAGAGCGGTGAACAAAACAGAATAGACACTGTTACCAATTTAGTTAAAGTGTCCACGTCATTCCTTGACTTCGCTGTCCTTCCGAATATGAGTTCCAATAGTATGACTCCCAAGTTGTATATGTCAGACTTGTCTTCATGTTTGTTACTGCAGAACAACATAGTTCACTAAATGAACAAGTAGTTAATTTTACTCAAAACCAGGTTAAAATTCTACCACACACCTTTTGTTAACTCTAGGCCTTCTGGATTTGCTGGATGAATTTCCCTGGCCAACCTGCGAGTGAGTTAAATATTAGTTGAAGTCTTTTCTTTAGGGGGATAATAGACCAAACATAAAAAAAATGAAAAACGTGATTTCTTTTTCCATACAGACGGAACCGTAATGAATCTAATTTGTTTTCTTGATACCTTTTCCAAGTTTGATAACAAAGGCAGGTTATAGCTGCAGATTTTGGAGACGAGGTTCTGGTCTAATAAAACATCTGTTATTCTGATATTATTTGAATACACACCAGGGAGAATCCCGGTATGCAAAAACTGGATTCCCTTTGCTACTCCAATAGCAGCTGCTATGCGTTGAGTCCAACCAAGTGATTTTGAAGGATTCTCATCTGTCAAAGAGAATGTAAAGAACCGTGAGTTCATGATGAACTATGACTACAAAATAGTATTGTATAAGGCAGAAAAGAAGGGAAATATTAAATATTGACTACCTAAATACCAATTCAGAATTCAAGTGTGATTGCAACTTGAGAAAAAGTTATGTTTCTGTGAATTACCAGAGATCCAGCTCTTAAGCGTGCCATTTGGTGCGTATTCAAAGACAAGAAATATTCTGCTGACACTTGAATCATCTAAATGACATTCAAAGCAGTGTCCAAGAGCACTGACTAAATGACGATGCCTGAGTTTTGATATCAGCTCTATTTGCTGCATAAAGCTTTGTGTGCTATAACCTTTTCTTATTTTCACACATTTAATGGCCACAACTGAACCATTCTTCAACTGACCTCGATACATCTGACAAAGATAACAAAGAAAAAAAAATTTAATGCATATACATATAGACATCATGTACAAGTGCAGATATAACTTTAGCTTTCAATTTCCAGCAAAGCCGTCAGGGCATAATATTATCGGGCCGCTAAGATATTAACAACCTTAAAACACGTTCGCAAAAGGTCAAGATTTAAAGCATATGATGCCTCCCTCTAAAATTCAATATGGAACAAAGAAGTATACCTGCCCATGAGAACTTTCACCCATGAAGGAACCTGTGTTAAAGTAGTTTGTAGCAGACTCAATCTCCTCGAGTGAGAAAGTTCGATAAGTTGGCAAGCCAACTGCTCCCAACTTCATGGTTTGAGATATATACCCTTTAGATGAAGAGAAAGACATGACTGTTGTCATCTATCTTTATTGTGGACAAACACAGAGTAATATGTTAAGGAACTAAAATTTTTCCATATCGTCTTCTCCAATTAATAATTACCCACCAATTCTCCAATTACAAAATCTGTGTGCGCAAAAGAGAGAGATAAAGAAACTTACTTGCACTAGAAAGCAACTTAGAGGTGTACCCAGAAGCAGCATTTTCGGATATAAATCGTATTGGAGGATTCTTGCTTCTGCTTTTGGCATTTCCTTTTCTAACAAGAAAGAGAGTAAGCCCAACAAGTACAACAACCACTGCTGCTCCACCTGCTATTCCAATGGAAATGACTAACTTGGACAGTCCTTTGTGCTTTTCTCTCTCAGGTAATATCCCCACAGCTAAGGCCTCAGTGTGGCAAAAGGGTGGTGGGTTCTGATTCTGATCCGCACCATCAAGGCAATTTCTAGCATACTGCACTGTTCTATCACTGGAATTTGACACTAAACATCTGGGTAGTTTGCCTGACAAAAGATTTGAGGATAAATCCACAACTTCAAGTTCTGAACTGCAGGACATATTCTCAAAAACCATCCCAGTTAATTTGTTCCCAGAAATGTTGAGATAAGTAATTGAAGGAAGAGACAACAAAGCTGGCTGAAATGGCCCCACAAATGTATTTAGTGAGATATCCAATCGCTCAAGCTGGTAATAAGAGGTCACTTCAGAAGGAATACCAGACCTGAAGCTATTGTTCCTTAGTATAAGAATGACCAATTTTGTACCAAGTTGAGGAAACTGAGGCCCAAAAGAATTGCTATCCAAATCAAGAACTTCAAGATTTTTCAAACGGCTCAAATCAGGCACCACCCCATAAAAGTGATTATGGGAAAGTGAAAGGATCCTAAGATTTTCCAAGCTACCCAATGAATCAGGCAAAGATCCATTGAACCTATTGTTTTTCAAACTCAACACAGTTAAGGCTGGAAATGAATCCATCCAATCAGGAAGCTGACCAGCCAACATGTTTTCATCAAGAATGAGAGTATGAAGATTGGAAAGTGAAGAAAGCTCTTGTGGTATGGGCCCGTATAGGCAGTTAGAGCTCATGTTAAGTATTTCCAGTGATGCCAAGTGAGAAATTTTAGCAGGCAATGGACCCCATATACCAAGAGAAACCAGAGTGAGGACTTTCAAATTGGGAAGTCTTGCCAGTGTTTTGAAAAAGGAATCTATTGAGAAATTTCGAGGAAGAAAGGAAGTTCTTGTTTCACCTATTATATGAAGCTGGGTTATGGTGTCTTCATAGCACACAACAGTGGAAGAAGAATTTGAGTCGGCGTTGCAGAAGTCTGTGTGGCTACTCCAACTGCTTAAAGCAGCAGGAAAGTTCAAATCTCTCTGGATACTCAGAAGGGCATCAAACTGGGAAGATTGAAGCTGCTCCGAATCAGAGATAGAAAGTAAAGCTGTTATTAAAAGCAGAAGCAACGAAGTGTGGAATCGTTTTGCCATTGAAAGAAAGATCTTCCGTGCTCTAGAAAGTCCCTTGAGATAAGAGCTTCGTTTTTCAAGGCCACGAACGGAAGCCCTGCAACTCTACCAAGTCATGTCAATTTAAAAGACACTCGAAATTGGCAAGAGTATGTTGAATTCATTATGAAGCTTCAAAATTCATAAATTTATGAATAGGAGCAAATCAAAAGCCAAATTTTTTCCTGATTAATGGCTCAAATGAAACTACATGATTCAAGGAGAATCAACTGTAAAGTATAGCTTCAAGAAATTCATGAAACATTACCAGTTGCTCTCAAAATCACCAAGAGCACCCAGTAAGTCCTCCAAAAGCCAGTCCACTCCCAGGTTGAATAAAGTAAAGAACTTTCATATCACCTCGTTCTTGCGCCAAATTCAAAATTTGAAGAAGGGAGAGGGAGTCTGGGAAGAGAGTAAATTTTAAATATCTTCAGAAATTGTCGACCACACGACTCAACAAAAGCCAAACTCAGAATGAGAAAAATGTCAAGAAAAAGTCTCCAAATCTCACTGAGGCACAGGAACCATTTTCCCAGGAGCCAGATTTTTCCTGTCCACGCCAGGACAAGATGACACAGGGCGAAAGAAAATGAAAGAGCCAAAATTCACACGCGGGACCATCCCCCAAAGCGACATTTCAACATATTTTCTTTCATATTGAATTTGAGATTCACAAAATTTGCTCCATCTTCCCCTCAGGACATGGCCTTGCTTTTCCTTATTTCTCTGGAAGGCCTAAAGGGAAGCCGTAGTTGCAGAAGCAGGAAAAGTAAAAGAAAGATTCTTGTATAGATGGGAAGCCTTTATTCCTCTGTATGATATGATATCATAATATGAGGATATCTTTTAACATGGGGCATGTGGAGTCGAGCAGATTTGGTTAAAGGGGCTAGTTTTGTACTTGGCCTCATAACTTAAGAGAGGAAATGGCAATGGCTAAAGGTGGCTTTGGCTTAGTGTCTGTGTCCGTCTCAGACTGTTACGCGGACTTTCGCTTTCTGGGACCGGTGGGCCTTAGCTTTCTCTCACTTCACTTTGTAGGAGTGGCCCCCTCGATTTATATCTGTTGGTTTTGGCGCCTTCCTTTATCTTCTTCAACCCACCAACTGTAAATTGATTTCATTAATGCGTCGAATTTTCATGATATAAAATCAATGATCCATTGAATTCGAAGCTATCTCTCGTAACGTTTATATCCACCTCACGTTTTGTTCTCTCACATGCCAAGAGGTGAGAAATTACATCAAGCTATCAGAGTAACAAACAAGCTCCAAGGTAGGAATCCTAACATTAATAGTAGGTTGACTATTCTAAACACACAGCTATACGATATATAATTAACTCAGTTCTGAGCTTTCTAATTACTGGAGCCTCCTTAAGAATTAACGATAGTCAGGAAAAATCATCAATAATGCAGACACATGGTCAATTTCGAGTTTTTAAAGTGAGAGAATTTTTGTTTCATCAAGTTGAACTAACTTACCTGAATTAATAATAACAAACTTTCAAGTGTGGAGTATTGAATGGTCGATATGGTCTTGTTTAGTTTTTCAGAAACTAAGTGGTATTGAAAAAACAATAAATGGCAATATATGAAGGAAAATATGATTTATATATATACATATGCCCACACGAGTCTAGTGGCATATCGTATTGGTTTCCTGAACTTACTATATATATCGATCCATCCCTCATCCTGTGCGCTATCTGAAACGATTATTGGCTTCTTTACTGCTTATAGTTGTAGGTTAAAGTGCAAATTTGTGTTTTACCTGACAAAGATATTAAAGCACGATTCACGCACTTCTATTATATTTGTCTTCGTCGCTCGGTTTGATTAATTAATTTCATCCAGCAGGACAGCAGTCTGGCATTTAATATATTAAAATGCAAGAGGTTGTACTTGTGGTCTATATGTGCTCTTGATATTAATTAACAAAGACGAACCTGCAATATACGGCCAAACCAAACCTACGGAGAAGCAAAATTCTTAAGATTTACAAGAAATGCCTTGCCAAATTGCATTATTATATAATGGCGTAATATAATTATTAAATAAATCAGTACCGTTTTTGACAACTGCAATAATGCCGTGCTTGCATGGGAATGTGTTTTTTCTTCCTATGTCTATAAATTTTGTGACCTTGTCTGCTCATTTTATTTACAAAGCACCCATTAATTTCTTGCATCGCGTATCCTTCTGTCATCCACTTCATATTTGAAACAGAGAGATTAATTATTCCTGTGATGGTACATGAAACTGGTGGTAGTGGAGTTTGCGTTGGACGTATGTCAGGCTAACAGCTAAGATCAATGTATATAAAACATATATAATAATTAACCAAGACTTGCTGAAGTCAATCTTAAATCATTATTCCACAATAATTCATGGAAGTCTTTCTTCTTGTTTTTTCCTGTGTCGTGCATGAGGTTGATAAGACTAATATTATTTCGTGGGATATTAGAAGGTGTGAGTCATAATAAATAATAATAATGGAATAATCATGCATATGTTGTTGTCGGTGGTGAAATTGAAAGGTAACGTGGAAACGGCAACAGAAGGAATTGGCAGCTACCGAGGAAGATAGGGTTTCAACAGCAAAAGCAGTCTAGGTGAGGCGTAGTGAAGTGTGGTTGCGAGGCAAGGGCGTCAGGGATGGCCCACCAACTGAAGCGACGGAATCAAGCAACGAAGCAACAAGTTAACCCACGCACCATCCAATTAACGTCAGCGTCATTGGCATAATTAATTACTTTACACACAGTGCACATTACATGCACGAATGAATACGTGAAAGTTAAGCCCACTTGCTTCAACCTGCTTTCAACTTTTTTCTCTCTTTTTTTATGCTTTCGAAAAGTTGAATTTTTTTTTTTTTATCAATAACTTGTTTACTTAGGAGTTTCATTTTTTTTCGATATACTATCGTTTTCTTGGAGAAGAACTGGAGCTTCAAAACCTAGGAGTTTCATTTTTTTTCGATATACTAAATGAATCAGGAATACTTATTATTACTTCCTGTATTTAATGTGACATCTAATTTGTATATATCGTGTCCTATGTTTTTCTTTGTTTTCGGCAAGCCATGTCCAAAGGTTGGCTGGGTTCATATGTTGTTTGTTTACCTCGATGAGTTGGTAAGCCGTTACAAAGGTCCATAGATGTATTACAATGAAATCATGGGCCAACTGTATCAAAAAAAAAGAGAGGAAATCATGGGCTAAGCCCAATATCTCCCCCCTTCTTCCAGGCCCAGGTCAACCTCTCCTATTACACCTGCGGTTTCCCGAGAGAGAGAGCGATAAAGATATTAGAGTGGATGAGATTTTTTATTTATTTATATCTAGCATTTTTTAAATATCCTCAACACTTTTTTTTTTTCCAGCACGTGTTTGGTAACCTGCTAAATCTTCATTTTAAAACTTGAGATTCTCACGTAGTATTAGAGATAAGGGGATGCATGAATGTGATATGAACTGATAATTAATAACGCGTCAGTTAGACCTTGTTAGACATGATAAGATGCATGCATGTGACATGGACCGTACAAAATAATTGCACTTTACGTAGAAGATTCTTGTCGACCCTAACCAATTCATCGTACGTTTATGTTGCGCCACTACCTATAATTCCTACCACAGATAATTCTATGATTACAGCAACGTCTTCTTATTTCTTCGGAAATATGCGAGTTTAAAATTTTCGACTGAAATGTTTGCCGAACCATTCGTGAGGTGGTAAATCATATATATATATATATATATATATTCAGTTTAGGTGAAGGATTACTGTAGTTTACGGGATCACCAATGCATTCAATGTACTGATGTATACTTATTTTCCACGTTCAAGAGGATTCGCATTTCAAATATATTTGATGCCTTTTGAACTGATAACAAAGTAAGAGGCGATAAAATGGAATCTAAATTTATTCGGGAGAGATCTAGAGAAAGTTAGTTTGACCTCTTCCTTCGTTGTATTATTATTATTCTTCGCGGATGACTTTTCTAAAACCAGCAAAGCAAATCCACCTGGTTTTCTAGTTGTTTTGTCATTGTTAAACGAGCAGGACCTTTAATGATGATAATAATGAGAAGACCACGACGACGACGACGACATAAGCGAAACTTCAGTTCTTTACCCAAAGTTTAACCGAAACCATTGGCAGACGCGTAACCATTGCTTTTCTTAAAGAATCAGTCTCATGACAGTTATATACCCGGCAGCCATAGAATGAACAAATTAGAGCTTTACAGTCCACACGGGAAAAAAGAAAACTAGGGCACGGAGAAGAAAAACCAGCAAATACTCATACATATAGATTCTCGAACATGAACAACTCTTAAAAAGGCGCAGGGCGCCTTGTTGGTATCCAGTAAGAACAGCTAACAAGTGTGGTTGTGTTATAGAAAACGTGTCGAAGAATTAACTAAAGATCAGTGTCAATAACTGGAGGTCCCCCATACTCGATGAACTGTATTTGCGAGTTCTTTGGCATCTCAATTTCTTCCAACCATCCATACCCATCTTTTTCATCTTCCCCGACTTCGCTCTCTCCATCTGCAACATTAACACCAATGAAACACAGGTCACCAACTGAAGAATGTACAAGACTTTCTCAATGACTGTCCGTAACTAGAGTGAGATTACTTACTGGAAAACGCCGTATAAGGGTGATCCTTGTAGTAAGAGCAATCGCGGCCATCTTCTTGAGAATAAGGAGGGCCAAGAACGTCAAGAACAACTGATGGAGTAATGGCTGTGAACTCATGAATGTTACCCCCAGTTGTGGGATACAAAACTGAAGTATCACATGGGGCAGTAAACACCCTATTAGCTTTTAGCCTCGCCAATCTCACTGCAAAATAAGAATGACAAAATTCAAAAATTCCATTATATAGACATTCCATTTCCAACAAAGTTTCAAAGAGATTGCAAAGATGTATATATATTGAAAAGAATTGATACGCACGTTGAGATGGTTGCCAGGGATTCTTGGGGGCCTCAGGATCAACCCAATCGTAAGACTTGATGTGCATTTTTCCCACCAGAAGCTTACTGAAAACGGTCATGCCCGGATGGTTGTGGAGGGGTATGACTCCGTTTGCAGGTAGGAAGAAGATGCAGAGCTGCATGTTCAAGGAAAAGTTAACCCAAAATTAAGCGTATGTTTTTAAATCAACATTATTGAGCAATGTTGATTAGAATAGAACTTACCGAGAAATTCTTACACTCGTAAATGGTTGTGCTGATGACTCTTGCATTCTCAAAGATCATATTTTCAGGGTTGAAGAACCGCAGATCCAACCCAACATCTTCTGGCTGCATCTTATCTGGATAAAAACATCAAAATAACTTCAAATGAGTCCACCAGCTAGAACGATGAGTCCTCATTCAGAAAGAAAATACATACCCAATCCACACTACATATACTAGACCACATGGATACCGACAAGTACATGAAATCATTCGTCAGGGGAATTACACTGGTTCGTTGTCGTCGATATATAATATGAAATCGATCTAAAAACCACAATATCCATAAAGATTGATAAACAATGTGGTTTACCAAACTCCATAAAGTCCGATCTTATGATTTAGTTATCATTATTTTTGAAATTTTCCTCTTTCCATCTCGTGTCCCCAAGGAAACTCCGAACACGAGCTACCCTCATGGCCCGGTCCTGTTATGATTTTGAACTGTATAACTATCAGATGGGGAAAGCGATGACTATGCTTTTCGACAGGACTAAGGGGCACTGAAATTTTATCAAACCCTTCCATTTGATTCGTTTCTTATTAAAAAAAAAATTTGACAAAGAATGTTTCTTTTTTAATAAAAACAAGCAATGCGGGGTAAAGAAAACGAAAACAATGGGTGGGGAGCTTTCTGGTTTGTACTTTAGTGTAACTGGGGCAAGGAGGCCAAAGTGCACAAAGCACGCTAGCACCAGCTCTATGCCAGCCAGACACCAAAGTAAATCTGACTTGACTCAAAATTTGACATTTAGCAACAAGAGATCAGACAAAAGTAAACATATACTGTAACAAAACACATCATCTCCTGCAAATATAGCAAGTTAGAGTTCAAAATCAGAAGAAAGCAGTACCAAGGATGTCGCGTAGTTTATGAACATCTTCAGGTAAAGGAACTGTTCCTGGGCCTTTGAATGTTTCTCTGCCGGACACAAACAGTTCCTGGAGTGCCTTTGGAACCCTCGGAATTGCCCGCTTAATAATCCCACGGTATGACTTTTTCTTCTTGCTGATAATTTTTCTCACACGACCAACGTTCTTGGCATGTCCAACTCTGATCTTCCCCTGTTTCACCAAACTCGCCTCAGGTTCCACCGACACACCACTTATCTCTCCCTTCATGTCAATCAACTTAGAAAATCTCACAGGCATTTGCACAAAAACTTTAACAACAAGATGCAACAGTCCTCAAGATGAAACAACCCCCGATATCAGAATCTGCTTTCAACTTGATGAATGAGAAAAACAAGTTCAGGAGACAAATTTCCAAACCCAGATTCCAGAAGTGATAAAAGTCGAAACGTTAGGTTTACTATTGCTCCTTTCTTTCAATGATAGAGATGGGGATGCAAAGCAGGGCAGGTTATGGTTGACCAGAAAGCAATAAAATCATCGGTATGGGCAAAGCAGAGCAAAAGTCCGAATACGGAGAGGATGAGATTTCAGGGAATAACGAGGAAAGCAAGAAGATAGGTAGAGTTGATATATATGGATAGATACATTCGAAGAGACAGCGATATAGAGAGAGAGAAATAAAAATAGAAACTTGAAAACCAGGGGCCGTTGGCATTAGGGATAGGAATGAGGCAGCGTTGTCGGAAGAAAACCAGGTGGAAAGAAAAGAGAAAAGCATTATTATTATTTTTTTTAACGCATTTCCGCTTTCCCGCGCCCCATAGATTGTATGGAAACTGGCGGTTAAAGCGACCCCTGTTTTGTTGGTTAAGACGGTATACCCTCGTCGGAATTACCAAAATGCCACTCACGTGGGTGGCTCCACCTACACCCCATGATTACTTCACACGGAAGAGTGTGTGAAGAAAACCATCAACGCACATCAGCATTAAATGCTGGGCCAAGAATTCCATAACCATCTGAATCATGAAAGAGGAAAAATCGTTTATAAAATTGAAGGATTAAAGTTGTATTTTTGACCTTTAAAAGTATTATTTAATTTAAAACTTAATAGGGTATGAAAGAGATATTTATAAAAGAAATCAGCAATTAATCGTGTACAAATAAAAAAGCTCAAGTAAATTTAACTAATTTTATTGGTCCGTAAGAGGTAACTAATGATGTCGAAGGTCGTACATACGTTTACTTTTGATATATTGATTTCACTGAATTGTTTGCTGTTTTATTTAATTTTGATCTAATATTATCTCTAATATTCCATAAATTATTCCAATATTCTTTTTCCTTATGCATTAATAAATGGGAAGGGGCACAGAATCTTTGCAATGTGCTATTTGATTCCCAAAGCGACTGAGCGCACATCTTATCCTCTCGATTTCCAGCCGCACGTAAACACATTATAGTCACACATATATATAAAAATATATATGTATTAATTTCCATAATTATCATCTCCTACCTGCGTCAGAGCCTGTACGCGTGAGAAAAGTACAGCATTTTTCTCTACTATTCTGAAACTCACGCAGCCAGTGGAATAAAAAACTGAGCAGCTAGTTTCCATAATCAAGTCATGCACTTGCTAAATTAGCTCACGATCCGCCAAATGATGGATATTACACGCACCTCGTTCGTACAAAATCACCAAATGGTCCGATAAATGATATCGGACCTTAACATAAAACACATATTGTCCATGATCCTAATTATAAGAATTAATTAATTAATTTAAAAAAATTATAAAAAAGTTAAGTTAGCTATTTGTAATAAATAAGTGTTGTCTTTCTTAAAATATTCTTACTAATTGAGTATTCTGGTTAAAATTATTATTCTTAGAAGGACTATCTTAAAAAATAATATAAATATGAGAGATAAAATAGATTGAGATCTTATATTTAGAACCAAAATAAAAATCAAACAAAATCTTATATTAAGGATTGGAAGTAATATTTAACTAATTAAATTAAATTAAAAAATTAAATGAGTTAATAAAGTTTCAAAAATATGACATATTTAGTTAATTATAAAAAGTATAACACATTTCTTCCAAAAAATCAAAATCAGCTTTTTTAATATCTTCCCTTCCTCTCATATTTGATCATGGTTAAAAAAAATCAATAAAATTAATTTTAAAAAATTAATAAGTATGAAAAATAAATTTTATATTTAAAACCAAAATCAAATTGTATACTAAAGAACAGCATATCAAAGTATCAGAATCATGGATTATTTCTCATCCGATTTAAGGCACATAATACGATTTGAAAGGCAGAATTATGGAAATCTGAAGCTGTTTTTAGTCGATATACTAGACTGACATTTAAATTTTCATTAAAGAAAATATTATCATTAATGAAAGCAGGACAAGTACGTTACAAATATACTCGTCAGATCCTGATGACCTGCTCATATAAAGATGGTGTCGTTCCATTTAAAAGATGATGTGAAAACAATGACGGAATAGGGATCCAGTCCCCCCCAGTTGCTCGGATTGTACGAGGGACGGAGTTATATGGAACAGTCAGCTTCCAGGTGCAATGTATTAGCGGAAAGTTGAGCTCCGATTCCCAGAAGCTGGAAATGCCTGACGTCTTCTCGCCGGAGCAAATTCTTTGGCCAAATCGCTTGTTTGTCCCTGTCCTATTGTAGAATTTTTCTTCTTGCTACCAGAGTTGCCCTGCCGCCGCCTGAGACTACCATCTTCAGCATCCTCCTCCTGCAAAGTTGCGTCTTCTGCATCTTCTCCAAACTTAACTTGCTGCCTCGCAGCTTCGTAATCAAATGGCATCACTTCCAGTAACCCCCGGGACTCTTCAGTTTTACTGGCTAGTCTATTTCTACTATTTTGTGTCTTTGACTGAAAACATTTTTGGAAGCTTGATGACAGTTCTGATAGAGACATTGGTTCATCTTCATTCTCTTTACCTGAAGTGGACACTACAGAATTTCTCTCCATGTCCTCCTTTGTGCTTTCTGGATTATTGTTCGCAGTATCCTCTGGGTCAGTATCAGATTCAAGTAGAATAATCTCATCTGCAGTGGAGGCAGAAACAGGATTATCGGAAACTGGGTTTTGGGAAGTCAAAGCTTCACTTTCAGCGGCTGCTACACCAGGATTTTCTTCAACTATTTTTGACTTCTCACTGCTGCCCATAAACGAATGGAAAGGAAGACTGACTGAAGATCTAATCTGCTCCAGCTTGGCCTCTTCCTTGCCCTAAAAAATAACAAAAGATTAAGTGAAGGAATCCCATGAAACACACTACTTGTATGTTGACACTGATGTTTTCTAAAACCGACTCCAGCAGGCAGCAGTGTGTGCTTTATGCTTAGGAAGTCAGAAAATCCTAAACCGCTACAAAATAAGTGGATACAGAAATAACAACAAAACAATTCATACAATTTGACATGCCTCAGCAAATTATTTACTTATCAGTTTGTTACGTCTCACCCAATTGCGAAATGCAAATAACGGCCAGAAAGAATAAAAAAGCAGGTAAAAGGTTTGCATCGCGTGAAACTGAAACACATCCTTTGAATGGAAGTCCCATCAAAGAAAGATTACTTTTTTGCTAGCATCAAGCTTCCGCTTTGAAGCTGAACTCCCAAGAAGTACCCCAAAAGCACCAGCAGGCTTTTTCAGCACCTGAACAGTTGCTTTGTGACCCTGTCAACAATTGAGCACCAGTGAGACTGATGCCCTTACTCAGGTCAAGACGTCAAAATAAACAAATGAATAGTTAAAACTTCCACAACCTTTTCAGTGGAAGAGGTACTGACAGCAGCATTCCTGTCCTTCTCTAAAATAGTGAGACTATCCCTTGTAACCTCTGAAGTGAGAGTATCAGACTTAATAGATTCTTCTCCATTTTTAACTTGCTGCTGAGAAGTGCCCTGTTTAGGATGGACAGAAAAAGCTGATTTTTCCATGATATTAGAACAGGTACCACCTTCAACTCCATCATTTCCCCTTCTTGTATTTGCAACATCTGAGTTAGGCATATCCTGTTGGGGAGCATCAGTTCCATCTCTAAGAGGTACTGCATGATCCGATCCCTGCAAATCATCAAATTTTTTTAGGGGTTTAAAAATCATCATATTGGTCCATAAAAAGAAAAACGGAGCCCCAAAAAAGAAAACTATGATCATAAAACCCTATTCTTGTTAAGCACCAAACAGTTGAGGAACAGTCTCTGAACACTGGAAACCAAGATATTCAAAAGATTCTGAACGCATCTAGTAAGACTTGTGGCCTCTGTACCTAGCTTAATTACCGATGCCTATAAGACTAAACTAGGTGCAGTTCTTAAGGTGTTCACTACCAAGTTCTTCAATAAGCACATGAAATGGGGAAAAGAATTCCATAAATGGCCCAAGCATAGTGTCAATTGCATCAAAATGTGTATTTTTATTAGGAAACCAAATAGCAAAAACAGGGTTGTGTAAAAACTAAGAACTGAACCCGAATTGATATGATCAGACTTGAGATGAAAATGCACATTACCAATAACGGTCAGTATTGCAGTCATTTACACTTTCTACTTTATGCTAATTGTAAAATAAAGGACGAGCATACATAAAAGAATCACCTAACCTAACCAGTTGATGTCACCCTTTAAAACACAACTTACAGTTGCAAGACGTCCCTCCTTCAACTGCTGAGCAGCAGCTTCAAAAGCAAAAGCATTTTGCATGGAATTCCTAACAATGTTGACTATAGTATCAAGATTGCGCTCAATATACGGGTGCTTTGATTTTAGCATTCTGCGAAGCTTGCTTGTAGTAACAGGCATCTGCTTAGCTTTGAAATAGGTAAAAACAAAGTATAAACGTCACATGTAATAGAAGGGCTACCTTTAGAAGGAAAACAAGAGAAAAGCGGGCACAAAGTTCATTTACCAATTTCAATAAGTGTTTTATTTGGCAAGACATATCCAGTACTCTCATCCTCAGTACGAGCAACAACATCCCGCCATTCACAAAGCCCCTGCAAGCCACATAACAGAGAATTTAAATTTAATAGCAGTGGACAGGGAAAATATCCAGAGTGGAAGCAATAAATGCCATCATTTTTTTTTTCATTTCAGATGTTTTATCATTCATTAATAATATAATCCTTGTAGAACGGTGTTCAATCCAAGCATGCGGGATACCGCCTAGTACTTCAGACTTTAAGAACACCAAAACCATTACCACCACCTTAGATCTAACTTTATAATTTATAACTGTGCTTGAAAGGTCCACAATGGACAAATCTACAGGCAAAGGCAAACCTTTGATGGAGTACGGAAGCAAATCTGACATTTCATATGAAAGAAAGGCCAAAAGAGAAATTAATCTACAAAAACATGAGTCAAAGGGTGGCAGTTTTACACTTTTGTGTGCAACTGGCTCCTGAAGAAAAAATCCTAAATTCTAGAAATCATAACAATTACTTTTTTTTAAGGTAAAGTTCCATATTCTGATGAACTGAATAAATAACACTTTGACTTCAGAACTTATAAACCAAAGTCCACCTCAAATGATGTTTATATAGGTTTAAAAGACATTTCCCCACATTCATTATTGGGAAGGATAAAAAATGGAACGCAAATAAATAATAAATTGAAGAGGATCTTACCGAAACAATTGCGAGCTGCTGAGCGTTAAAACCAGCGCTCTGCAACCTGCATCAAGAACATAACCATGAGATTTGAAATGCAACAAAATGAAATGCTAAAACTATAAAAGATTTTCATTCAACAAAGGAACAAACCCATAAATATAGAGGTAAGAGTTCTCTGTCAGAAGTTCTTTCTCATATAACTGCATACAGATATCGCAACTGCGTTTGTAGACCTATCAGTAAAAGGAAACACCATTTAGAGGACAAAAATATTACACCAGCTGCCCAGTTATTATTGCATCAGCTTAGAAGTTTAGGATTCAAAATTCAAAAATTGTCCTCACTAAAATAACAAGGAAAGGCCACTTCCTATAAATCAAGGAAAGAGTTGATGAATCACATGAGCATCTAACTGCTTGGATCCAGGCTTAGCAACAAAGCTAATCAACAAAATATGACAATCTGCTTAGATATGCCAATAGCTTGAAAACTTACTCTTAAAAGCCAAATGTTACCATGACCAAGTCATACAGAAAATACTTATAACAACAAAAAAACAAAGGTCCCAAACCACAAATAGATTGAATATCCCGCGGCTTTTTATTCTGTTGGCTTTTGATAATATAAATCCGTAATGATAATTTTCAAAAACATTCCTTCCATTGCTAATATAAAAGGAACATGTAGATCCAGAAAGCATCCGACCATATGAAATGCTTTTCAATGCTTCTATAACTGCAAGATAAATAAATTCACTAAAATCCTCAACTTCTCTTAACATCTAATTATTAATATCCATTCCAAGTAAAAATCTTCAATCCAACATAAAATATCAGATTTTGCAATTTAGCAAAACTCAAATCCTTTAAACAAATGTCATTCTAAACAAAATTCAAGTGCACGGCAACTTCTATCACACTTATAACAAGCAATTCTAAGAATGTTCTTCCGCGGTACATTTGTAACAGAACCTACATAACAATTGCTTCATGAAGACCACAACATTTCCTAACAGGTCCTTAATCTGGTTCAAATACAATTCCTGAACACTACGAGCATGCAAGGAAGATACTCAACACAATTATGTAAGTATGATTAATCGACAGAATCCACAGGCAGAAGTTTTTGGAGTTCACAGGGGTTACCTCCAGCAGAGGAGCATCAGAACTACCAGCCTCCTTAGGCAATTCAAATAACTTGATTTTCATTAAATCATAAATATACAGCAGATAATGTGTATCTTCTCTGGCATATCTGTCATCAGAATAATAATTCATTAGATTGCAGTGATCAAATCACTGGGGTGGCATGCTCTTCGTTGTCACACACAAACCTCAAAGCTTATATTGCTAATATGATAACGATACAAATAATAATTACCAAGCACCAATACAAATAATACCCAGAACTCGCATTTAAGAAAGAAGAAACGATCAAGAACAAACTAGAAGATACAATTAACCGCAATTTGATTTGTTATTTACTGCAATGATTGGGACAAGCTTATTTGTCTTAGAACCAACCATCAAATAGAGGGAATCAAAGAGTGCCTCACGAGATGCCTAGCCATTTTCAAGCAGTTTAACAAATAAGCGTCTACATTAATTTTTACCAATCTTGGATCCTCTACAATTCAGGGATAAATTTACAACATGCAAGTGGAAAGAGACAGACAAATCAACAACACGGTGTAGGGAAAAGCAAATTCAAATATTGGATGCAGGAGAGAAAAATCCCTAGCATTGGAATCAATTTGGGCTCTCTCCCCAACTACACCCCCGTGCAGCACTTTAAGCATATAATCAATTATTTTACCATCACCATAAAAGAGATCCCTAGTCAGCCCAGGGAAGCATAAACCTTGGTAACTAGAAAATTAAAGAGCAAGGCTTTCCAACATCCAAGGCGGGTTCCAGAGGTGTGTTTGGTACTGACCACAGAATTAAACCTTGCTAATTTTAAAAAAAAAAAAAATTACAACTATACGTTCAAGAGGCAGGGCAGGTTCTATTTAATATCCACCTGGAAAGACAAATTTTTAACATTCTTAATTTTGATGTTATAGCCATAGGACTCCAGGATTGTTTACTGATATTTATTCTTGGAGATCAAATGCCAGATTTACATTTAAAAGAAAGAGGCAAGCACGGGGCAAAACACAGCAAATCATGGATTGAGTGTGATGAGTTCAAAACACAACAGCACCTTAACATCTCATCAGGCAGAGGGCGCAGCCTCCAATCAGCGTTTTGATATCTGCAAGAAGTTTACTCATCAGCTTAAAAAATGTAGGATCGAACAGAAGGAATAGTCGTGATGTAGGAATTAGTATTGGACTTCAGTAAATACAACATGTGAAAGACTTAATAAAATAATAAAATAAATAGATGGATAACCAGAGGGAAGGAGGAGTGAGCTTACTCTTTGTTCGCAGTAACCTCACAAAAGTAATGCAGAAGATATTCCAAACTATTTCTTTCCAATTTCAATACTCTTGAGGCCTGAGCAATGAATTCAACATTGATTAATTCCCTTTCAAGAAGGAGATAGTGAAGGCAGATTGAAGAAAAAATCAATCAACAATAACACAGGTAGAGAAAATACAAGATATCCTCCAGAAAACAAGACAATGCATCATGCCCACATGAAAAGCGCACAATCATTGGCAATTTAAAAAAAAGACACGAAAGAAATAAAGAACAGAAAAGCGCAGATACTGAAACTTTCCAGGATCCTCTGAATTGATGGGAAAAGATTTGCAAAAGTTTGCGAGCATATTACAGTAGCAAGACATTGTAGGCAAATCCATTGAACATGTCTCAAATAGTGATACAAACAAGATGACCAATTTCAGAACTTAAAAAATAATTGGACCAGGGTTCAGAATCTAATTTGGTTATGATCATTTTCAAGCAAATTCTTTTCAAGACTGCAACAATATGATCATATATTCTTGCTAGTGGATGGCCCAGAACTAGAACTCATCCCAACAAAACACAACACTTGACTAGTGCAGGCCTAATTCATATGGTAGTGGTAGTAAAGAATTTAGTTCTTGCCCTCAACACCTTGTCATACCCTGCAAATGAGGGTCAGCATAATGAAATATGTTACACAGAAAATAATACCATTGCAAAAATAACATTCACCACAAAAATGATTTCCTGGAAATTTCACGGGGAAGGAACTCAGCAATGGAAATTATAATAATTTCACAAACCTGGCCAGTGTCAAATAAATTGCAAACATAAATGCCAAAATCTCGTTGAAGCCAAATGATATCTCGATCGGCTCCATGCATGACCTAATTAAGCATTTGAAAAAACCAAAAAAAAAAAAAAGTCAATAAACTGAGGCAAACTAGAGCTGCAAGCCGGCAGCAAGAACTGTTCATGTGCAACAGACCTTCTTTATGGAAGGATCCTTGAATACTTCCCTTAGATAGGGCCCAACATGAATCCGAAGCCTCAAAGTGTCCACAACAAAATCTTCAGTCCTGGTTGAGATTTGCATCAAGCAAGTTAAGCCTTGGAAGGACCGATATTGATTATGTTCCAAATCCACCTATACATTTCAAACCAAGACAAAGATATTAGATGAATAGGAATTTCTATATTAATTCATTTTTTAGGATATTTCAGCCCAACATATAAGGATTCTATAAAGACAAGTAATCCCTCCAAGAACCCCATTTTCCACATTCTTCCCTTAAAGGCAAGTCTCCCAAGAAGCCACCTCCTTACCACTAGTATACAGGTGTCTAGATTCCCATAAACTAGCAAATAGCTGACATCTTCCAAACAATCTAAAAGTTGCTTTCCCTTACCGTTCCCGTTCCCTACCACCCATTCCCACCGACTAAATGCAGTGTTGACGTTATATGCAATTCCTATAGCGCCTTCAAAGGCCAATGTTTATATACGCAACAAAACTACTGGAGCACCACGCATCATTGCAGTTACACATACTGAAAACAATAGCATAAAGGATAGTAACATGCCATGCTAAAATTAAGGGAAGCAAGCTCCCCAAAAAAAAATGATCAAGGATTTAGCGGCAAGCGGTTGATCATAAAAATGCACAAAAGTTTTCAACAAAATATCATAAACATCACTCATATTTTACCGCAAATTCATTAACAGCACGCAGCTTTGCAGCCAATTCCTTCAAACCTTTGACATCCTCCACAAGTTTGAAAGGGGTGGATTCCAGTGGGGAAGGCTGCCTAGGTTGAAAATCCCCAAGATCTTTGTCAACGAAATCCAATACAGAGAGTTTCTCCTGAACGAAAAATTAATAGCTAATTAAAAAAGACCATGGAATAAAACCAACATGTAAAACAAGAAAAGATAAGTGAAATTATGAAAAGGCTATAGAAATGCCCCATTCACATGCATCATTTTTTTCTGCTGGGAAAAAAGGCTACATGAGGAAAGCCCTGGATTTTAATTAATGTCTCTTCAAATGTAACGGCCGATTTTCTGCTCAAAAATAAAGCTTTGTGCGAAGCGCTTCAATACGACAATACTATCCATATTTTTCCCTCAATTATCCCTTTGACATGGTATGCGAAGTCTCAAGAAGACTCGTTTTTTCTCCCTAGGAACTCGATCGCATCCTTTACAGAGTGAGTGAATCAAATAACCAAAAAGAAGAAAAAAGATTTAACAATATATGTTGTCATGAAAAATCAGAGAACTAACCAGCGGATGAATAAACCTCTGGCCATCATCACTCCTCTGCAACCAAACATGCTCAAAAGGCTGGTTCGAATTATTGACTAGAATGTTATACTCATCCTGAGGTCTCCTAATTGTTGGTATATGAAACGGAACCTTTGGCTTCGACCCAGTCGTTTTCCTGTCCTTTGCGGCCACTTTAACACAGGAGGCAGGAATTGAATCTGGCTCCTCTACTTTCCCAGCTCCCGGATAACTAGCTCCTTTCTTCTTCTTCTTCCCATAAACCAACTGGAACCCGTCGTCCGAGTCGGGCAATGAACTCGTAGGACGCCCTGTCTCCTCCTCTTTCTTCCTTATCCTAAGAAACTCATCGAAGGACACATCGAACCGCTCAAAAACCTCGTCATTCACATTAACCAGCCAGTCATATGCATCGTCGATATCCATGGGTAAATCAATCTCCTTGCCCCATAAATGCGCCGAGCTGCCGATGGCTTCCAGCATTGTCTGAGATTTTTTCGCAATTTCTCCAATTGGTTTCTTAAATTCGTCGAAGTTGTAGTAAAAGTGAAAGTCTTTGTCCGAAGGTAAGCAACGGGAAGAACCTGAAAGCTTGGCGGCTGACGAAGACAAAGGGCCGGCCGATAAATTGTGTAAAGTACTCGCCCTGGTTGTGGGCTGAGATTGATCAACGTCCATGGCGTCCTGACTCATCGTGATGGCCGAGATTGGTGAAGGGTTTAGGGCTAGGGTTTTAGTCTAAACATCGCCATCGCTGGGTGTGTGCTTCTTCCCACCTGTGCCCTCGCGGGAACAGCGGGCGGGTCTCAAACATATATGTTTATGTCACGTGCCATCGGCCGTGAGACTCCACGTGGCGATTAAATTCTTTACTGATAAAGAAATCGGAGGAGGAGTTTTAATTCCACCTTTATTTATCGCTAAACAAAATTTTATATCATGCTTTTCTCCGAGATTTTATTTAGTATAAAAATATTTAAATCCATAAATTATACTGGATTGCGTTGAATTGAGTTGGATAATTGGATGAAAGTTTTTCTAGTGTCAAGTACTTTTCAGACATTGTACTCGGATTGCAAATTTTGATTTGATTCGATGGATGACGGGCAATGAAGGTAAGAGATCTTAATGGATGAACATTGGATAAAAATTTTCTTCTTGGTTTTTTTTTTAACCTGAAATGAACATTCTTCGTCGAGAGTCTTGTTTCTTTCTTTTTTTTTTTAATTCCTCCTTTCCACCTATAGATAAAAAAATGGATGATTAAGAGTAACATTTTGTAAAATTATTATTAAAATTTTACAGATTAATTTTTTATTATATGTGAGAACTATAATGATTTAAGATGGAAAAAAATTATGAGATATTATATCCGAACTCTATTTTTATCTAAAAGTTGAAAAGGATTATGAGAAGAAAAGCAGAAAGATTGTGATTTTAATAGAATAATAAAATTTAAATAAAATTCTTTATAATTATCACCTCCGATCCTTAATATAAAACCATGTTTGATTTTTATTTTGGTTCTAAATATAAAACCTCAATCCACTTTGTCTCTTATATTTACTCAATTTTTTTCAAAATAGTCCTTCTAATAATTATAGTTTTAGTCAATACAATTGGTTATCAAGGATATTTTAAAAAAGACAACATCTATTTAGAACAAATAACTAACTCAACTTACTTCTTTAATCTCCTCAAATTAATTAATTGGCTCTTATAATTAGAATCAAAAGTAGTATTATGTAAAATTCTTTGATCACACTCGCTATGTGTCCTCTGTTTTATATAATAATCATTCAAGACTAAACTTATATAAAAAAATTAAAACACATGATTATAATTAATTGAATAAGTTGATATGATAATTATAAAATACTCGATATAAGTAATTATTAGCTGCAGTGGATGATAATTTTAATAATATTATTTTGTCTGGTTTACAAGGAGGGAACTTGGGATCCGTGGGATTTGATCAATGGCTGTTGTGCCCGCAATTGTAGCACACTTCCTCATGAGGAGGGGGAACAAAGAAAAACCATGCGCGCAGAAGGTAGTTTTCTCGTAAACGACTTTTTTTGGGAGGGGCCCACAAACAAAAATGAGGGGGCACGCAACAGAGGCAATCAGCGGCTCCGGGACCCGGTTTTTGTGTCCCCTCCTCGGCGTCCCAAACCCACGAACTCAAAAGTCTGAACTTCCCTCCTCCTCCCTATAAATCCCTTCACTCTCACTTTAACACCCATCATCTTCCCACATCCGCTTCAAATTTAAACAATTCAGCTGCTTATCTTGCTCTCTGTGTTCCCATGGCTTCCCTGATTCTTCTCTTTTCTGAGGTCGTTCGCAATCATGAGCTTGATGCTGCGTCTCTGTTAGCGGCGTACCCTCCTCCTTCCTCTTCGCTTTCTTCCTGTGCTGCCGCCACAAAATCGCTGAGAAATCAGAGCGATAGGCGCAAAAGCCAGACTTCTGAAGATGCCGTGGAGATGAACAATCCATTGGAGTCAAGAATCTGTGTTGATTTTGTATGGCCTTGATTTCTCAACGTCGTGTCTGCTCTTAAATTCCATTGGAAACGAGCTTTCTGTAGTGGCATGTGTATATATCAGTTATCATCTCTTCTTCTTCTTCTTTTAATTTTAGAGGGTTACAATGATATGAAAACTTCGCTCTCCTATTCTCATCTTCGTCTCGTTGTCTTCAATTTATTTTATATCTTATAAATTCATTTATGATTAAAAAAATACTTATAAAACCCAAATATTAAAAATAATATTCATGCCTGTGAATATTTCAGGCCACCTAGCAACGAGTATTGCCCCATTTTTTCGTGCCGGGGTGCATTTTGTAATTTTGGAGGTCTTTTTTTTTTTACAAAAATTTTAGGCAGAACTCAAACCAAAAACCAAAGAATGATTCTTTCTAAGTGATACTAATATTAGGCAAGGTACATGTAGGGTGTTTAGATCAAACTAAATCATAATTTGAAAAATAGATTCTGGAGAGAACAGATTTCGGAGAAAATAGATTTTATAACAAAGTGATTATGAGAAATAAGAGTTCTTGAATAGTTGTTACCATAAGTACTTTTTACATGTACAAATTACTAAAAAAGATAATAAATTAATATGATAATTATATAAAGGATATATTTTATAATATATTTTGATTTGAAAAAATGAAATTATTAATAAAATAATTTTTACTAACATAATTAATAATATATAAGATAATATAATTAATAAATAATTAATATGTATATATATTTATAAATTATAAGATTAAATAGTGAAGAACCGAGTGTGAAATGAAGAGTGAGGCATCAATTATGGAGGTTGTTTTGTCATATGCTGTTAGGCCCACACCAACGTCTAGAAAATTTGAGCTAGAAGCAATTTCAAACTATTTCCACCGAAACCATGGTTTTGGGGTTCAAAACCATCCCCAAACCATGGTTTCACATTTTCTGCCCTTGTTTGGCTGGTTTCTTCCTCAAACCATGGTTTGGAGGAACATCCAAATAGGGCTCATTGAGGTGTTTGGATAAAAACCAAACCATGGTTTCAAACGCATTTTTACGGTTGACGAAGTAAATATGTGGAGGAATTTATCTCGTTTTATAAAAAAATACTTCTGAAATAACGATTTAAAGGTTGTCAAACACCCCCTTTATCTCAAACGTTAACCTAGACACTTCTATTCAGCACCAAACACCGTGATGGGAAATTGAACCCTTCTTTTTTTTAGCGAGAGGGTGTAATTCCTGTCACTCAACCCAATGGATATTTTGGAGGTCATTTTTGTAACGCAGGGTATGAAGCCCATGCAAAAACACCATCTGGGCTCCAAGAAAAATGATCGGGCGCAATCATCTCCGGCTGAAAATTCAAGTCAAGGGATTAATTGGGAATCATAGACAATTTTGAAGCCCCCTCACAGACAATAAGATGTTGTATTGATACACTGATTATGATTTTTAACTAGTACAGATTCAGAGAGTTTTTTTTACTTTATCTTGTGTTGGAGATAACCAAAGTTACAGCTACTGTTGAAGCATGTTATAATTTTAGTAATTTTCAGTATAAAACCAAACACGTGTATTAAAAAAGACACCCACATACATAAATATATATCACTAATAACTAATAATTCATCATTTCTTGGAGCAACTCTGATTTCCTGTGGGGCCAGGTGACGATTAATGGGGTGTATCCTACTTGATAGGGACCTTTAACTTGCATTTGAATCGGATTACAGTAAAACTAGGGAACAAATCACAAGGGACGAAGTATTCTGACCTTAACATAACGTCAGTAAGCAGATCTTTTTGACCCAACTGCATCGCGGAACAAAATGGACATCACCGTCGGCTGGCAAGAACTATGCTTAAGAGGAGGGGGGAAAAAAAGCAAAGAAAGAAAGACCTATACGATATTACAGGGACCCAGGCACCAGGTTTAGAATAAGCGTTAGGCTCCGGTGAGCCATGCCAATCAGATTGTAGCAGTAATTTTCCTGATTTAGACGAAACATCGTTAATCAGCCTATGTTATTGACCAATTTAGTTAATCAGTCCCTGCCCATCTAATCCGGGGCACCATGAATCTCAAGTCAGCGAGAAGAGGGGATAAAGTGCTTGTAGGATGGCATTGACTATTGAGTGCAAAAGAGGTGAACGTGAAGACCGCTGGCTTCGTCTAGAAGGTGGCACAAATAAACTCACTCATCCATCGATGGTGTGGAGAGGTTCACGAACCATATATAAAAAGTTACAGCACGTTAAAACTATGAGCTTTGGGTCAAGGGGCGAGATCCGCGAGTTTTGGGCATGCCACAAGGGTCCTTACATCTTCTCCCCACCATGAAGCAACATCATTTCTTATTCAAAATTTCCCCTTCATGAACCTTCTTCTTTTTTCTTTTTAAACCGACCGTTTGTCGATCATGTTCGATTGTAGACGGCATGTTAAGTTCAAATAAAGGTACTTGTATTAGCGAACGAATCAGCGTTTATCCTTTTCTATAAATTTACCTATAATTGTTTGATATCTCATTTTTATTTAATCGTTAAAGTCCAGGCAGATGATAATTTTCTTTGTTGGAATAAAATTGAAATAATAGCCATTCTCCAACAGCAGGGAAAAACAGAGTGAAGTGTATTACCCATTGACCCCAGAAACACAGAAAAAAACAGAGTAAACGCACAACGAAATGGAGCACACAGAGAAAACCATTCATCCCAGAAGCACAGGAAGGAAAACAGAGTAAGCATACAACGACATGGAGCACACAGAGATACCATTCACCTCAGAAGCACACGGAGAAAAACAGAGCAAGCACAGAAATGAAACAGCGGGAAGAGGAAAAAAAATTTAGACCATTTCTCGATTTGTGCGTGTCATCCTTGCGCAGGGGCCATGCTAATCTTCTCTGTATCGTTCCAATTTTATCGGATGTCCCCGAAAGGACGTTCTAAAGCGCTGCAGCAAGTCTATATAAACCACGATACAGTTATAATCGTGAGCGATGTGGGACTTCTGAGGGCTCTTCTTGAAAACTGCAGCGAGTTGCCCACTCCTCTACAGGTCCAAGCCTCGCCTCCTGGAGCTGGAAGGAAAGCAGTGAAACATGAATGTGTGAGGAAGGGGATGGAAGATGAACAGTATAAAAGCCTTTTGACGCATATTTTATTGATATTTTAGGTACAGGAAATAGGAATCATACCTCTATCCGTAGGCATTCTGTCGCCTTGCCGGTTTTCTTGAAGTTCTCATGGGACGCTTGATTTATTGAATCGTCTGCCCCGTGCCCAGCCCCCCATGCATTAATGGCTTGAGGACGTGTCAAGTCAAAGAACAAGCACACATCATGAGTTCTCAACCAAATACTGCTTTACTGACAGACTTGCAGCTTGAGAAAAATCCCAATCGGATCATAACTAGATAGATCTCTCCCTTCCTAGTTGTCACTTGTCAGCCAGTAACCTGTTTTATTGACTGACGAAATGTTAAAATTAATGCCCCAGAATATGAGCTGTTTGTTTGACGGAGGATATGCCGGTGGGTTTTAAAACAAAAATCCCAAGGCGTCCAAAAGACGGAAGCACTGCTTTACTTTGGGCAAGTTGAACGAAGAACGGTAAAGAAGAATGATAACTGCAGCCTCAAACATTATTTCGTCTGCTATTTCTCTCCTTTGGAACATTAATCATAATGCCTTGCCAAAAATCTCGTGTGCGTTTTTGAGAGACAAGATTCAGGTAAACTTTGAAGACTTTGAGGCGCTGCGCTGAAGAAAGGGGGTTAAAATGTATCCCATTTGCCTAAACGTGTTGATGAGAATTATTATTATTATTGTAAACATTATATAAATATGATAAATAAATTATATTGAAATCTTGTAACTAAGACCAAAATAAAATTCAAGTAGACTCTTCTGTTAAAAACAAAAGGTAGTATTTTTTTGGCCCGTGACAAATAATATAAATAGTACACGTGTAGAGGAGGATAAGTGCACGTCCCACTCGTTTTTTTAGTTTTTAAGAATAATTTACGAGGCCTTAGCCTTGGGCTTTATAGCATTCCTTCTGCTCAACGCTCTTTTCAAACCCCACTTTACAAGTATTTTGATAGTTATTGATTGATGATTAGGAGGTCTTTAGAAGCACTCAAGAGTATTTTTTCGTAAAACGAGATAAATTTCTTTATGTATTTGTTTTATGTACTGTAAAAATATTTTTAAAACTATAATTTTGATTTATTCATATTTGAAATTCAAGTCAGTGCAGTTAGGTTTTGATATGTGAAAACACTTACATTAGTCAGTTTCTATTTTATTTAATTTGTTAAAATACGAATAGTTATACTCAACTCTTTTTTTTTGGTCTAAATTTATGTTGTGTTTCGAATGCGGCAAATAAAATATTTTATTTTTGAAAAATAATTTAAGGATTTAGAGTTTGAATTCGATGGTTTAAAACCCAACTTTACAAATGTTTTAGTAGTTATTGATTGATGATTAGGAAGTGTTCAGAAGCATCCAAAAGTGTTTCTTCTGTAAAATGAGACAAATTTATCCACGTATTTACTTTGTATATCGTAAAAATATTTTTAAAATTATGGTTTTGATTTCATCCATATTCAAAGTTCAAGTCGACACAGTTAGTTTTTGATACGTGGAAACAGTTACGTTAGTTAGTTTCTATTTTATTTTATTTGTTAAAATACGAATAGTTATACTCAACTCGTTTTTTTTGTCTCGATTTACGATGTGTTTCGAGCACGGCAAATAAAATATTTTATTTTTGAAAAATAATTTAAGGATTTAGAGTGTGAATTCAGTGGCCATGCTACTAAGTCTGCACCCGTTAAAAACAAAGCACATCTTTTTCAAAATTCTTTATCATTTACGTGCGCAATCATTTCATATCATACTGTTTAAATTTCTAAAAACTGTGTTCAGATTTCAAAAACTTTTTACCCTTGAAATTTAAAAAGAAAACCCCAACATAATTTGTTCACGTAACGCACATAATTAGACTTAATCAGCACGAAACCCACCTTGTCTCACCTACCCCCGGCCCCGGGCACCATCCGCAATAGGTTGTCATCTCCATGAAGCCCAGGGTAATTTGGGCATTTGATTGTGGTTTTGGCAATGAACAACAAAATTAAATAATTGAATAGTTTGCCAAAAATAAATACTCCATATTTAACTAATTTGATTAGATTAAGAATATTAGATAAGTTAGTTGATTATAAAAAATATAACATCTTTCTTCTAAAACACCATAATCATTTTCCTTAATATCCTCCATCCCTCTTTTTAATTATAGTTGATGAAGTATTTATAAGGATAATTTAGAAAAATTAATAAATATGATAAATATATTTTATATTTAATACCAAAATCAACCAAATAATTAGGTCTTATATTAAGGATTAGAGGAGTACTATCTCGGGTCTTTAATATAAAAAATTGTTTAACTTTTATTTTGGTCATAAATATTAGACCTCAATTCACTTTATTTCTCATATTTATTTATTTATTTAAGATAACCATTGTAATAATAGTAGTTATAGACAATACATTTGATTAGCAATAATATTTTAGAAAAGATAACACATATTTATTACAAATAACTAATTTAAATAATTTTCTTAACTCACTTAAATTAGTCAACTAATTCTTATATTAAAAATCAAAGATAATACTCCTCCGGTCCTTAATATAAAACTCATTTAACTAATTTGATTATATCAAGGAAGTTAGGTAAGTTAGTTAATTATAAGAAAAATGACACGTTTTTCCTAAAACACCATAATCATTTTTCTGAATACCTCCTCTCCCTCTTCTACTTGATTATGGTTAAGAGAGTATTCACAAGAGTAATTTAGAGAAAACTGATAAATATAATAAATGAGTCTTATATTTATAACCAAAATCAACTCAAGAACTAGATTCTATATTAAAGATCGGAGGAGTAGTAAAATAAAATAACTAGAGCGAAACTTGCTGGTCCCCTGTATATATATTTTTTAAGGAACTAAATTTGCATTAAAAAACACATACAATACTACACCCTAGTTAAGTAATTTGAAAAAAAATAAAAAATTACTAAATCATTTAAAATTATTTACATCTATTGTTTTTTATCAACTAATTTACCTCATTTATTAATTGATATATAATTTAATAATTTATATGCCATAATTAAATAATTTGGTAACATTTTAAATTAATGAATATTAATAAAAGGTAGTTTTTTTTTTCCGCCACAAAGTTCTTGTACGATCATTGCGTATTCCTGTTTAGTCCTTTCACACCAACTTCCATCACCAACCCCGCAAAAGGACACTCGCATTCGCCTCTCTAAGTAAGCACTTGCAAAACATTCACGTAATTTATAATTATGAGTATTTGATAAATAATAAATTTGGCGTCGATGCTTGATGGTCAAATAAATACAAATATTTTTTTAAAAAAATTCCTTTCGCCACCCCTAATTCCATAAATGGCATGCCGTTAGCGCGGGGAGTATACTATTGCATTTTTTCAAGCGAGAATAATCTCACTCTCAAAGTATAACTGTCTGTGCGTGTTATGTGGTTTTCCTTTCACTCCCTTATCCGAAAACAAAGTATGAGTGTCTGTGTATGTAAAATTCAGCAGTATTCCATTCTCTTCCACAATAGTAGTATTTGCATTAATTTTATAAAATTAAGTATTACGCTAAATGAAGTTAAGAAATAAACTAGACTAGTTACGAGAATAATAAGTTGGCAAAAAATGAGGAGAATAATTGTACTGCTCATAATTAATTAATGATAGTAGAATTTATTACAATTTTTAAGGAAAAATCACAAAAAAAGACCTTAGAAATAAAAAAAATTGTAAGTAAGAATCTATTATAACATTAGTATGGGTTTTAATAATTTTTTTCCGAACAGGTCCTGTATACAATATTTTTAAATTTTTTTAACGATTTATTTAATTGGAATATTATAATATGACATGAGAAATTCTGAAATGGAGCCAAAGCAAGCAGACGTCAGCATTTGGAGCTGCAAGGTGGTCTTCCCGGCAAAGTGGCTATAAATAACTCGATAACTGCTCGCTCTTATTCGCGCCCTTCTCACTGCTTCAATTTCTCTCCCTATCTTTGAAGCGAGAATTGGTCTCCCTGCACTTGAAAAGGTACGGGCCTCCTCGTCTTCCCCCCGTCCGTTTATTTTTCACTAATTTTCTGTCTCTGTGCTAATACAAAGTGCCTTGCTCGAGGTTCCCTTCACTGTCTCTCCCCCACTTCTGTTCCCTTCTCATCATCCCATTTGTTTCTTTTTCGTCGTCTACATTCCCCATTATTGGCTGAGTTCTCTGTTTTTTTTTTCCCCTTCAACTTTTTATCCCCCGCTGAGATCTCCGGGTATGTGTGTGCTGCTTTCAAGGACGCTCATTCGAATTCACTATAGCGTTTCTGCATGCATAATCTCTTGGGAGTTTTGTTATTGAATTCGCTGTTTATTCTTCAAAACTGCGATTTGGTTGCATGCCTTTTTACCAAATTGATTGATTGGTAGATCTATTGTGTTTGATTACTTTAATCTTAGGCTTTTAGCAAGCGAGAATTATAGTGGGGTCCGAAAAAATTACTAAAAAATCTTATTAACAACTTAAAAAAGTTGTCATTAAGTTATTGAAATATGTTTAGATATTTCTTTCTTCAAACTTTATTGTATGGCATGCATCACATTGCACACTGTTTTTTACCTGATGGTAAGATTGTTGACGTACAAGGGTCACAAATATTCCATATTTCTTTTTTAAAGCAAAGCTGGTGGAATACGTTGTGACTAGTCAGTAGAAATAATGCTTTTTTCTGGATGAAGTATGTTTGGTTCCAAACTTAAGATATCAATAAAGCAAGCTCCTCCTATTGCATTTTATAAGGTTCATCCTATGCAGAGTGCGCGAGTGTCCGTAGTTATCGAGCAGAGCCCTAGAATTCAGCAAAGTTCCTCTCAAACACCTGAACAATGGCTTCATCAGATTGCTCATGCAGCTCATATGAGAGAGGAGCAACCCCGTCAGATTTGCCACAAAAGTTGAAGAGCAGCTTGGACGAACTCGAAGAGAAAAGGCGAACTCTTGAAAGAGAGGATCGCCAAATTCTAAAGCCCATTCCCAAGATACAAAAAGTCCAACCATATCTTCGAAAGCGAGACGACTTGGGCAGGTACTACCGCCCCAAGGTGGTATCATTCGGGCCCATCCATCATGGAGAAGATGATCTCCAGGGAGGAGAGCGCTGCAAGAAGACATGGGCAGCAATGTACCTTAAAGATATCAAACGAAGTGCTGGATCGCTATTTAAAGAAATTCGAAGTCGCCTGCAGGAACTGAAGGAGCTCTACACCGAGGACGCCATTGAAGGCTTCCTCGATAAGGAGGAGAAGCTTGCATGGATATTCCTTTTGGACGCGTGTGCCCTGCTTGGATTCCTCCAAAAAGTGAACACTGAGCGCCCAGATGAAAACCTGCGGATCAAGGAAGATCAGCTGGTCCTTGTGCAGCAGGATGTGCTCTTGCTGGAGAACCAACTTCCCTATCCTCTGCTCAGGCTGTTGAGCAATGCACGCGAGAGGGAGTTGGACAATTGGATAAAACAATTTTTGTCCAGGTATCAGAGGGAAAGGATCACCGGCCAGGGAGCACCGACGGAAACGACTTGGAATCCACCACCACAGGTGGAAATAACAGTGGAGCAACCACCTCATTTGCTGCATCTTCTGCGCAAATTCATCCTGGTTGATCCTGATTGTGATGATAGAAAACCTGCGGACCCAGCGAAACGGGGATCTCAAAAGTTTCCAACATACAGAAACATACAGGAGCTTGAAGCAGCAGGGATTTCGGTAGCCAAGGGAGATGGTAAAAAACTTACGGATATCAGATTCGATTGGGGAATGACTCGCAGGGGTTTTGGGAGACTCTGGCTTAACAAGCTGATCGTGGACGTTTTAACGCTTCCCACATTCTTGAACTTGATAGCGTATGAGATGTGCCCAGATTTCATGAACGGCTACGGGATCAGCTCCTACGTAGCATTTTTGGATTCCCTGATTGACCATCCAGAGGATGTGAAACATCTAAGGAAAGCTGGGGTTCTCCACAACGTACTTGGCAGCGACGAAGATGTGGCCAAACTCTTCAACATTATAAGCTCCGACTTGATGCCCGGCACAGCGTATAGGGAAGTAGGTCGTGACCTGGAGACGCGTTACAATCAAAAATACTTCACGTGGTTGGCTCAGGCTCTGCACGACCATTTCAGCAGCCCATGGGCCTTGCTTGGCTTCGTTGCTGCAAGCATTGCGCTTTTTCTCACTTTCGTCCAGACGTGGTTGGCCATGCACCCTCCTCCTCCTAATGCTTAGGGATTAACCTATTCGTGCCAAGAAATAAAACTCATTTCAAGGGGTGAGGACCGCGAGTTTTGGGCATTGCCACAAGTGCCCTTACATCTTCTCCCCCCCTTATGAAGCAACATCATTTCATATTCAAAATTTCCCCTTCATGAACCTTCTTGTTTCTTTTTAAACCGACCGTTTGTCGACCATATTCGATTGTAGACGGCTTGTTAATTTCAAATGAAGGTACTTGTATTAGTGAACAATTGTAGACGGCTTGTTAATTTCAAATGAAGGTAGTTGTATTAGACCAGAGGGAAGGAGCAGTGAGCTTACTCTTTGTTCGCAGTAACCTCACAAAAGTAATGCAGAAGATATTCCAAACTATTTCTTTCCAATTTCAATACTCTTGAGGCCTGAGCAATGAATTCAACATTGATTAATTCCCTTTCAAGAAGGAGATAGTGAAGGCAGATTGAAGAAAAAATCAATCAACAATAACACAGGTAGAGAAAATACAAGATATCCTCCAGAAAACAAGACAATGCATCATGCCCACATGAAAAGCGCACAATCACTGGCAATTAAAAAAAAAAAACACGAAAGAAATAAAGAACAGAAAAGCACAGATACTGAAACTTTCCAGGATCCTCTGAATTGATGGGAAAAGATCTTGCAAAAGTTTGCGAGCATATTACAGTAGCAAGACATTGTAGGCAAATCCATTGAACATGTCTCAAATACTGATACAAACAAGATGACCAATTTCAGAACTTAAAAAATAATTGGACCAGGGTTCAGAGTCTAATTTGGTTATGATCATTTTCCAGCAAATTTTTTTCAAGACTGCAACAATATGATCATATATTCTTGCTAGTGGATGGCCCAGAACTAGAACTCATCCCAACAAAACACAACACTTGACTAGTGCAGGCCTAATTCATATGGCAGTGGTAGTAAAGAATTTAGTTCTTGCCCTCAACACCTTGTCATACCCTGCAAATGAGGGTCAGCATAATGAAATATGTTACACAGAAAATAATACCATTGCAAAAATAACATTCACCACAAAAATGTTTTCCTGGAAATTTCACGGGGAAGGAACTCAGCAATGGAAATTATAATAATTTCACAAACCTGGCCAGTGTCAAATAAATTGCAAACATAAATGCCAAAATCTCGTTGAAGCCAAATGATATCTCGATCGGCTCCATGCATGACCTAATTAAGCATTTGAAAAAGAAAAAAAAAAAGTCAATAAACTGAGGCAAACTAGAGCTGCAAGCCGGCAGCAAGAACTGTTCATGTGCAACAGACCTTCTTTATGGAAGGATCCTTGAATACTTCCCTTAGATAGGGCCCAACATGAATCCGAAGCCTCAAAGTGTCCACAACAAAATCTTCAGTCCTGGTTGAGATTTGCATCAAGCAAGTTAAGCCTTGGAAGGACCGATATTGATTATGTTCCAAATCCACCTATACATTTCAAACCAAGACAAAGATATTAGATGAATAGGAATTTCTATATTAATTCATTTTTTAGGATATTTCAGCCCAACATATAAGGATTCTATAAAGACAAGTAATCCCTCCAAGAACCCCATTTTCCACATTCTTCCCTTAAAGGCAAGTCTCCCAAGAAGCCACCTCCTTACCACTAGTATACAGGTGTCTAGATTCCCATAAACTAGCAAATAGCTGACATCTTCCAAACAATCTAAAAGTTGCTTTCCCTTACCGTTCCCGTTCCCTACCACCATTCCCACCGACTAAATGCAGTGTTGACGTTATATGCAATTCCTATAGCGCCTTCAAAGGCCAATGTTTATATACGCAACAAAACTACTGGAGCACCACGCATCATTGCAGTTACACATGCTGAAAACAATAGCATAAAGGATAGTAACATGCCATGCTAAAATTAAGGGAAGCAAGCTCCCCAAAAAAAAAATGATCAAGGATTTAGCGGCAAGCGGTTGATCATAAAAATGCACAAAAGTTTTCAACAAAATATCATAAACATCACTCATATTTTACCGCAAATTCATTAACAGCACGCAGCTTTGCAGCCAATTCCTTCAAACCTTTGACATCCTCCACAAGTTTGAAAGGGGTGGATTCCAGCGGGGAAGGCTGCCTAGGTTGAAAATCCCCAAGATCTTTGTCAACGAAATCCAATACAGAGAGTTTCTCCTGAACGAAAAATTAATAGCTAATTCAAAAAGACCATGGAATAAAACCAACATGTAAAACAAGAAAAGATAAGTGAAATTATGAAAAGGCTATAGAAATGCCCCATTCACGTGCATCATTTTTTTCTGCTGGGAAAAAAGGCTACATGAGGAAAGCCCTGGATTTTAATTAATGTCTCTTCAAATGTAACGGCCGATTTTCTGCTCAAAAATAAAGCTTTGTGCGAAGCGCTTCAATACGACAATACTATCCATATTTTTCCCTCAATTATCCCTTTGACATGGTATGCGAAGTCTCAAGAAGACTCGTTTTTTTCTCCCTAGGAACTCGATCGCATCCTTTACAGAGTGAATCAAATAACCAAAAAGAAGAAAAAAGATTTAACAATATATGTTGTCATGAAAAATCAGAGAACTAACCAGCGGATGAATAAACCTCTGGCCATCATCACTCCTCTGCAACCAAACATGCTCAAAAGGCTGGTTCGAATTATTGACTAGAATGTTATACTCATCCTGAGGTCTCCTAATTGTTGGTATATGAAACGGAACCTTTGGCTTCGACCCAGTCGTTTTCCTGTCCTTTGCGGCCACTTTAACACAGGAGGCAGGAATTGAATCTGGCTCCTCTACTTTCCCAGCTCCCGGATTATTAGCTCCTTTCTTCTTCTTCTTCCCATAAACCAACTGGAACCCGTCGTCCGAGTCGGGCAATGAACTCGTAGGACGCCCTGTCTCCTCCTCTTTCTTCCTAATCCTAAGAAACTCATCGAAGGACACATCGAACCGCTCAAAAACCTCGTCATTCACATTAACCAGCCAGTCATATGCATCGTCGATATCCATGGGTAAATCAATCTCCTTGCCCCATAAATGCGCCGAGCTGCCGATGGCTTCCAGCATTGTCTGAGATTTTTTCGCAATTTCTCCAATTGGTCTCTTAAATTCGTCGAAGTTGTAGTAAAAGTGAAAGTCTTTGTCCGAAGGTAAGCAACGGGAAGAACCTGAAAGCTTGGCGGCTGACGAAGACAAAGGGCCAGCCGATAAATTGTGTAAAGTACTCGCCCTGGTTGTGGGCTGAGATTGATCAACGTCCATGGCGTCCTGACTCATCGTGATGGCCGACATTGGTGAAGGGTTTAGGGCTAGGGTTTTAGTCTAAACATCGCCATCGCTGGCGGGCTTAAAAGGGCCGGCCCTTCAGGGCTGAAATTTTAAAAATACCCCGATTTGCTAGGTCCGGCCCTTAAGCTACAGGGCCAGGGTCGGCCCGCAGGCTTTTGGCCCGTTTAAGAAAAAAATACTATTTTTTTATATTTATCAAATTTTTTTATAAAAATATAAAAATAAACCAATGAAATTATTAATAAAAGACATAAATATGAATAAAATTAAGTCACAAATATAAAATATTATCATATATAAATATTCATCAACATCTAAAAACATCTAAAACATTCATTAACAAGATAACAACATCTAAAAGTTTTATCTATAATGCAATTGTGCAATAAATAAACACTATCATTAATTTTTTGAAACTTCATCATCACTATAATTAATTACTTTTCTTCATAAGTATGCTTTTCTTTCGTAACAAAAAAATCAAGTTTTTCTTCTTTATAAGAATTTTATTTTTGAATTTTGCAATCTAACTATTATTTTACTTTAATGTGAGAAACATTATTGTTGAAACTCATGAATTTCTAATTCAAATTATAGAATCACAAATTATATAAGTATAAAAATATTATATTATCAAATATATATATAGTTTAAAAATATCAACGTATATAATATAAATCAAACCATTATTAAAGTCCAAATTAACCTATTTTTTAAAAATTTAATTGGATAAATTATTATCTAAAACTAAATTTAATTTTAAAATGATAATAATAACTAAATATTTGAAATATTATTAACAATGTAAAAAATTAATAATATTAATATTATATAAAAAAATTTTAAAAATAAAAAAATTATAAAAGGGCTTGGCCCTTTTAAGCCCTCGACCCTCCAGGGCTTATTTCTCATTTTAAGAGAAAAATATCAAGCCCGGCCCTCATAATTTCAGGGCCTAAACGGGCCGGCCCGATGGGCTCGGCCCGTTTTTCTGGCTCTACTCGCGGGAGCAGCGGGCGGGTCTCAAACATATATGTTTATGTCACGTGCCATCGGCCGTGAGACTCCACGTGGCGATTAAATTCTTTACTGACAAAGAAATCGGAGGAGGAGTTTTAATTCCACCTTTATTTATCGCTAAACAATATTTTATATCATGCTTTTCGCCGAGATTTTATTTAGTATAAAAATACTTAAATCCATAAATTATACTGGATTGCGTTGAATTGAGTAGGATAATTGGATGAAAGTTTTTCTAGTGTCAAGTACTTTTCAGACATTGTACTCAAATTGAAAATTTTGATGTGATTCGATGGATGACGGGCAATGAAGGTAAGAGATCTTAATGGATGAACATTGGATAAAAATTTTCTTCTTGGTTTTTTTTTTAACCTGAAATGAACATTCTTCGTCGAGAGTCCTATTTCTTTTTTGTTTTTAATTCCTCCTTTCCACCTATAGATAAAAAAATGGATGATTAAGAGTAACATTTTGTAAAATTATTATTAAAATATTTTACAGATTAATTTTTTATTATATGTGAGAAGTATTCAAATGAAAATATAATGATTTAAGATGGAAAAAAATTATGAGATATTATATCCGAACTCTATTTTTACCTAAAAGTTGAAAAGGATTATGAGAAGAAAAGCAGAAAGATTGTGATTTTAATAGAATAATAAAATTTAAGTAAAATTCTTTATAATTACTACCTCCGATCCTTAATATACAACCCTGTTTGATTTTTATTTTGGTTCTAAATATAAAACCCCAATCCACTTTGTCTCTTATATTTACTCAATTTTTTTCAAAATAGTCCTTCTAATAATTATAGTTTTGGTCAATACACTTAGTTATCAAGGATATTTTAGGAAATACAACATCTATTTAGAACAAATAACTAACTCAACTTACTTCCTTAATCTCCTCAAATTAGTCAATTGGCTCTTATAATTAGGATCAAAAGCAGTACTCCTCCGGTCCTTATTATAAGACCCTATTTGACTTTTTATTTGGTCCTAATTATAATTTATAAGACCCAAATCCATTTTGTCTCTTATATTTATACATTTTTTCCCAAGATAATCCTTCTAATAATGATAGTTTTAGCCAATATACTTAATTAACAAAGATATTTTAGGAATGACAACACTTATTTATTATAAATAACCAACTTAACTTACTTCCTTAATCTCCTCAAATAAGTTATTAGGTCTTATAATTAGGATCGGAGGAGTATTATGTAAAATTCTTTGATCACACTCGCTATGTGTCCTGTGTTTTATATAATAATCATTCAAGACTAAACTTATATAAAAAAATTAAAACACATGATTATAATTAACTGAATAAGTGATATGATAATTATAAAATACTCGATATAAGCAATTATTAGCTGTAGTCAATGATTAAAGAACCGGACCGGACGGTCGGACCGGTTGAACCGTCGCCCGGACTCGTTAACGGCTCGGTTTGGACCAAAAAACCGTTCACATAGTTGAGCCGGATTGGACCGGAGTTGAGCCGTTATTAAGCCGGAAACCGGAGTTGGACCGGGAACCGGAAAGGTTTTCAAAAAACCGGACGATTTTTTAGCCTGACTAAAAAATACTAAAAAATTTAAAAAAATAGAAGAAAAATAAAAAAATTGATCCCCTTAAATATCCTAATATATTTTTAGACTATTTATAACCATATAGTATTATTTCATTGAAAACTTCATATATTGTGGTGTTAAAATCGTGAGTCGCTAGTCTTTTTGTTTCAATATTTGGTCTATCTTTTAAAAAAATATTTTGATTTGAATGAATTGATAATTTGTAATATCATTAAATATTTTAAACATACATAAATTTAAATATATAAGGTTTTAGTCCATTTTCAATGATTTCATTATAATTGTAGATTATTTAAATGCGTTTCTAAATTATTTAATAATTTGATATTTTTCATATATACTAATTATATGTATATAATATTGTTTTAAATTAATTATTGCGTCACCGGTCTGACCAAACGGTCCAACCGATCCGACCGATTGAACCATGACCTGTTGATCTTTCCAGTTCGACTTCCGGTCCGGCTTTTAAAACATTGGCTGTAGTGGATGATACTTTTAATAATATTATTTTGTCTGGTTTACAAGGAGGGAACTTGTGATCCGTGGGATTTGATCAATGGCTGTTGTACCCGCAATTGTAGCACACTTCCTCATGAGGAGGGGGAACAAAGAAAAACCATGCGCTCAGAAGGTAGTTTTCTCGTAACGACTTTTTGTGGGAGGGGCCCACGAACAAAAAGGCGGGGCACGCAACAGAGGCAATCAGCGGCTCCGGGACCCGGTTTTTGTGTCCCCTCCTCGGCGTCCCAAACCCACGAACTCAAAAGTCTGAACTTCCCTCCTCCTCCCTATAAATCTCTTCACTCTCACTTTAACACCCATCATCTTCTCACATCCGCTTCAAATTTAAACAATTCAGCTGCTTATCTTGCTCTCTGTGTTCCCATGGCTTCCCTGATTCTTCTCTTTTCTGAGGTCGTTCGCAATCATGAGCTTGATGCTGCGTCTCTGTTAGCGGCGTATCCTCCTCCTTCCTCTTCTCTTTCTTCCTGTGCTGCCGCCACAAAATCGCTGAGAAATCAGAACGATAAGCGCAAAAGCCAGAGTTCTGAAGATGCCGTGGAGATGAACAATCCATTGGAGTCAAGAATCTGTGTTGATCTTGTATGGCCTTGATTTCTCAACGTCGTGTCTGCTCTTAAATTCCATTGGAAACGAGCTTTCTGCAGTGGCATATGTACATATCAGTTATCATTTCTACCTGTTTTTTTATTTTTATTTAAATTTTAGATGGTTACAATGATATGAAAACTTCGCTCTCCTATTCTCATCTTCGTCTCGCTGTTTTCAATTGAGAAACAAGAACAGAGGAACCAAGCAATTCAAGTTACTTCAATTTCTGAAGCTCTGGTGGATCGTAATTACTTGGCTGTTTAAATGAATCATCACGCCAAACTGATTCCCGGCTTATTAATTTGGACTGACGATCTATCATCTATCAATTTATCAATAGCTAATAAAATAATTTGCTGGTGATGAAAGTTTGGGGTATAGTCCAGCTTGATACAAATATTTGATATTGATACAAAACTTCTCTTTTTTTTTTTGACCAGAAGATACAAAACTTCTCTGGTATATGTATTTATTTTATATTTTATAAACTCAACCCAAATATTAAAAATAATATTCATGCCTGTGAATATGTCAGGCCACCCAGCAGCAAGTACTGCTGCTTTTTTTGTGCCGGGGCGCATTTTGTAATTTTGGAGGTCATTTTTGTAACGCAGTGTATGAAGCCCAAGCAAAAATGCTATCTGGGCTCCAAGAAAAATGATCGGGCTCAATCATTTCCAGCGGAAAATTCAAGTTAAGGGATTAATTGGGAATTATAGACAATTTTGAAGCCCCCTTACAGACAATAAAATGTTGTATTGATACACTGATTATGATTTCTAACTAGTACAGATTCAGAGAGTTTTTTTCCCTTTATCTTGCATTGGAGATAACCAAAGTTACAGCTACTGTTGAAGCATGTTATAATTTTAGTAATTTTCAATATAAAACCAAACACGTGTATTAAAAAAGACACCCACATACATAAATATATATCACTAATAACTAATAATTCATCATTTCTTGGAGCAACTCTGATTTCCTGTGGGGCCAGGTGACGATTAATGGGGTGTATCCTACTTGATAGGGACCTTTAACTTGCATTTGAATCGGATTACAGTAAAACTAGGGAACAAATCACAAGGGACGAAGTATTCTGACCTTAACATAACGTCAGTAAGCAGATCTTTTTGACCCAACTGCATCGCGGAACAAAATGGACATCACCGTCGGCTGGCAAGAACTATGCTTAAGAGGAGGGGGGGAAAAAAAGCAAAGAAAGAAAGACCTATACGAACCTGGCAAGAACCGCTGGCTTCGCCTAGAAGGTGGCACAAATAAACTCACTCATCCATCGATGGTGTGGAGAGGTTCACGAACCATATATAAAAAGTTACAGCACGTTAAAACTATGAGCTTTGGGTCAAGGGGCGAGATCCGCGAGTTTTGGGCATGCCACAAGGGTCCTTACATCTTCTCCCCACTATGAAGCAACATCATTTCTTATTCAAAATTTCCCCTTCATGAAACTTCTTCTTTTTTCTTTTTAAACCGACCGTTTGTCGATCATGTTCGATTGTAGACGGCTTGTTAAGTTCAAATAAAGGTTACTTGTACTAGCGAACGAATCAGCGTTTATCCTTTTCTATAAATTTACCTATAATTGTTTGATATCTCATTTTTATTTAATCGTTAAAGTCCAGGCAGATGATAATTTTCTTCGTTGGAATAAAATTGAAATAATAGCCATTCTCCAAGAGCAGGGAAAAACAGAGTGAAGTGTATTACCCATTGACCCCAGAAACACAGAAAAAACAGAGTAAACGCACAACGAAATGGAGCACACAGAGAAAACCATTCATCCCAGAAGCACAGGAAGGAAAACAGAGTAAGCATACAACGACATGGAGCACACAGAGATGACCATTCACCTCAGAAGCACACGGAGAAAAACAGAGCAAGCACAGAAACGAAACAGCGGGAAGAAAAAAAAAATTTGGACCATTTCTCGATTTGTGCGTGTCATCCTTGCGCAGGGGCCATGCTAATCTTCTCTGTATCGTTCCAATTTTATCGGATGTCCCCGAAGGGACGTTCTAAAGCGCTGCAGCAAGTCTATATAAACCACGATACAGTTATAATCGTGAGCGATGTGGGACTTCTGAGGGCTCTTCTTGAAAACTGCAGCGAGTTGCCCACTCCTCAACAGGTCCAAGCCTCGTCTCCTGGAGCTGGAAGCAAAGCAGTGAAACATGAATGTGTGGGGAAGGAGATGGAAGATGAACGCTAAAAAAGCCTTTTGACGCATATTTCATTGATATTTTAGGTACAGGAAATAGGAACCATACCTCTATCCGTAGGCATTCTGTCGCCTTGCCGGTTTTCTTGAAGTTCTGATGGGACGCTTGATTTATTGAATCGTCTGCCCAGTGCCCAGCACCCCATGCATTAATGGCTTGAGGACGTGTCAAGTCAAAGAACAAGCACACATCATGAGTTCTCAACCAAATACTGCTTTACTGACAGACTTGCAGCTTGAGAAAAATCCCAATCGGATCATAACTAGATAGATCTCTTCCTTCTTAGTTGTCACTTGTCAGCCAGTAACCTGTTTTATTGACTGACGAAATGTTAAAATTAATGCCCCAGAATATGAGCTGTTTGTTTGACGGAGGATATGCGGGTGGGTTTTAGAACGAAAATCCCAAGGCGTCCAAAAGACGGAAGCACTACTTTACTTTGGGCAAGTGACTGTTGAACGAAGAACGGTAAAGAAGAATGATAACTGCAGCCTCAAACATTATTTCGTCTGCTATTTCTCTCCTTTGGAACATTAATCATAATGCCTTGCCAAAAATCTCGTGTGCGTTTTTGAGAGACAAGATTCAGGTAAACTTTGAAGACTTTGAGGCGCTGCGCTGAAGAAAGGGGGTTAAAATGTATCCCATTTGCCTAAACGTGTTGATGAGAATTATTATTATTATAAACATTATATTAAAAAAATAAATAAATATGATAAATAAATTATATTGAAATCTTATAACTAGGACCAAAATAAAATTCAAGTAGACTCTTATGTTAAAAACAAAATGTAGTATTTTTTTTGGCTCATGACAAATAATATAAATAGTACACGTGTAGAGGAGGATAAGTGCACGTCCCACTCGTTTTTTTAGTTTTTAAGAATAATTTACGGGGCCTTAGCCTTGGGCTTTATTATAGCATTCCTTCTGCTCAACGCTCTTTTAAAACCCCACTTTACAAGTATTTTGATAGTTATTGATTGATGATTAGGAGGTCTTTAGAAGCATCCAAGAGTGTTTTTTCGGGAAAACGAGGTAAATTTCTCTACGTATTTGTTTTATATATTGTAAAAATATTTCTAAAACTATAGTTTTCATTTATTCATATTTGAAATTCAAGTCGGCACAATTAGGTTTTGATATGTGGAAACACTTACGTTAGTCAGTTTTTATTTTATTTAATTTGTTAAAATACGAATAGTTATACTCAACTCTCTTTTTTTCCTAGATTTTTGTTGTGTTTCGAATGCGGCAAATAAAATATTTTATTTTTGAAAAATAATTTAAGGATTTAGAGTTTGAATTCAATGGTTTAAAACCCAACTTTACAAGTATTTTAGTAGTTATTGATTGATGACTAGAAAGTGTTTAGAAGCACCCAAAAATATTTTTTCCGTAAAACAAGACAAATTTATCTACGTATTTACCTTTTATGGATGAAAGTTTTAAGTCAACGTAGTTAGTTTTTGATACGTGAAAACAGTTACGTTAGTCCGTTTCTATTTTATTTTATTTGTTAAAATACGAATAGTTATACTCAGCTCCTTTTTTTTTTGTCTCGATTTATGTTGTGTTTCGAGCGTGGCAAATAAAATATTTTATTTTTGAAAAATAATTTAAGGATTTAGAGTGTGAATTCAGTGGTCATGCTAAGTCTGCACCCGTTAAAAACAAAGCACATCTTTTTCAAAATTCTTTATCATTTACGTGCGCAATCATTTCATATCATACTGTTTAAATTTCTAAAAACTGTGTTCAGATTTCAAAAACTTTTTCCCCTTGAAATTTAAAAAGAAGACCCCAACATAATTTGTTCACGTAACGCTCATAATTAGACTTAATCAGCACAAAACCCACCTTGTCTCACCTACCCCCGGCCCCGGGCACCAACCGCAATAGGTTGTCGTTTTCCATGAAGCCCAGGGTAATTTGGGCATTTGATTGTGGTTTTGGCAATGAACAACAAAATTAAATAACTGAATAGTTTGTCAAAAATAATTACTCCATATTTAACTAATTTGATTATATTAAAAATATTAGATAAGTTAGTTAATTATAAAAAATATAACATGTTTTTTCTAAAACACCATAATCATTTTCTTTAATATCTTCCACCCCTCTTTTTAATTATAGTTGATGAAATATTCATAAGGATAATTTAGAAAAATTAATAAATATGATAAATATATCTTATATTTAATACCAAAATCAACTCAATAATTAGGTTCTATATTAAAGATTGGAAGAGTACTACCTCCGGTCTTTAATATAAAAAATTATTTAACTTTTATTTTGATCATAAATATTAGACCTCAATTCACTTTATTTCTCATATTTATTTTTTTTAAGATAACCATTGTAATAATAGTAGTTCTAGACAATACACTTGATTAGCAATAATATTTTAGAAAAGATAATACATATTTATTACAAATAACTAATTTAAATAATTTTCTTAACTCACTTAAATTAGTCAACTAATTCTTATATTAAAAATCAAAGATAATACTCCTCTGATCCTTAATATAAGACCCATTTAACTAATTTGATTATATTAGGGAAGTTAGGTAAGTTAGTTAATTATAAGAAAAATAACACGTTTTTCCTAAAACACCATAATCATTTTTCTGAATACCTCCTCTCATTCTTTTACTTGATTATGGTTAAGGGAGTATCCACAGGGATAATTTAGAGAAAACTGATAAATATAATAAATGGGTCTTATATTTATAACCAAAACTAATTCAAGAATTAGGTTCTATATTAAAGAT